TTCAAGCAGACAAAAAGTGCATGAAAAACAGTGTTATGTTCAGTGTCAACTTCTGTACGTCAAAAGTTTACTGCTACTTTAGTATAAGTTAAGCTAGCCAGGCCAGGCTTATTTTCATAAAGACATCACATGCTGTACTTGTAGCAAATCAAATTTAATAAAAAGAGAAATGTATTGCCTTCATATGGTAATAATTTTTTCTGAGAAATCTAATTTTTGACATAACTGCTTGCAGTGTACCATCCAAATGCTTCCGAAACAAAATTATTTCCAAATGTCTCCAAAATTGGGACTAACCTAAAAAGAGACACTCATTATAATAAAAAAAAAAAAGCAAAATAGACATATTCGGCGCCATTTTTCGGTACATCTCAGACTTATCTTCCAGCACTAATAAATATGAAATGTAAACTGCATTTTTTACGTTTTTTTTTTTTTTTTCTTGTAAATGATAACAAATAATGGTTTTCGAATTTCGACAAATCGTTAATCAGTAAATTTCAACTATTCCTATCTGGAATCTTATTAATAACAAAATAATTGAGCAGTGAAATAGATGGCTACCTGACAGTTTTAATGAGAAAACATTTTTAATAAAATTCCTCGAAGATGTGAAATTTTTGGACGGAGCAAATGCCACGCGAAAAGACTCATTGTTTGAATTAAAAAAAAAAAAAAATATACGATGAAGAGAAAGAAACAGAGAATGAGTGGAAGCATTTAAATCATTGAAAGATTTACCTTTAAAATTAAACAATACTTTCTGTCTGAATGAACTTAAAGGCCTATTTGCAAAGAGAATTGCTACTTTTATAATTTGCAAATGGTAAAATTATTCAACAATTGGACATTAGCGATCTCAGATAGGGCGCAAATAGGAGAAATTGGGCGCAAATGGGAGAAATTCAAATGAACTGGCATTAATAATAAGAAGTAATTATTTTTGTTCTTATCCTGTTCCACATATCATTATCAAAAACACAGCCATCATTATCACTATCACTATCATTATCATTATCACTATCATTATCATTATCGTTATCATTATGATGATTACAATATAACACAACGGAAATATGTAACGGAAGGAGATGCACTTGCACTTGAATATTAGCTTTGGTAGTGACCTGTGCCACAGTAACGACTCATCAATAAGTTTATCATTTCCACTTGCAGTAAGATGACCATCCTTACAGAATGACCACAGGAATGAAAGATCAGATGGATGACAGATGCAAATGGCATGACAACATTCTGCTGCATGTGAATTGGATGTTTGTTGATGGAGTAGTAATTAAAGGCAGTATAATCGGTAATGAGATTACACGCGAATTTACGTCACTCTAAAGGACGAGGGCGAAAAGTCGTGGACATAACGTCAAGGATGAATTTCCGACACCCACAACCACTGTTGTAAGCACTTATAAGTGAATCATTATTGGATAAACGAATAAATAATTTGAGAAAATGGCTTAATGAATCGAAGAGAAACTGATACTGCTGCCTGGTCAGTCGATCGGTCGATTGCTCGATCGGTCGATCGTCCATTTCATCTGTGCTGGTGTATGTGTATGTGTGTGTATGTGTGTGTATGTGTCGTCTATGTCGTCAGCTAATAAGCTAAGTGCTTTTTGCCGTCCGTAATCGACTCAATTATACAACGATTAAATAAATGATTGTTCATTAAAAGCAGGCTGAGATCACATTTCCTTCCACTGTCCTTTGTCCACCCATTTCACTTCATTCAAATCAAAAAACACTTTTTCACTTCTCTTCCTCTCTCTCTCCTCTCTCTCTCTCTCTCTCTCTCTCTCTGAGACAAAACTTTTCAGATCCAACATGTTGAGAATTTCCACCAAGTCCATTAATACCATTTACTTTTCATTCTAATGAATATTAATAAATGAAAATTACTATTTTCATCTCTCCCATCTCTCCTCTCTCTCTCTCTCTCTCTTTCTTCATCTGTGCTTTCAATATTTCTTTTCCACGTTTGTCGATTATAACTCATTCTAATGGACTCTTTCATTGTTCAATTTTAATCAAATATTACTTCTTTACTTCCTTTACTTTATTCGACCACAATTAAGTCATCCTATCATACCTGTCACCATCCTGTCAACATCATCGTTGCTCTTTTTTACTCGTCAACACTGCCTGGGGTAGGACTGTAAAGAGTAGGGTTGAGATGAGATATTGCGATCAGACAAATGAGCCAGCTTAGATTGACTCTAAGCAATTAGAGTATGGATTGAATATACCTAAATGTTGAAGGAGTATATGTGACTGTCGAGACTTGCATGCATCGATGGATGGATTGCTTTATGTCGACTCTCCTTAACTTTGAAAGTAGATCAGTTTCAGTTTCAATTCATCCAGGTGATTGGAGGTTAGGAGAGTGAATGTAGGAGAGAGGAGGAGAGAGTTGGAAGGAAGGAAGATAGTAGGTTCGATGGGAATGGCCAAGCAAAATAATGAAATGAATTCTATTCAATTTCACTTTCCTTTTCTTTTCTCATTTACCGACCAAATGAAATGAATAAAACGAAAGGAATAATTTTATTTGTTTCAGTAAACAAAAGACTGCAAATTAGAATGTAATTAAATATGATGTTACTATGTGACTTGTTGTCAAGAGTTCGAGATAGAAGTGTCCACAGTGCAAAGGGTTAATGGATTTTATTCTCGAAGAATGAAATTAAATAATTAAAAAATTAAAAAGAGAAGTAAGTTGTTGACTCATTGATGTGTGTACGGCATTTTCCGCTTTTTAGTTCTTTGTGAGACCTTAAATTGATTGGAAAGAAATAATGGCAATTAGTGCGGATGCATGAACGCCGTCAGGATGGATGAATGGATTATGTGATTGTGTCCCTCTGAGGATGGAAAGTGGGCAGAGAGGACAACGGAAAGCCGTAAATGGGGACAATGATTTAATATATACATGACCGCATCCCGCATGCAACCGAAAACCAAATACCGCTCAAGCAGTACCACCCTAACCGTCATCAATTTCATAAACCACTAATTAATCATTTTCAACTGCTCGACTGAGTCTATTTGAAAACATTAGACATGCATATACAATCCAAACAAAAAAAAAAATTTCTAAATTTCTAAACTGAGAATTTTCCTTTTTTGTTGAATCTCTCAGTACGGTGAAGTGAAACTTAATTCTTTTTATTTTTATTATTCATATTGTGTGACAAAAAGAGGACAAGGAGATGTTTTTTAAAGCAAGCAAAGTCGATTCTCAGAAACTTTCTAAGTTTTAATTTTGATGTCTGAATCTCGCATATCTCGCTATGCCGTAAGGTGATAAGTCCAGAATTGGTACTGCTTACACGTAAGTCGTTATTGCTTACACGTAAGTCTTTACTGCTTACACGTAAGCTTCCACTATTTTAATTGCGATATTCTATGGATGTCGTTTCTGGTACTCAAAAAATGCCAATGAATATTGAATTCTTTGCATAAGCATAAGCAGTGCTATGGAGTTTTTGGAGACAAATCTGCTCAAACCTTCACATCAATGAATTTCATTGTTTAATTTACATTTAAAGCACTTGTCATTGTCATCGGATAGAGCCGCTCATTTCAAGAAGATTCAAAACTACTCCTAAAAGCTGCTCCCTAAATTATTCCTCTCTCTTCTTCCTTAAAATCTGTCCTGCCATTGTAAACTACAACTTGTTACTATGACATTGGCAAGGAAGAGAAACAGAATCCTCTTCTAATTCAAATTAACCTAAAAATAAATTCTAATGGAGGGTAAAGTTTTCTGATTTTCATTCATTATCAATCACTTTTAGAAGGAAATTAAAAATAAATAAGAGAATCGGGAATGAAGAAACATTTATGCAAAAAATTAGAATTTGTTAATAAATAAACATTCGAGTTCAACGACAAAAATATCACGAAATAATGTTTTGTTTGATCAAAAGAGAAAATGAGAGTTTGCAATTGGAATAGTAAAATCACTTAAGATTTGATCACTTGCTAAAAGTGAAAATTTTTTAAGGCGGAAATTAAAATGAAAAATTAAATGAATTAAATGTTCTGGCAGATATTACTAATCAAACATATTGTCTACAATTTTGATAGTTTAAGTTTTTTTCACAACATTAAGTAAGGATAGAAAAAACAGAAAGGTGAAGAAGTTTAGATGACAGATTGGTATTTTCATTATTTCACTTTCAATCAAATGCAAAGAGAAAAAAAAAAAAAAAAAAAAAAAACAAACGAGAATCCGGTCGAGAAAGTTAACCGGAAAAGGAGACAGATTGTGTGACATATCAAAGTGGTAATGCTAATCGTTGTTGTTAATTGTGAACACTTGACACATGTACCTACAACACTTCCCTCTGCTTAATAGGAGTGATTTGTTTACAACAATTATTGTTTTTCTGCTCTGCCATATAATATCCTCGGACATTCCACTCGCAAACAGAACAAAGCAGTGCCATCCATCCCAGCGTGTTTTTTCACTTTCCATTATAGCTGATCACAAGGGAAAGTGTTATTTGCACTGTAAACAGTAAGGTATGGATGGATGCATGCTTGCACTGCTTGCATGCATGCACTTGCATATTGCAAGCAACTAGTACGGAGAAAGTGACAAAGGTCATTTATTCCAAGCATTCTGTATTTCATTCCACTTTAATGACAAGTGAGTGTAGCTATTTCCCATTTAAGCTAAAACGAAATTTGCTTATGTGCCATATTATTGTGCATCAAAATATGGAAAAGCTAATAAGCATAGTTTACAGAGTGTACTCTCGAGGACAACAAGAGTAGTCTCGAGGACAAGAAAGGTACTAGTAGGTCTGTGCAGTAGAATGTCTTTAAGTAAAGGACGCAAGTGCAGTTTAATAGTACGATGAAGAGACGTCGTTAAGGAAAACTCGGGATGATCAGGCGGAATAAACTTGATCACTGCAAGATTATAATCATTTAACATTAACTGAAACTCTACTAATAATTTCATGGTATCAAATTACTCACCAACTGCTATCCGACATGTAAAGTTGCAGCTGCAGCAGCAAGGACAGCATATTATTGTGCAGCCTGCCTCCCTGAACCTCATCATTTCATCGTTGTCATTATTCTCCCTCCCTCCCTTCTACCCTCCCTCTCTCTCTCCCTCTTCTTTACAGTATACACCTTGCAGATGTCAACAATTAATACGTTGTAGTTAATGATTAGAAGTGAAAGGTGCGTACCTTAATAGTGACATGTTGTCAAATTAAGGCTCGCAATCTCTTCTCGAAAGGCCTTTCCTTTTGATCGCTAACGGACAGATGGCTAATGTCAAGAAAACGAGACAAACTGATATAAAATCTGCCGGAACAATGAGAAACGGTTGCTTCATTCAATTAAATACCATCGCAAATAATCACAAAAATGAAAATTTAATTGGAAATTTTGCAATTTCGAGGCATAAAAAGCACAAATAATTATTACTCAAATAGGTAAAAGCTTTCAGCGTTTAGAAACAGAATTGTTTCAGACAAAATAGAAGCTAAGAAGCAGCTCCAACCAGCTATTAAAGACAGTACGATGCTTTGTCATGTCTGCAATGACCAGATGGCATTTGGTGGATGGAGAAGGTATGCTCAGAATAAATCAATAAGTACGATCAAAGTTAGCACCGATCAGTAAGAAATGATTGGGATGGGAAAAGTTGAGCAGAATGGAAATTAAGTGAGTCTACAGATCACGTTGAATCTTCCGAAATTATCAGTCAATCATATTGGAATATCGAATTATCACTTTCACTTCCATATGACTTCAACGACAGTCAGAGATAACGCATGCACATGGTGCAGTCGATTTGACAAACATCTGTTGCCTATTGCTGACAGCTCCGAAAGATTTTGTGGCCTTGTGATCAAAATTTGATGAACAAATGGCTTTTGATTTGATTTAATATTGTGTCAGAATGAGAATAGTCATCCTCTATTGAGTCCATTAATTTTTAATTTATGCTTTAAGAATCTATTGACTTGACTAATATTTAAAATTCAATTTGTAATTAGTATCAATCGCAAAATAAGAGTTAAAAATGAGCGAACAACAAACTTCTTTCAATTTTAAGCCTGTTAAGCAAGTTATTGGAGACAAAATTTTAAAAGTAGTACTCGATTCAAATCACTTGTAATTTTAAACCTAAGATAGCAGCTGGTCTATATTTTAATTTTAACTCGAATTCAATTTTGAAAAAATTAGCTCAATCAAAACTGAGCAAAAAGTGATACTACTGATAATTCTTTTGTTGAATTAATACTTATTGCATTCAATAAAGTCTGCAAATTCCCGACCTGAATCTTATTCCGCCTGGATGAAGCATTGCTATTGATAATAATTGATGTGGCGGAGAGAACTGAAAGAGTAGATGGAGTGGTTCATTAGCTAATTAACTGTATCATGTTGCATGCATCCTTTGCATGTTGCATGCATCCTTTGCTGCAGTTCCGGCAGCGCATGCTTCTATGATAAACCTTTTAGCGTGAATCGCCCTCGAGATTTATGCTTATGCGTTGGGCTTTATTCAGCTCAAATTACCAAATTACCAATGATTAAGTGCATTTATGAATCTAATGCATTAATTATCCTTGTAGTAATTATTATTACTATTTTTATTTTGACATAAGCAGAACATTCACGTGGAATATTGATTTTAAATTTCTCATATAAAATGAATTTCATTAGAGGGAAACGTTTTCTAATTAGCAATACTCATTGCTTGCCAGCAAAGAAAGAAATCTGTGAAATAGCGGGAAATAATAAAGATACGGGTAAACAGATAACTTTCCACTATTCGACTTTTGCGTGAAAAACTGCTGTGATAAGAGAGAGCCAAAAAAGACCCAAGTAAATGAGAGGGTGACATAAGGTGACAATTAGAAAGGAGGGTAGTTTGCACCAGTAGTTTTTCATCAACAAATTCTTGATAAAAAAAATTTAAAAAAAGGATAATAATGCAGGCAAATAAACCGATAAGTAGCAAATCTGTAAGTCTGTTAAGGATAAAATCTTCCTAATGCTTGCAGGGATATAAGAAAAAAGTTAAAATCCTTTTCATTCATTCATAAATAAATTTTTTTTATACTCCCAAAATTAAGAAATTTATCACAGCTAATTTCTTCCAGTAGTATCGAGAAGTGATCAGATCAAAAGATAATCAATTATTTTGCACTTTGATTCGTTATGCCAAATACAGAGAAAGAGTTAAATTGGAAATGAACAGAATAGCAAATTGTCTTTTTGATGATAGATAGTTACTAGTAAAAGGAATAATTAACTGCAATCACTTTATCACAGAATGATGTGACACACATTACTGTAGACTTATCAGATGTAAGAGACAGCTCTGTCCTGTGACCTACGACAAATCTCGACGTATTACTTTGAAGTCTGAGATTGCAAATCTAAGGTATTGAGTCAGAGTCTGATGTCAAGTAGGAAGGAATTCGATTTCATTGGAGCATTAAATAAATGGTTGAAAAATATGGTCGTCCACAAGTGTTTATGTGTGTGTGTGTGTGTGTGTAATGCTGCAGGATGGCGTGTCTGTCTCAAATGACAGGTGAGAGGTGTAGTTGTTGTAGTAGAATGAATGAGTCAGGTTGTTGAAACATGAACCAATGAAGCAATCACACTATCAACTGCCCTTCTGCGCTCGGATAGATGATCGTCGTCGAGGTGGCGCCTCGTTGAACTCTCGTCGTTAAATGTTAACGCAATATCTTCGTACCCTAAATAGCAGCTTTATAAGCTATAAGCTATTAGCACCTCCTTTCGAGACACATATTTGTACGCTTCTGTCAGTATTTGATTCCATACTTTATTTAATCATAAAAATTACTTTCAGTTAAAGTACTCCTAGAAATGTCACACTTTCTTGTTGTCAGGGCAAAAGCTAACATATAGCGATATATTGACAAAAAATTGGAAAAATGCAGCTTTTTTGTGTTGTCTTCTTTTAAATGGTAAAACAAAACTTATATTTCTTTATCTTATCTGCAGCGAGGCGCAAAATGCACTTTATTAAGCGGTATGTGTTTTTGATACATTAGTGATTATTGGTCGGCTGGAGATGAAATTCGCCCAATCCTTTATATCTGGGGCAGTAAGCAGAGTCTATTTCCAACAATTCAAATACACGAACGAAGCATTAAAAAAGAATTTTTCATTAATATTTGATTTTGTTTATTTGCTCTTTATTTATTCTTATCCACACTGATACTCGAGAAAGTCACTGATACTCGAGAAAGTCATCTATACATTGCCACCGAATAAATTAGGGAAGTGGACATCTCTCGGAACTCTCGGAAGGAAGCATTTGAGATGATGATGACCCTAGGAGGTAGAGGGACAGTGTATGACACGAAGTGAGGTAGTATTTTAGTAATAATCATAAGTGCTACTGTCAGCGGGCGGAAAAGCAAATGACAGGTAATTAAACGATGCACACCTGGATGTCATCTCTTACGTTTAAAGACTGCCGCAAATTAGTAAGAAAGAAGAAGAAAGTGACAAAATGGAATGGAAGAATAGTATTTGTATTAATTACTTTATTAAACAATAAGCAATAAAGGTAATAAACGGAATACTCTTAACCGTAGAATAATGGAAGTTCTCGATTTATTTTGATTGTTCATTATTATTGCGAGGCAGAGAGATCACTCTTTTTCTTCGTTTCTCTCCCTCTCCCTCTCTCTCTCTCTCTCTCTTCCACCCTTTCTTCATTTTCCTTTTCAAGCACCGCTTCAACGGAATGCTCCTTGAAGTGACGTTCTGTCCCCAACTTACGCTTCTCTTCTAGTTGCGTCACCCATACGAAACAATATTTCTCGTCAAAACGTTTTTTCATTTGAAATGGTTCTTGCATAACGTTACGGTATCCACTTCAGGTCATAAAACGTTTGGAAAAAAGAGCACTTTTATTGTAATAAATCTTATTGTAGTACCGTTCCCATATGTTTCGGAAAGAACAATTTCATTTTTTTTGCTGAATGGAATCATTCTGGAAGCAAAATTTGGCATATAATTTTGATTTTCCGAACTTGGTTATAACTCATGCAGAAATTGCAGGTAATTTAGCAAAGAACAGTACTGTATTACTTTTTTGAATTATTTTAATTATGAATGCACTTATCACTTGGTGTCGTTCTTACATATACCGATGGTAGTTTACCTGTCGAAGTAATTAATGAACTCAATCTGACCTAGTAAATTAAGTCTTAGGCATAGGATTAAACTTTAGCTGAAAGGATTTACAAATTTCTTATTTTTTACAAAAATTTACAAAAAATTTAATGCTTTGAAAACAGATGCAACAATTGAAAGAGAGTGAAATATGATAAAATTAAATTATAAAATTAAAATTAGAAAGTTAATTTTGTAGGTAATTAGTTGCAAAAGCATTTTTAATATTATAATGGTCGCCATTTTTTGATCTCTTCTGCAGCAATTACTTGCTTTCTCATCTTCAAATTTACCCTTTCTTTTTTCATGGTCACATTTTAATGCATAGATTGCCCACTCCTTAGGGCAGCACTGGACATCTCTTACCTTTGTAACTTCCCCATATTCTTCAAAGAAAAAACCGACAATCCTTTAAAAATTTTTAATGTATGTGTGGTAATTTCATCTATTCAATCATCGCAGTAGAAATATGTCTAATTATTTGATTGCTTTCGTTTTAGCAAAAAAAAAAAAAAAAAAAAGAATGAAAAGTTTTATTTAAGAAATTTCAAGGGACTTTACTTGGTAATTGTCTTATTCAAAAGAAATTCCCGTGATAGTGGGCAAGTACATCAAAGTTTGATTTAATGTCACATATCAATCATCTTCTAAGGTGACAAATGATATAGCTGAAAAATAGTTTGGCGCAGTTTGATAAGCATTTAGTTGTGTGCCACCTTAAAAATGCACTGAAAGTGGTTGGAAAAGACTTTAAGTGTCACTTATTAAAAATTATTATTTTTTGTTCTGAAGTCAACGGGCAATTTTCTCCCATTAACCAAAAAGACTCTTTTATATCTTCATTTGCATCCATCACTGATCAATCACACACTGTGACCAATTATTTATTATCATTCTGAGACTTAGTCAAATGGATTTTACGGCATTCTGGTAGTGTCATCGACCGTGAAACTTCATGATGGAGAGAGGATAGCGAGGCTAATTTTCGGATTATACCGTAATCGCTTCTCTGACAGGAACTTTATATTATATGGTTTTAATCGAAATAATTGCATCCATTGGTAAATTTATTTCCGGGTTAATGCATTTCCACTAATTCACGTATATGCGTCTGCTACCTTTTCCAATTTACGTTTAGCATAAGGAAAGAACGTGGAAGAAAATCCCAGCTGAAGGAATGCCATCATATGTGACACTTGTATGGACACATACACACATACACACACACACACATACTCATACTTTAAGTAATCTAAGTAGTACCATTCCCTCTTACAATTAAGTAATCATAAAATTAGATTGAAAAGTTAACTATGTTGCAACCGTAAAGTGTACAATCAGAAAAAGTAAGAAAGAATTGCATAAATCAATTAGAACTTAAGGCACCAATCGATACCGTATGCTATACCATGGTAAGGTGAAAGTTTACTGACATGCAGAAGGTCAAAAGTTCAGCACTCGGTCGATCTACCGCGGTGTTTGTCACCTGTGACTATTGCTACATTCTTTGTTTTACTATCAATGACTAAAGTTTTGACACTGTTCAGAAGTTGTAACTGTCGCATAATTAAATATGCTGTACGGAAGATAATTAATAAATCAATGTGAATTGCAAGTGGTTCCGTACCGCAGCGGTTGTTTCTGAAAAAAAGGAACAGAAAGTTTTATTGGACCACTAGAAGTACTTTTCGATACATTTTGTTTTTTTTCTCGATAACTTTTAGTTTCAGTTGACAGCAAAGCAAGCAAAATGAGAAGTAATAACCATTCGGTTGGTTGACATTTGGTTGACATCAAGGTAGGACTAGCAGAAAGCACTTATTTCAAATTCAAAGGAAGGATGACCAGTTGAATAGTCGGACATTCATTCAGAAAATACAGATATAAAGTAGCATATCGGTATTTCAACTTTGTTTTAATTAAATGAATCACTTTATATTGAAGCCAAAAGATAGCTTTCTGACTATTCATGAATATTTATTAAAAGTGAATTTGAGCAAATGTAAATGTTTTTTTTGATAATGTCATTAATCATTGATATTTATTTCCTTCTCTACTTCTCTCTTAAAAGAACTTACCCTGAATATTTACCCTAGAATATAGAATATGAGTTATTTGAGTCTAGCTGGGCCAAAGTGAAAAATGTCTGAGATAATTAAACTCAGCCAAATCTCGAAAGTAATTATTACAGATACAAAAACAATCCATCAATTTGCAGAAGTAATATCAAAATAACAAAATTGGAAATGCAATTTTCTTTCAGTTTGTTTAATTTCAGGTAGAAAACAGTTATTCTTCTCTGTTATATTCATAGCATCGTCTAAAAATTTAATTTGTAAAGCTAATAAACAGAACCGCATCGTTTGAACTGGATTAAATGACCAATTTCAAAACTCTTTTAGTCGAAATTGCGAACAATCAATTCTTATTGATTAAATTGAAATTAAAAAAAGTTTGCCTATCAGAGAAAAAAAATGAAGTAAATGGGAAAGATGAAGTAAAAGTGAGACATTTTGATAGACTGATAAGATAATCCACGACATTTTGATAAACTGATAGGATAATCCACGACATTTTGATAAACTGATAAGATAATCCATGACATTTTGATAAACTGATAAGATAATCCATGACATTTTGATAAACTGATAAGATAATCCATGACATTTTGATATACTGATAAGATAATCCATGACATTTTGATATACTGATAAGATAATCCATGACATTTTGATAAACTGATAAGATAATCCATGACAAATTAGCGTTGTCATTACGTCTTGCATACGTAAATCGAACAGTACGACTCTGAGATTTACTGATTTTTTTTCTTCTTGAAACTAAAGCAATTACAGAAACAGGAGTGTTATTCAAGCTTGATACTGAAGCACTTATTGTTACTGAACCTGAAAGTAGTCAAGTCTGTGTGTTTCATATAATATCAGTATCAAATTAAGTTTATCTTAAGAAAGCATTTTAATAAATTCATGAGGCTCGATAACAGTAAGAAAAGATAAGAACAGAAAGTACTCGATTATTGATAATTCTTATCAGGATATTGCCATTGTTATGGGATCAAGGAAATATTTCACGGAAAAAGCTTGAAGAGATTACCTAATCGAAAGTGATGTGATATTATCAGTGATAACAACTTTTGCATATTACGAATATCTGACAGAAGTAACAGTTTAAAACTTGCAGTATTCTCAGGTAAGTTCCCCTTTTTGCTAGTAATAGCTATTATCGTTATTCCTGCACAGAATTCCTGTCTTCAACAGTGTGCGCTTTCCTGAAATTATTTTGTGATTCCAGAATTTGAGATCAGAAAAAATTTCATTCTGTTTCCATTGTTTATGCTTGAATTCAATAAGCATCAAGCAGTCATCTTTCCTGAAAAGTGCACCAATCAATAATCTTTCCGGAAAAGTGATTGGAAGACTGATTTAACCGTCATTCGCCCACAATTTGCTTTGAATTACAATCAAATAATTTGAGTATAACACACCTTGTATAGATGAAGCCCAAGAAAATGGCCAAGTCATAGGCTAATAGCCAAGTACATAGGTTATTGGCCAAGTACATAGGTTAATGGCCAAGTAGATAGGTTAATGGCCAAGTACATAGGTTAACACACTGCTGTTTGCTCTGACAAATGAATTACACAGCAAAAAATTTAACTGACATTTGCTAGCATTTATAAAGTTGCGTGATTTCTGTGCTTAAGGATTTCTGCTGGAATTCATCTAATATTTAAACTGAAACGTTAATTCTGATAATAAATTGATAATAAATTGAACTGATAATAAGTTTAATACCTCTAAGAATCATATTTTACTTATATTTTTCAATTGTAAATTAAGCGAATTGTTTATCTTTCAGGACATTTATAAAGGAATTTGTTTGAAAATTTTCATGGAGAAACCAATGTCTCAGCAAATACTTCGATCACTGAATCAGTCACTGATTCAAAGCAGGTGGCCATTTATCAATGAGTTGCTTCAGTGGAAGGAGAGGAATAATTCTGATATGATAATTGCATAGCAGACAGGTGTTCAAGCTATCAGAAATGTTATCAGCAGCAACCAGAGAGTAATAATTTTACTGATCTCATCTTATCTCATGCAAGCTTAAGAAGACTAGCTTAACAGGTGACTCTTTTATGAGCTTAGCTCACGTCATCAGTATAAAATGACTAAGATTTATTGGTTGAGTATGAAGACGACAGTCTTGTCACCCTAAGTTTAGTATAAAAGCTCTATGTATTTTATTTGATCTATTTCGAGATAAAGCTCTATGTATTTTATTTGATCTATTTCGAGATAAAGCTCTATGTATTTTATTTGATCTATTTCGAGATATGCCCATCTGATCAATAAGTTTGCGAGATCTTTCGTTATTTTGTCATTTCCGTAACTTTAGTTTTTGATATTTGAAATATTTTTATTCCTTTGAGTTTACCAGCAGTTTCGTTTCTTTTCAGTACAAAAAATTTCATCCAATTTTTCCATCAATGCAATATAATGTCATATCAGTTTGTTCCTTTCAATGTGATCAATGATCGATCCATTCCTTATTCAAATTCAAATTCGATACCTTTCCTTAGAGTCATCACACTAAGATAAAACTTTCAAACTCCGAACACTTTCCATGGATGTGGTCTATCTGCTTGATGACTCATTTATTTAGACATACTCAAGTAAATAACAATCGAAATAACAGTTCAGTTCCTTTCCACTTCTCCTATCTATTCCTGTTTTCTGTCTATTTTCCTGATTTCTGCTTATTCTGATCCTAAAGAAGAAACCGATTATAATGAAATCAATTATCGGTTTATGCAATTTCACAAGAGTTACCATCACTGACAGACCACCACCTGCTATCAGTTAATGATTTCTATTTGAATGAATTCTCTACCTATGCCTGGTCCTGGGTTCACCTCATATCCCTTGGTTCTTCTCTTCTACTTTTAAATAGTGTAATTATCTCTTTTACCTTTACCAGCGATAATTCTCAAATACTTCCACTGCAATCATTTATTTCTCCAATTTAGCAGTCGTCAGTTAAACTCACATTTCTGTATGGTCTCGAAACCGGAATGAACATCCTTTCCGTACGGTAATGTAATTATGCAATAACCCTATTCTCTTTTCCAGTGATACATTCCGGTTTTTAAGCCAATATAACGGATGGATCTCATACGGCCTACTACGTTTCCATTCCGTCAAGCTCACTCTTTTCAAGTGTCAAATTATTGGGAAGTATTCCGAGTACTATCTTCTCTAATTCCTTTATCGTTGACCACTCTACGACATTCACAACCCAAACAGTCTTACTCTGTCATTTACCTGAATTGAATTCCACATATATTTGTTCTGTTAAGAAATTTCATCTGTCAGTGAATTCCCAAATAATTTCAATCGACCATTCAGGACAAACGACTGATTTCATTTTTGTCACTGATACTATTCAGGCCCTTTCTTGTTATCAGAGCGAAATGGTCCTCAAGTCTGATGCGCCTACCAATTCGTGCTTCTCTAATCTCTAATATGCACATAAAGTAATTCAAAGGTTTTATCAAAATTCTGCAGTTACTCTCTCCCAGTTTGTCATCTACTCATTGCTCAATTAGGACGTATGCTTTTCATTTTAAAATGTTTCATAAAAAAGGTATCTCTGAATATTTAATGTTCACTATAATACAACTCTTACTTACTTACTTACTCTAAGAGCAGCAATCAAAGAATGAGATAATTTCTTATTCAAAATATAAGCATCAAAAGGAGTGTTGCAGGAGATTAGCATTAGCATAGACTGTCTTTGTCTCAGAGCTTTTGAAAAAAGATTTATTAATTTGGTTAAAGAAGAATGTATGATTCAAAGCTGTAATCGAATCGTAATGGAAGTTATACAACAATACAGAGATCTGATCTTTATTCCACAAATGATAAAAGTTGCAATACTTTCATTCAAGGTGGCAAACTCCCAAATGAACGATGCGAACTATCTAGATTAGTAGTGATGCTAGGAGTTGGATGAGGTCAAATAAAAGTTAAGTAAAAAAGAAAATATGTAAATCAAAACGACTTAAAATTCTACACTGACTAGAGAAACTATTTCAGAGGTGTTTGTAATACTCAGTTAACAATGTTACAAGTTTAAATTTATGATTAACATATTTCTTTCAAATGATATAATCTCCAAGTAATCCATTTTTCTATGCAATACAGAAGAGAGTATCACCAGCACCGGAAGAACGAATAATGCTGCTCGCAGGACAGTGACCTGTCACAAACATCAAAAGAACAGTGCAAAAAGGAGAAATGTTGTCGAGAGTATCGTGTTGCCCACATTCGATATTATGGTAAGAGGTACTGTACAGTCTAACTTTTCCAACGGTACATCAACTAATGAAATTCCAGCATAAGCAGGTGGACTGGCTCGATGACATGAGAGCTGATGCTTGTCACGAATCTGAAAGGATCAATTAAATAATGCTAAAATCTTTTTTTTTCAATTAAATTTTTCTAATTTGATAAGATATAAGACAATTTCAATAGCTCAATCAATTAAAATTATGCATATCATTTCTCGTCTTCTGATATCTATCTGAGCATATCTTATCAAAAAATATTGAAATACATGCCTTATCAGTACTTCGAATCCATTTGATGTAATCAATACTTTCACAGTTGCAATGAAACGAATTTCTTAATAACAACGAATTTGGCTGTGCATATCTGCCGATTCCTTGTCGAAATCCTTCATCCAGTTGACGAATATGATTCCTAGATGTAGTTGAGCTTAATAATGAAAACATACTATACGGATTACTGGATGGTATTTAAATCAAACATCAGAAACTAAGTCTGATTAGTCATTAAAACGTGAAGCAGTGGACACATATCGACAGAAAAATTTAATATGAGAAGGTACCAAACAACTTTCATTCACTTTAAAGCAGAAATTCTTTAAATTTGCTCTGAAAAATTGTACACGAATAAATTCAAAATACTTCAATACTTCAAAAAAACTTTTTGAAATGCAACATGAATAAAAGAAATGAGAAATTGCTACCTGCTAAGATCAATAGTCTCAATTCTGGATAAACATGTCGTATTAAGATTGATCGTTTGAAGAAAATTTTGGCGCAAATCGAGATACTTCAAGGATGGGAATGGACATGGTAAGTTGTAGGGTAGTTTGGTAAAATAATTGTAGCTCAGATCAATGTACTGCAATAGTACGCAGTAATGATTTTTCATTCAACGAAAAATGACAGAAAGAAAATTCAAATATTTACATTTCCCAAATTCATCACTCTTATACCCAAATTCATTACCCTTATACCCAAATTCATTACTCTTATACCCAAATTCATTACTCTTATACCCAAATTCATTACTCTTATACCCAAATTCATTACTCTTATACCCAAATTCATTACTCTTATACCCAAATTCATTACTCTTATACCCAAATTCATTACTCTTATACCCAAATTCATTACTCTCATACCCAAATTCATTACCCTTCATTCCACAAGGAAATGATATATAGCTTCAAAGAATTCATCGAAATTGCGCTTAATCACTAACACTATGCAATCAGTCAGTGTTTTGTGCTTTTCGAAAATAGCAAAGCATTTTGAGATGGCATAGAGTCATGTTAGCATCAGAAAGATATTTTAAATGTCAATTTGAAAAGAGAAGCTTACATTTAGCTGCTCTAAATTAGCTTTCCTGAACATTCGCATCATCAGAGAAAACTGTACGGTACGATTGACAAGCAGTGTGAATGCTCGTCTCAAATACAGCTGAAAAAAGTGTGCATATTAGCGGACTGAACCAGCAAACAAATTCAAATCAGTCTTACACTAGTATTTCATATATTGAAAAATCAATTAGGATCAAATTGAAATTAAATTATAATTTATTCCACCTCGCATGTTCAGAATTTAATTTCGAAGTTGTCAAGTTCTTAAGTGACAGCGATAAACAATTACTATGAATTCCCAAACAGAATACAGATACTACGATACAGACTATGAGTGAAGCTTTTTTCAATATATATGAAGCAGTCTGCCTTGCATACCTTCCCAATTATATCTTGAAATGTCCACTCACCTGTTTCAATTTTGGAGTATGTGACAGGAAATTGATATCCTCTTCTTTGAGCACAATTTCATTATTACTCAAATCGAGCACCAATAAATTTGGCATTCCTCGCAGTGCATTCGAGTGCAAATTCACAATGTAATTTGCTGAAATATTCAGCACCTGCAAAATAAAGCAAATAAATTTAGATAAGAAATTAGCTCTTATTGCATTCTTATCACTGTCCTTCAGATTCTGAAGTTTTTGATAACTAATAGTCTTAAACTGAAGATGAAATGAAAACTGAGTGGAATAGAAGAGCTCAACTCTATCAACCACTTGTTTATTTGAAAATTTAGTAAGCAATGTAGTGTAAGAAAATTTTGATAGCACATTTCTGTGTGACAGCATCTCGAATTACCTCGATATTTTCATGTTTATTTCGTCCAAATAACGGACTGTTAGGAAGATCTTGAAAGTTATTCCCATGAAATGTCACTTTCCGGAGGTGCCTGAAAGTGAAAAAAGAAACGTTTTCGTCTTACCGGAAAAAGCAAATAATATATGGAATTTTAATCACTATTTACCCGAACTGAGAAAAAGACAGAATTGATTGCTGTATACCTGTAAAGATTATTTACATGGAGGAAAATATCAGTATCAACAAATTGAGCATTTATGCAAGACAATTCGCTGTCCTGCTCTCGACATTGACAAGCTGCGTAATCACTCAGCGATCCCTGGCATTGGAAGCGTGAATTTGGATCCTAAAAGCCAAATTGATGAATACTTTCTCGACATCTTCCTATAATCCTACAATCACTTGGACACATGCAGTAAATGACTACTGGTCTATTGTAGTTTTACAGAGTTAAAGAGAAAAGAGAGAAATTGTCACCTCCTCCTCCGAAATAGATTGTCGCTTGGCTTCTACTGCACCAAAGACGCAGAAAGCCAAAAAAAACCGGACTACATGCAACAATGCGACAGTGAACTGAAAAAAAAAATGTATGGATTGGCTAGGTCAGTAGAGATAGAGAATGATTGGGTTCGAGTCAGATAGTTAAGTTTATTACTTAACTTTACTCTCTAATTAGCAGTAGAGTTATTTGACCTCTATCTCTTCTTGATCTCCTTTCAGCTTTTCATTGGAAATATTGACAAAATGAAATTCCTGCAGATGTAGTAGTGTTGTTGTGTCATTATTGGTGATAAAGACGATGGGTATGCGACGGGAGACAACAGCTAACCTTTGACATTTTCCGTTCTCTTCCAAAAATCATCTCGAAACTAGGAATACATTTCCCTCCTTTAAGCTAACTGGGTGGGATATGAGCTTGATAATAAATACCCAACTGATGCCACCTGGTAAAGCTAGGTGAATTTTCATTCATTAGCTAACTCATTCATTAGCTTATAAAATGATTAAATAGAAAAAGAGAAATTCACTAGTATAATTCTTCATTCCACAGTTTATCAAATAATAATCCAAGGCACTCTGCAAAAGTTCAGAGATGACACTACTTCCCTGCCCACTTTCTTCACTGATACCAACCATACCTACCTTCCTTCTTACCCTGCTCCACTTCCAACCACAATTTCAGATAGTCAGCAGACATCTACATAAATGATATGAGAGGAACTGCTGTTGTCTTACTTGCCTAATGTTGTGGCCAGAAGAGGAAGGCAGAATCGATGCACGCCTAAGCAGTAAGCAAGCAAGTAACTTGCTCTATGCCTAAGGACTGAAATTGATAATTGATAAAGAAGCAAGCAAGCACACATCGACCGATCGATGGATAGCTGTGCAAGAAATGGAGAAGGAAGACTGAAGGAAGCAATACGAGATCCGAAGGGAGAGTGTCACCACAGCATTGTCGAAATTATTTAAGTAAACTGATAGTTGGCTCTGGTTGGTGGTTAGCACTGCGCCACTGCAAACTTTGTTAAACTCTCGAATAGCACTAACGATTCCGAATCTTCCAGGCGAACAAGGATGCAAAAAAAGAGAGAGAAGAATAATTGGAGTTGCATATCGGAGAGAAACTCATGAGAAGAGATGACTAAATATTTCATGTAAACGAACTTAATCACTTGCTAAGCTTAAAAGTATTTATCTTCAAACAACTGATAAAAAGACTAAAGATAAGAGATAACTATTATAAATTACACTATCATAGCAAATAATTTTCCATTCAGTACTTTCTTTTCTTTGCAGGCAATTTTGCCTCCTTTGAAATAATCGAAAAAGCATTCTAAATATTTAGGCAAAACATTTGTGCTTTAATAAAAAAAAAGCCTACCATTATTCCGGTTCAAGACATTTCATCGCTCTTCCTGCTATTGCTTCTTTTTTTTTCCTGGAAGCATTTCAGCTTTCTTTTCAGAAACTGATCAAATAGCAATAAAGTTTGAACAGAAAGGAAATGATTATTCAAAATTCAAAACATTCCTGAAAGCTGTACATTCCATGAGAAATCAATAGAAGTAATATTGAAGATGACAAGCAATCCTATATAAATACAGTACGTAGCATAAGAGAGTGCAGTACTGACAATATTGACAATGAAATGGTGACAATGGTGACAATGGCGGAAATGAGATGATGGCAACGATATGAAATGAAATAAGGGAAGAAGCGCTACAACCACCAGCTAAAGTGCTTTGTGCTCTTTTCTAAATGAAACTAAACAAGACGAATAGTAATTTCAACTTTTTGCATATTCTCACTTTGCACTGCAAACCATTTCAGCATTTTTCCCGCGGGAAAAAGGGGGGGATTAGACCTGACAGGTGAGGGTAATTGATTAGATTAAGTCATTCAAGGAAAACAATACATTGATTAATTATTTAACGATGTTCTGTAGTGCAAATAAACTCAAAGACACATCGCTAACAGAAAAGAACTTTCAGTACATATTAAAGACAGAAAATATGAACGAAAGAATTTACTTTGAACGAATCACTTTAAATGAATGAGCATAATTTTGCGGGAAAATAGATAGAAATAGGAGAATTTAAAGCAATTAATAGTAACTCATGAAAACTTTCCTTTTGTTAGCTCAGTGTCCAGAATCCATCCAGAAAAACGGAATCATTGCTAAGTGAGAGAATCCCACTCCGCCGGAGACCAACCCTAATCAGAAGCGGCCAAATCTGTTTGTAAAATGTTACGGCCAAATCTACTTGTAAAGATGTCATACTAACAAACTAACATTATGCAAAGATGAGAAGAGTAGAGAAGTTGAGAGGACTGTGTAATTCGAAGTCACTCACTCAGATTGGATGGATTTCAAAGCAGTTCCGCGCGGAGACACATCGAGTAGCAGTGGCAGGAGAGGGTGCAGTGAAACGGAACGAAAGCGTTTCGCTCTTCCTGCAGACATTACTGCTCGTTTCATGCACCACAAAACTTCATTTCCTGACCAGCAAATTGCCGGATGGCTGGAAGGAAGGAAGGAAGGAAGGAAGGATGGATGGATGGATGGATGGATTTACTTTCCGAAATAGGAAGAAGCCATTAGGAAATAATTCATCCGTACTCCTACTGCTTTATACTGCGTGCTGCTACTTTCCTCTTCATTTTTGCTACCGCAGCTCTCAGTAAAGTTATCGAAATATAATTTCAAAATTCCGTCAACAATTTTAGTCTTATCGTTCCGCTTACTGAATGAAAGTAAGCTAGCAGTAATACCGGAATTGCTATAGCCTGAAGGTAGAGTACATTCCTGAACAAGGCAATGATAAAATGCAATATGTTAGCGAAGATGATTCACGATATGATCTTTACACTTCCATTTGAGATTGCACAACCTGAACTGTCCGATTTTTACAACCGGTAAATAGCTTCTTAGCTTCATTTCAGTTTACGTATATTGTCGATGTTTTTTCCGCAAACATTCATTCTACCTCGGAATGTACTCATTCGATAGAGTTATTTGCGAATACAGCGAAACGTTTATGCAATCTGAATGAAAAATTGAGAAAACAAACTTTCAAATGCTACACATTTACCAGTCGAACTGAAACAGAAAGCAGTTCCGGCACATGGTTATATTCCGGCGCATTTTATTCCGAAATTATGCAAATGTAAAACGAATTGCTGTAAATGAAAGAAAAGCAGAACAGGCGACTGAACAAAAGGAAGGGGGTGTATGTAGGAGGAAGCAGTGAGGCGCAATTATCCTTCAAACTAATTATCGATCAACGAATAGCTTTAGTTAATGAATGAATGATTGATTTATTGATTGATTGATTGATCTGCGGAATGAGTGAATGAATGACTAAATGAGAACTGCGATCAATTGACTGAAGGAGACATGACAGTAAAGCTTTTCATTTTTAAAGAGCTACCTCGACTAAAGATAGAAACTGCCAGAATGGAATATTTAACCCTCGGGTACCTTGTCATTCACTATGTCTACATCTTCTGAAGGTGTAGCTTATCGCAAGCGGATGAAGGCTTCAAATCAATTCTTCGTCTCGTGTGTCGCAAATGCATCGCAAATATAGCGATATGTGACAGTCAGTCAGTGTCATAGCTAATACATTCTTGCATAGCAGAGCTTGCTAGGATTTGCAAATTTGCAACATTCGACAATGTTTCAGTGAAGATAGGACGAAATCATAAGTAAATAATTATTGCGCTTTGACAGTTGCGCTTTTATAATATAGAACTAACTTGACAGTTGCGCTTTTATAATATAAAACTAACTTGACAGTTGCGCTTTTATAATATAGAACTAACTTGACAGTTGCGCTTTTATAATATAGAACTAACTTGACAGTTGCGCTTTTATAATATAGAACTAACTTGACAGTTGCGCTTTTATAATATAGAACTAACTTGACAGTTGCGCTTTTATAATATAGAACTAACTTGACAGTTGCGCTTTTATAATATAGAACTAACTTGACAGTTGCGCTTTTATAATATAGAACTAACTTGACAGTTGCGCTTTTATAATATAGAACTAACTTGACAGTTGCGCTTTTATAATATAGAACTAACTTTACATATGTCATAGCAGTTCTGTCAAAAAATCATTTTGAACGTGCATGAAATTAAGCAAATTTGAGTTGCATTTATATGTTCGCTTCCTTTTATGATTTCAAATTTCTTGGATTTCGATCTGAATTCTTTCCTTTTGACGCAAACGGAAAGAACTGAATAACACCGCAAGAGACAATGAATATCAACTTCAACGACATTCAGTATTTAAATTTATACTTAATTTATATATAGATAGATAGATAGGTAAATACTTAAATTTTAGTAGCAGCAAAGAAAGTAATTTAAAAAAGCGGAAAAGACATATATGCAATATTTATTAATGTGTAATATATGCAAACATATATGCAATATATTAATCACGAGAATGTCATAATGTCATGCATTGATATAATTATACGACAGGTTGCATAGATCACTTTTATATTGCAAAACAAACTCATTTTTATAGGTTATAACGATAGTTCAAAAAGAAATCTAATCTACGTGACCTGAAGTTTAAATCTAAGCTTAAAGCTCATTTTTGACTTTTTCTCTTCTCTTCTGTCATAAATGACCCATTTCATCTATTTCCGGTTATAAGAAATTGTTAGCATCAAAATCTCAGCTAACGATATGAGGTAGAGATTTTGAAGACGGGTAATTCCTCCACTTTTCATTACCACTCTTTATCCTTCCCGTGGTGCGGGTATTCTTGATCTCTTTCATTCCTTGTCGATCAATCTTGCAATATGTGAAAACAGTTGATTGAAAGTTGTTTAATTCATATAATAGAAATTTAATTAGTAATTATGGAAATGTACCTGTCAACAGAAATAGCCATCAGAAAATTATGCCAACATCCAATGATAGAAACTATTCGTGATGACAATGAGGTATATCACCGGTGAAAATCATTTGCAGTCTAATCACATTTTCAGTTTGAAATGTGTAATCCTTTCTCGTTGTTTCCCACTCATTTTTACATCATTTCTTGTTGTTATTGTTTAAAACTAAACTTTGATTTGAATCTCTTTTCAGGTTTGAGAACCTCTTTTTTACTTTATTTGTCTTATTGCATCTTCATTTCGAAAATATTGATTCCAACATTGTAAGTGACTCTTTCATGTGCAGTAATTCCTTTAAATTACTTTTTCCTTTATTAGGCAATTTTATAATTAGTTTCAAATTTTCAATTAAAAATCAAAAAGTAGTTAGAAGCCATTGCAGGTTTTGATTCGGACGTCTAGATCCAAACTTTAGATTGCTAGTCTAGGCCAAATCTCACAATTGCAAACAATCTAGACTTAATCATGAACTGAAAATCTAAAGTAAAACCTAAATCATCGTAGTAAGCGATCAGAAACTCAACAACGATTATTGAAAAGATGGAAAGTATTTCAAATTGAATTCACTCACAAAAATTTCAAACTTTGGCCTTCAGGATAAAAGAAATATTTACTGATGACATTTTCTCAGAAAGAACTTATCTTTCAATAAGAGAGAACAAATAATTTCCTTCCATTTTTATTAATTCATATCGAATCTGGCAGCTATTCACTTTTCTTCATGAAATAAACTAAACAATCTGATACTAAAGACGAAGTGAGATAAGAGATATCACAAGAGGGACACGGTGATTTACATAGTATAGGACACATTAAAAAGTCAGTCCATCAACTTTTATTAAATTAAGGTGAAATTAAAATTGCATTGCAAAAAGAACCATAAAGTAAACCATGTCTAAAGCAAATAAATATACATTTGGAAAATTCCGAATGAATCGCTTTAAACTTTTCAAATGCAATTTTCTAGTAATATTGTAACTTCTTTGATTGATTAAAGGTATACTTGTTTTGTCATCATGAAATGCTACAATTAATTTATTCAGTGAAGCAGTCTCCACACATCCGACCGGCAGACTACTGGAATACTGAAATGGTTTGGTAATTCCGTTTTTGCACCTGAATTAAAATAGAATGGCAAAGAATTCAGGTATGAGAATTCTTCAGTCTTAAAAATATGCTTTAATTATTATTTAAATTCATTCAGTTGTTCGTATTCATAAACAATACTCTCGATAATGACACTCATAATTTTGCTCTTTTTAAAATTCAAACATTTGCTTTTGTAATTAGCACTTATTATACTACTCGGTCTTGAATAAGTAATTCGAGAAATATTTGTAAAAAAATATTGGTGCCATGAAATCTTGTCACATTCATTTCAAATGATTTGGATGATTTTTTCTGGAGTAAAATCTTACTTTTAATGCTAATCGAGGATATTTTAGCTTCTGCTAAGTACTTGTCCCCCTCTCCTGTTACTTTGACCGGAAGTAAGCTGAAGAAGACTGATTAAAATGATATGTTGTTGTGAACTATGAAAAGTATCAGATGATTCATCAGTGTCGAGAGTAGTTTGAAAGAAAGTGTCACTCTCACCAGAAGCGATACTGAACAGAAGACTGAACCAAGTGACAGGGTCATAGGTCACAGATGCACTGAAGAAGAAGTGAAATGACAGAAATACTTGAATGAACGGAAGTGGGTTGGAATGAGAGAGAAAGACCAAAGGTTTAGTCTGTCCAATTTAGTTCCCATATTTCTTCTCTTGCATAGAAAGATCACTGTCTCTCTCTTTCTTTCACTTTATCATTAGCACTTCCCCACTCACTGTTATGTACAACCAGGATACAAACTTAAATCATATGGCCAGTCAATCCTCTTTCAAATCAATTCTTTGCACTGGGTAACTTATTAGTTAATTCACGTTAATCCTAATCCAAAATACTTGAGAGGAGCAGTTGATATTTGTATGTTATAACTGAGCTATAGATGGATACATTGGTTTATGCTATTCTGCCATCAGACATTCGAATATGCTAAAATTCTAAAGCAGATTGTAACTATGGAATAATATATTTTATTATTGGTTTCAAAAAATTTCTTTTGCACAATCACTTTTAAAAGAGGAAAGTATTTGAGTTAAAATAAGTCATTGCACTGATCGAAGTTTCGTTTTTTTGCTTCTCTTTTTCATCAAAAAAATTGATTTATTTTTATAATACGTATGCATATATATTGTATTATTTTGAGTTGGCTAAATTAGTGCTAATTGAGAACTCTTTTCTATTTCAATTATGCCACTCATCGGCACTGATTAAGTTATCTTCCTTAAAAATAGACGATAGCGAAATTAAAATTAAGGTCCAGGCATTAATATTCGACCTGATTTTTTTTAGAACAGCTAATTACTAATGAAATTTCACCGTAAAAATGTTGCAACGGCATTTTAAAGTCGTTATTAGAATAGATATAGTTATATTATACTAATAGAATAAAAGTATTGGTAATGTTAGTAGGAACAATTAGATTAGATTTCTATTAATCTCTAAAGCATAATTCATGTATAATTTTTTATGATTTCGGTTTCGGTTAGAAGATAGAAAGATTTATGGGCTTGTTAAATCCACAGAAGAGACAGAACAAATTTTCGAATTTCTGAGCAATAAAGCGTAACTTCGATAGACTTGTAATTAAGATAATTGATTTTGATGAAATAACAAAATATTCATGCAGTTGGCCAAAGACTTCTTCGAATTTTATCATTGCACTAAAATTTGTATCGTTATTTACCATCATTTAGTAAATCTGATACTTTAATAAAAGAGTATCTACAATCAAAAGTTTTATCTATCTAATCGATATAAGTTATCTTTTTCAGTCATAGAGTATTTGGCCTGACATATCAACTTGTGGTGATGAAAAAGAATCATTTGCACAGAGTTAGAGATATCAATGATCTTACTATTGCTGGTGCATGCTTAATTGAAATGAAGGATTAGTGTTTAGTGCATAATGAAGAATAATACTGCTATCACGAGGTCGAGAATGGACTAAGGCGAAGAAGTTTTTATGGAGAAGAAACGAAACAGAAAGTTAGATTCAGATTAACAGTTCGAAATAAAATCAAAAATTTTCCATAGAAGTTGAAATAAAAATTTGAATAGAGTTTCCCAAAATGAATGATTAGTTTTTTTAGAAAAATTTACCTAAATGAAAGAATTCAGCGACTGGAAGAATTATCATTCAGAGAGGAAAACTCTCGACAGTCACCACTAATTAGCAGCTATATTAAGGTAACCCTGACTATTATCTAAGCTCTTCTTCTATCCAGAAGTTTTTTAAAAGAAAATGAAAATTTATCAGCTACTAACCATCCTAGTGTAATTTTTTCTTGCTTGTCATCATAATTGTTAAATTGAGCAAAACATACAAAAATGTTGTTTGTATGTACAAATGAATACACTTAAAGACCTTATCATTCTCGCTGTCTATATTCAAAGCTATTGGCCATACCCTGAATTTTTCAAAGATTTTGGAATAATTCATTAGTCTTACTTGCAATATTAAGGATGGAACAGCTAGGAGTGAATCAATTGACACAAACATTTTGAAATAATAAAATTGAAGGAAGCTTTTCCTTCCAAAGAAACTAACTGCAAATCAACAGTTCGAAGGAATAGCAACGCTCGAAAATTAAATTCATTCCAGAAAATTGCTTTATTGGTGATTAAATGATGCGTCCCTAATCAGAAAAACTGAACGCATTACATTACTTCAGAGGGCAGTCATATTGACATGAAACAATGGTGGTATTACATATGAATAGCCTTGAATTGATTGTTTTTGAATTAATGAGAACAGATTCCTGACAGGTGGTAGCAGAGTCAGCATCTACTACCCAGTAGTCGATCGAGCAGGAAGTAGTAGCTGCTGTGATCAACGAGAGACTGGACACTTTTGTTTTGCCGTTTTATTCTCCGACATGCGATTGATTACGTTTTCCATGTTATTCATTTGCTTTATGGAGAATTATATCGTAGGGTGGTTATGGAAAGACAGTTCAAAGTTCATTTCTCTTAATAAACAAGGTTTTGTTATAAGCTTATTTGTTATAGAGGAACAAATAAATCGATTTGTTTGGAATGAAGAAATTAGCAAACAATTTATGGAATTCATGCATTGAGATTTGTCTGGTTTGGCTCTATAATTTTCACTTCTGGTTTCAGTAATGGTTGAAATAAAATTCGAAAAGAGTGAAGAAATGGAAAGCGTTGCAGCACTTCCGCAGAAATATCCTGTTGTCGATATAGCATAATGACAAGAAAGTCCAATGTAGAGGTGTAGCTGATCAGTTTTAAGTATGAATTGTACAGATCGGCATTTTCCATCTCAAATAGTTTGGTGCAGTATGTTGTAACGTTGGGTAGAACAAAAAACGCTGCAACGATGGAATGTGTGTTACATCGATGAGACATAAGCGGAAGAAATGAAAGATATTGTGAACAGTTATCCGGTCTATCTGTTGCATCAAAGGATGATATAGTTAGGTGATAAGAAGATAAGTCTGTCCTCTGTACTTTCCTGTCAACTTATGTTTCATACAACAAATTACCTGTTAGCTAATCGTAGTAAACAACATATACAAAACTTACCAAAAGTAAAGCAGCAAGAGAAAAGCATAGCTTGTGTGAAGCCTCGCTGACGTGTGTTGAAATTGGCCAAACGACGATCAACCCTAACAGTTTTTTGTACTTGTCGAAATTTCATCAAAACAACAAGCATTACGAGAATGCTCATAGTTGAAATAAACATTCGTGCAAATAGAAGGACAAAAAGCGTTCTTCTTGACATCATTACGTAACATCTGGAAAGCAACATATATTAAGGTAAGCGTAGCTATCACGTAGTATTAGCTGTCATAGTATTGGCTGTCGTAAATGTAAATATCGATTCTACGAATGATAATAGTAAATGAAATGAAAGAAACTGTTGAACCACGTCCAAACAATGATGTGATCACTCCTTAATTAATCTTGAGTTGAGTTCTCTTAACTGAATGATGCATAAAATAATTCTTAGCGAATAGTTCTTGCTAAGAGAATTGACGTGAACATTTAACAAGTCAGAAAGAAAAACGAACGTGCACTTATTGTTAACAAATGGTACGTTAAATTTAGCGATAATGACGTAAACCATGAAGCCAAGCTGAAAAAGACCAGCCATGGAAAGCTGGACAGTAAGGTACAGTTTTGGATGCAGAAAATAGCTGATTGGATTGTATATCACCAATAGTCGATCAGTACTGTTCACTAGCAGTGTTATCGGAAGAAGTAAAAAGGAAAATAATTCGTAGTGACTCGCAACCTGAAATCACATAATTTGAAATTTTCTTTGGTAAACTGTTCGAAGCAGCTAAACAAGTATGGCTTAAAAATGTTAGTTAGCCAAAAGGTACCTATTTCAATTACTGGATGAACTGAATTTAAAAGCTTGAAAAATTGATGTGAAATTAAATGCAGGCATTTTGGAAAGCAAAAATGTGTACGCACTATATTATTTTAGGTGTCATCGGTTTACCAAAAAAATTTGGCTATTAGATACTATTAGATGAATAAGTTCATCAAAATATAAGAGAAATGAATGTCAGCAAAAAAAAAAAAAAAAATCAAGAAATCAACATTGGAACATTGCGCAAGATAGAAAAACATTTATGAACATTGCGCAAGATAGAAAAAAGAACTTTTTAATTTCTTCAAGATTAACTTTCAATGCAGTTAGACTGTCTCTATTTTTCGAACTTGATCAGAAAAGTTTTTTGGAAGTAAATATTAAGTTAGAGGTTAAAACATGGAACAGTTAATTAACCTGACTGAAGAACAGAATTTATCGGTTGAAATGTTAGAAAATTACAAAATATTGAAGACTAGAAATTATAGCCAAAAGAAAAATAACCAACTGGGCCAAGGCAGTTCCACGGCGTTCTGTTAGTGTAGGAAGATTGATTGGTATAGTTCTTGCAATCATTTTCATTCCATAATTCCATAATAATTGAGAAAGCTCGTAGCATGCAATTAAATCCTAGAAAAAGTCATCGCAGACGGACGAACTCTTGAAATTGTTCCCAATAAAAAGTTATATTTGTATGCAGCAAGCACTTCTGTGCCATCCGAAAGAAGCAACAAGCAAGCTGAGCTGATACAATGTGGATGGAAATATCGGAGAGAGTCCAATCACAACCTTTCCTCCTCAACTCTGTAACTTACCTCCAATTGCAGCAGCCAAAAGTAGTAAAGCCAAGATAGCATACCGTAGCCTTAATTTACTACTTGCAAGAAGAGCATAAAGTACAGGAAGATTAGCAATAAGAAGTAAAGTGCCCAAAGCCAAGCAGAGAATGCTTATAGTTATTGCGTGAATCTGCGAATAGCTATCCATCAACCCTGAAAATTTCACACTCTACAAATCGCTGAGACATTTCCATCCTCTTTAAAGCAAAGGCTTTACCTCATCTATCCATTGCTTAAATACACGAGCGTAACTTACATACCGTATGCTGCGTGTCCTACCTCGTATACGGTATGTACTACGGTATGGTCATCACCACTTTAATGTGATGCTTTGGAATGAGATACAGTCACACATCCACAACACAAGAGATAACGCAGAATATACGCAAGTTTGGCGTGTATTTCACGTAATTATCTATTCACTTGACGTGTTCCTCCCAGTTTCCAGTTCCGCGACAGGAATCTAATAATGGCGCTGTGAAGGGATCAAATGATCCAACGGAACCAGCATCGACTTTTGGTATAGAGGGCGAAAAAATGGATTTCATTTCCTTATTTTCGTAATGGATAATATTTCTGGAATTAGTGAAGTGAGTGTGTAGTGGATTGGGTGACAATTCTTATGCTCGAAAATGATTCATTCTTCTCACTTATCTATCACTTTTTCAATGAAATTTTTGAGAGTAATCATCAAGTCATCCGCCCTTGTGAAGTGTACAGTAGAGATAAGCTAATTATATGTGTTTCATGTCACATGCAATTGTGATTAATTAACATTTATATGAATGGAAGAGAAATGATAGCCAACAAAAAGGACTGAACAAACAAATCTAAGAAATAAAACTTTTCATCACCGAGGACCGAGGTGAGAGAAGTCCGAGGGGAAAGATTAGAGGATATTTCGAGTCATTTCCATTCCATCACATTACATACACACATACACATACACATACATACATACAAACATACACAAACACGTAAGTGTACACGTGTAACGCAGAATGACATGTGTTTATCTTGGTCCGTTAAATATATGTACGTCTGCATATGTGCAGTGAGGACCTAAATTGAAAGCCAGATTTGTTGCTGTATGTAGCGCTTGACTTTAGACTTTAGATGGGAAAAGACACGTAGAGAACGTAAAGAAGCCAAGGACGTAAGAGTGACGAACACTTTCACTAATAAACGACGTGAAGGCTTGACCTGATCTATTGGAAATGAAGCTGATCGCTGACGTATATTAGAAGTGGTAACGAAGGAAGAGCAAAAATGAACTTACCAAATGTAAGCGATTGCTTGTCACTTACGTTTCATAAGTCATCAAAATTTTAACGTAATTGACTTCTAATTGAAAGTTTTAGGGACACAACAGGTGACGCAAATGTTGTGATAGCAGTGCAACGCAAATGACGCAAGGAGTAAGTGAATGTGTTAAAAATTGCCATTGAAGTAAACTAAAGCAGTTGCAGGTGCATCTATCCATCCTAATATGAATATTTTAATTAGCATTTTCCAATAAAACAGCTCATTTTCTATAGATTATAAGCATTGCTTACTTCTAACTTTATTACCAGCTGCTTTGAGACTTCGAATTTTTGATAGAACCAAGAAATGAAGGCTTTCTCAAGACCTGATTTACGAGTAAGACTATTATTTTAGCGATCTTTGTTTGGCTTTGACGACTTTCTATCCTCTTTGGCAGAAGTTAAAATAACAAACAACAAAACCTTATTTTTGTTTACTTGAATATATTACCTAAAAGTTTGAATTCAAAGGACAAAATCGAGTAAGATCGTCTTACAAATCAACATATCTGCTCATTTCATCTCGTTTTATAGCATTTGGTCACTGATTCTTCTTTCTCGAATTTTTTGCTCTCTCAAGCTTTTTGATCATTACTATGCAGAATTTAAACATCGACAAAAATATGTCTCAGCCTTTCACTTTATTCATTTTGCTTTTATCAGTAGGATTGATAACATTTATGATTAGCTATTTCGAAGAAAATAACTGGGCTGAATTCAATATCGAATATTGATTAGTGACGTATTCCATGCAGAGTATACGTTGTTGCTGCTTGAATTCTGGGTAAATTTAAATTTCCCTTTTAAATGTCATATGAAGTTTTTAAATTTAAATGTGACATGAAGAAGCATATAAAGGGAAGGAAGCATTTCAGGCGAAGGTAACATAGTTTTCTTTGTCACTAACTACAGCGATTCTTCTAAGATTCGTGTTCTGATTTTACGTCATTTCTCTTCTAAATTGTGTCTAATGAAGATTTATAGAAATGATGAAATTAGAAATAGAGACACAGAAATAGATGTTAAAATAGTCATTTGTTTTTTATTACAAGTTTAAAAAAAAAAAAATTTATTTTTGGAATGAGTGAAAAATCTTTTTCTGAAATGAAAGAGACATATTTCAGTTTGACCTGGTTTTTCCATCCAAGGTCAGCAATGAATTTTGTGGGCTTAGAAAATCCTTAAACGAAATGAAAATTAAACCATAATTATTTCTTCACATTTGATCATTTCAACTTCATTCCATTTTGAAATACGTCGAGCTCAGATGAAGGGAAAATATCATTTTTGGTTTCAACAAAAACATATAACAGCATTTGAAGTTTAATACTGAAATAAGTAGATGAAGGAAAGAGACAGATGACAGTTCAATACTGGACAATAGCCAATAAGTTGATTAGACGTGTGATCAAAACAAAATTGAAAAGTGAACGATCCAAAAAACATAAAATAATAAACTTTCAGATTTTTGTAAAGCTCAGTAAATTATCCTTCGAACAGTCATTCAGCAGCTAAACTCGCTCATTTCTTAATGAATTATCATTTCGACTTCATTTTTATTCGAAATAAAATTTGCTTAATATCTTAGTATGATTATGTTTTCACAGAGAAACAATCTTTTCAGGTGCAAGTATCACTAGATTGTTACAAATATGTCAACGTCTTCATTAAAACTATATTAACCTGTCGGTTTTCCAGTCCAAACATTATGCTACTTTCTGAAAACAAGTTTGTTTACAACAATGACAGAACTGTAAACAAAACTAGACTTTGTTTATTGTTGTTGTTGCAGGAAACAAATGGAATTGATTGTTTCAGTGTATTACTTTCTGTTAAAATTAAAAAAAATGTTACAATTGAACACTTAAACATCAAATTTATGCATTCCACTTCACTTCTTAACACTCTGACAACAGAATGAAATTGAAATTCCGTCCCTAACTTATTTCTAATCAAAAAAAAAAAAAAAAAAAACAATTAACACGTACAGTGGTTGAAGCATTGTCTGTTTACGTAAAAGAACTGAAATCAACTCTCTGATCAAACTTTCACCCATCTTCTGAAAGCTTTTAAGATAGGACTAAATAGTTGCTAAAATTAAAGATAACTGAGAACAAAATCAATAAGTTTAGAAATACATGCCTTGTGAAGGTCTGTCTACCTAACTTAATTTAGAATATATTTTATGAATGTCAATAAATTATAAACTGTCTTTCATTTTCGCAAGTTCATTTTTCTCACTAACTATATCATATATTTAAATGACTATTTGATTAGAAAGTAAATTCCAAATCTCAGAGAATCTCCAAAAATATTTGTAAATGTAAATAAATACTTCTTTCTGAGAGTCTGCAGTAGTCTACTTCAATGTGCACCTTAAAATAGCCAATTGATAACCTGGCATACTGTCATTATCATAATCAAATTGAAATATTTATGCACAAATTAAAAGATCACTTTAATTTTCATAGAATTATACAGTGCAGTGGAAGAAGTCCTAGACTAAAGCTCAAAAGTCCAACTGAGAAGAATAGTATGAAATGGGATTGATAAAAATAATTACAGAGAGAGAATCATACTGAACAGAATACTTTCGTTGCCAGGAATTGATATGCAAGAAAAAACCTGAAATTGGTTGGGAAGCTAAAGTAAGTACCATTTAGTGAAAATGTAAAAGAAATGCTGAATATCTGTTCTGTAATCAATGCAATGAATTACAAAATTTACGACAGTCTAACTAATTAATCAAAGTGATTTTATAACATATCGAAACATTTTTTAATAAATCTATAAGACGAGAATCTGTGGAATAAAGGTTATTGCTAAGAGCATTGATTATTTCATTTAACATTGTCTCTTAAATAATTATATAACTTTGTCTGCGAGTAATCTTGCATGCATTACTGCAACTCTGCTTGTTCATCACTCACTTGTAAAGTGTCCTGCAGTCTCGGCTCAATACTCCTCTGCAACAGACCGTTCTCTATCGGATGACAACCTGTAAAAGTCCCAACCAACTTTCTCATACGACCAACTACCCATGACTCTAGTTTGCACCTCAACTAGTTATAGTTATATATATGTCAAATGCTCAGCCCTAAAGAATTTTGATTTCAAGGTTTTATTTTCAAATGACTTTGTATTATTTCAGTTTGGTTCAGAATATGATTATCACTCCTTGATGAAGCATTAATTCTGAGAATGTTTTTGATTTGAAGATTTTTCCTTTTACGAGAAAAAAGAGTTATCGTCACGATCAGACCAACTAATCCAGGTCTGTTCCCGAGTCGACCACTGCTTCCATCGGATCACTGCAGTGTCAACCAACAACAATGTCACATCTCTTATCCATCGTATCTTGAGGACATGTGACACTGCAGTTTTGTGCCATCTGACCGAGCACTTGCATTGAACTGAATTCATTTGCATGGAAACACCATAGTGATTAAGCAAAGAAAGTAATTTGAGTTTTCATCTGTTAGAGGAGAATGTTAGAGAAGTCAGTCTAATTCGATAGCCATTCTTGTTACAATGATGAAAGTAGGGACAGACAACAAGAGAAACTGTAGACAGGAATACTCTCACTCGATGTACATTAGCCATCAGCAAGTGAAACAAACGGTACCGGAAGGGATGTAGAAGTAACTGAGGGAGACAAAGAGAGCAATTATCTCATAAAGAGAACGGTAACGAAGAGAGAGAGAAAGAGGAGGACGGGCGAAAGTGAGTGTGCAAGCGTAAAATGTTGGTGCTAAAAGGAAAAAGACAAAAAGTAATTGAAAGATGGAAAGAATGGCAATCTGTGATGGGACATTTCCGCTTGCGCTTTTAGATAATCTCACAAAATTTTAAATTCTTTTTATCTCTGTAACAAACAGCTTACTTTTAAAGATTTTTGCAATAATTTCTATATAACACAATGTGACATTCATATTTTATGCGACATTATTATTGTGAACGATAATAATGTTTATTGTGAACGATAATAATGTTTATTGTGAACGATAATAATAATGTTTATTGTGAACGATAATAATGTTTATTGTGAACGATAATAATGTTTATTGTGAACTGTGAATGATAATAATGTTTATTGTGAACGATAATAATGTTTATTGTGAACGATAATAATGTTTATTGTGAACGATAATAATGTTTATTGTGAACGATAATAATGTTTATTGTGAACGATAATAATGTTTATTGTGAACGATAATAATGTTTATTGTGAACGATAATAATGTTTATTGGTGAACGATAATAATGTTTATTGTGAACGATAATAATGTTTATTGTGAACGATAATAATTTTTATTGTGAACGATAATAATGTTTATTGTAATAATGTTTATTGTGAACGATAATAATGTTTATTGTGAACGATAATAATTTTTATTGTGAACGATAATAATGTTTATTGTGAACGATAATAATGTTTATTGTGAACGATAATAATGTTTATTGTGAACGATAATAATGTTTATTGTGAACGATAATAATGTTTATTGTGAACGATAATAATGTTTATTGTGAACTGTGAATGATAATAATGTTTATTGTGAACGATAATAATGTTTATTGTGAACTGTGAACGATAATAATGTTTATTGTGAACGATAATAATGTTTATTGTGAACGATAATAATGTTTATTGTGAACGATAATAATGTTTATTGTGAACGATAATAATGTTTATTGTGAACGATAATAATGTTTATTGTGAACGATAATAATGTTTATTGTGAACGATAATAATGTTTATTGTGAACGATAATAATGTTTATTGTGAACGATAATAATGCCAAAACCTTTAGTTGCTTAGTTGTCAGTCTAAGATTGTTCGATCGTAAGATAAAAGGGAAATGCGACATGTATAAAGTTACAGAATGACAATTTATTAATATTATTCGTTTATTTCGAATTATTTTTACTTCGGAAATGACTTTTACTTAGTGATTTGTCCATTTAAAAAAACTTCAGTCCTGTGCTTACATAATGCTACAGAATTATGAAGTGATAATCCATTAATATTAATAAATCACTGGTGACTGATTCATTAAATTTCTGATATTTAGATTTCGTCGCGATTAAGCAAGTCGTATTAGTCTTTATTTGCTGACTATTCGATATAATTTACGAAAAAATTTAAGCTGCATGCGAACATACCGCACCTTGCATTCAGGTGTTTACTCGCATTTGCATTTAACCAGTAAAGTGATTTGAAAGAAATCTTTATTGGAGTTACAGTTAACACTAACAATTTTCTTAAATTTAACAGTGCTCTCTATGTGTTCGGAAATATTTTTGTTGAATTGAAGGGAATTTTATTACATTCACTAAAGCTCCTTTAATGATAGACTTCATTTCTTCATAATTCTCGAGTGCTTCTTGAATTTCTTTAGTTGATTGTTTAACATTGTCAACCTAAAGTAATTTCTTTCACAGAACAATTTCTTCCTGAGGTAATTTAATTTAGTATTTTCCAGATGATAGTTAAGAGCAATCGATAGTAGAATGATAGTAGAAGGGAATTTAAAAAGCACTTTAAATTTAACATCAGAATGAAACTCCTTGAAAACGGCAACATGCTATATTGTGTTCAGTTTTATCTCTAATATTTTTTCAACTAAAAAATAAAGTACATTTTGTTGTGAGGAAGCTATTCTAATTGCAAAAACCTTTTTTCAAATATTGGCTATTACCACATTTTTGATCATTCGAAGTAATAAATCTCCAAATCTGAGATAATAATGGACCCGCGGTGCATTCTTTTAAGGCGAACTCACGTTGGTAAACAAAAATTTTGTTGAATTTATAATGAGTCGAATAGTGAACTGTACCAAACTCATCCATTTTCGATTATATTGGTTTCTAGTTTTTTCCTCTAACTTTAATTCATTTGCCAGTTCCTTCAATATAAATGATGGCTGCGAGCCAATGTCAAATAATGAATTTGTGCAATTCATTCGACTTCTTGCTTGAAAGTAAAACTTCCTTACCTTTTTGATTCGTTAGTTGAATTGTTGAATTGTTAAATTCGTTTCTCATTTGCTCTAAAAAAGAAAGGCAAAGATTAAAATGAGTGGTATTGAAAAAAGTGTAGTGTTTTAAATTATTACTTAGTCAGAATCATTTTTACTTATTACTCACTGGATCATTGTTCATTCAAATTTTTACCTATATCCAGTCAATTCATTGTGAATTACTTTTCATTTTTGATCACTCTGGAATTAATGCCTTCTCAGTACTAACCATCTCAATCTACTACAGTTCGATCGGTTATGAATACATTGAGATAGATCTGTTGAGGAAGAATTGAATGTGATCAACTGAAATACAATTAAAATAGTAAGCAGTACTTAAAAATAAATGTCGGAAATAAGTTAATATATTTCCAATTATCATTTAATTTACGTCACCAAAATTTAAAACTGAAACTTTTACAATATGCAAATAACTCACTCAATATTTTACTTACTACTCAATATACTATATTTTATTAAACAAAGCAGACAGGATTATTTAATACTACACAATTAATTAAATATTTCACCATACGATGACATTTAATCCCTGCCATTCATCAATTTCCTTTATACAAATGTTATCTCCATTTTGTCAATCAAACTTTTGAAAATTGTCCCATCTTTTCAAACATCAAACATCGCTTATGTTGAAATTCTTTCTGATAATAGCAGTGGATGTATGTCAAAAAGCAATAATTAGCAAATTTCAGGTGATGCTTCCATCCGATGAAGTTCCCATCGGTGATACTATCAACAGATGTGAAGATGCGACTTTATTAAATGAACCCAATTAAATGCATGAAAATGATTAGAATCTCATTCTTCAGGTCGTATTACTGAAATGATGGAACAATACTCTTCCTAAGTATCAGATTTACGTACGCGCTATTGTAACACTTCCTTCCGGATTCAAAAGAGCATTCATAAACTAGCAGTTGGGCAAGAGAAAAACGAAAATGTAAAAGAAAAAAACGATAAACAATAGGCAGATTAAAAACTGTTTGAACCTTTGATCTTTAATTGAAATAAAAAGCTTTCATTTGAATATTTCTGTCATTTCACAAAATTGTGTTCCATCATGTTCTTCACTGTATCTATAACACCAATCATCTGGTTCAATCTTCTACTTTGCATCGCTTCTGATAAAAATGAAACTTTCTATCCACCTAATTTCGGCGCTGCTGATGAAATTATTACAAATAATACTTATTCTGGTGTCTCAGATAGCTTTGATTACAACAACTTTGAACCATTATTTAGCTCAGAATTTCTGTTCGATCCTTCGCAATTCATTGATTTCGCTCAAGTGAGTGGAATTGAGGATATAAGCAGTAAAGAATCGAATTCTGAGACCGATCTGTTCACAATTACTCCTCATCCTGGTTTCATCTCACCTAGTTATGATGATTTCATTGTCCACACTAATTTGGAGTCATCACTTGCCTCAAATTTGGATTCATTATGGAGAGATGCCAATGGAGAATTAAAAACGAATGATGATAAAGCACGATATCCTTCCATTAGAGGTGAGACTTTTGCTTCAAATATGTGAAAAGATAAGTGAACAACTTCTTGTAATCTAAGTTATTTAGATACTCAAAGTGGGACTTCTTCGCCACTTAATGTCGACACCGATGACATTATCACGTATATGCACTTACCTGGTTCACAACAAAATGTCGTTCCGATCTATTTTCACCAACTTACTCTTTCCTCAGACGGTACATCCGGTCAACATGGAAATGCTGAACTGATCAACATGGACAATAAGCACTTCTCGGATAACTTGAATGTCCCCAAGTACAGGGGAAATACCAATGAAGGATCAGAAACAAGTAATGACAAATTGCATAACGATTTTTCTTTCTACTTTTATAGTTTTTTTTTTACTTTCATTCAATCCATAAAATTAAACATATCTACCACACTAAAACAAAAAATCCACAATTATCGATCGAAATTCTAGAAGTAACTTAAAAGTATAATTTTTACTTCAAATATGTGAGATGATATAGATAAACGTTTAGTACCTAAGATATTGAAATCTAAGTTATTTAGATGCTCAAAGTGGGACTTCTTCGCCACTTAATGTCGACACCAATGACATTATCACGTATATGCACTTACCTGGTTCACAACAAAATGTCGTTCCGATCTATTTTCACCAACTTACTCTTTCCTCAGACGGTACATCCGGTCAACATGGAAATGCTGAACTGATCAACATGGACAATAAGCACTTCTCGGATAACTTGAATGTCCCCAAGTACAGGGGAAATACCAATGAAGGATCAGAAACAAGTAATGACAAATTGCATAACGATTTTTCTTTCTACTTTTATAGTTTTTTTTTTACTTTCATTCAATCCATAAAATTAAACATATCTACCACACTAAAACAAAAAATCCACAATTATCGATCGAAATTCTAGAAATAACTTAAAAGTATAATTTTTACTTCAAATATGTGAGATGATATAGATAAACGCTTAGTACCTAAGATATTGAAATCTAAGTTATTTAGATGCTCAAAGTGGGACTTCTTCGCCACTTAATGTCGACACCAATGACATTATCACGTATATGCACTTACCTGGTTCACAACAAAATGTCGTTCCGATCTATTTTCACCAACTTACTCTTTCCTCAGACGATACATCCGGTCAACATGGAAATGCTGAAGAGAGCAACATCGATAACACATCAATGAAGGATCAAAAACAGGTCAATGAAGGATCAAAAACAGGTAATGATGAATTGCATAACGATTTTTCTCTCTATCTCTTATAGTTCTTCAGAACTATGAATAGTTCTTCACAATAACGAATCAAAAACCAAAACTTATTTCGTCGTTCAGAAGGCGACATTAAAAGTACAATTATTGCTTGAAACATGTGAGAAGATAAGTAAATAACTACTTGTTACCTAGATTACTTAAAATATTCAATATGATATTGTTTTTGTGCACTGACATTTTTGTGATTTCTCACATTACTTAACTACAAAATAGTATAATAGATTTACTGATTGCAAAAATGCATGTTTTGACATGAATTTTTCAGATAACAGAAAGTATATTTGTTATTATCCCGGGTGTACTGTGATCGCGACAAATTACAACGAATATATAACACATAGGAAAACACATGGTCAACCTCTCATCTATGAATGCAAAGTGCCCGGTTGTGGGAGGACATTCAACCATAGAACATCATTTTGTAGTCACATACAAACGCATCAACCTAAGCATCAATGCAAAAATTGCGGCAAACTCTTCTGTAGGAAGAATATACTGCAAAAACACAACAAGCACTGTGGCACACTACTTCGTTAGTATCACAAATTTTTTTTTAAACTTTTTTTTGAAAAACAATATTTAAAATCGTTCAATTTAAAATATAATGTATATGGAAATGTGGTTTAAAACATCGGTGACCATGGTATAGCAATATACAATTCAGAAAATGCTGCGACATTTTTCTAACCTCAGTGCCTTTTGTATATGACTAAAGTCCTGTGGCAGGCAGTTAGCATATACCGTAACAACTGATGTTTTAATATCGCGAAAGATTAATTTTTTTTTTTTAAAAAAATTACTTGTCCATTACTCGATTACTTGAAGTTGGGAGTACAAACAATGACGAAAACTAAACTTGATTTCGCCACAACAGAAAATTCACAATCATTTGTTGTGCTTTCCATTGGAAGTATAGCATCAAAAGTAAAAAGTAATACCAAAAGTTTTGTTTCAAACATATGAGAAGATAAATAAACAGATTATTATGATTTAAGTAATTTGAAATGAGATACACTAAGATTATTTTATGCACTGATATTTTTATGATTATTTATCACATGGATTAATAATTGCAAAGACGAATATCATAAGAGTTTTTTAGACGAACGAAGCTACGAATGTGTCTATCGAGGATGTACTATGGTCACAAAAGATTACAATGAATATATAGCACATAGAAAAGCACATGGTCAACCCTTCATCTATGAATGTAAAGTGCCCGGTTGTGGACGGACATTCGATCGTAAACCATCATTTTACAATCACAAGCAAACGCATGAATATCATCATCAGTGCAAGTGCTGTGGCAAATTCTTTAGTACCAAAAATGGACTACAAAAACACAAGAAGAACTGCCCAACAAAATTTCGTTAGTTTGCAAATTTAGCAAATTTTTGAGCACTCATATTAGCCTAAAATAAAGTTGAAATGTGTTATGAAGCATCTGTAACCGTTGAGTGACAATACAACGGAAAAACTCAATTACATTTTTTGTTGTAGCTATACAAAAGATAATTAAACATCTTCTTGTGATTTAAATTATTTGAAATGGAATATAGTAAGATTATTTCATGGAAGTGATATTTTTATGGCTTATCAAAACTCAATTAACCATAGTGGAATGTCAATTACAAAAACAAATGTGAATTTTTTTTAGATAAACGAGGTTATGAATGCCTTTATTCTGGATGTGCTGTGATCTCGAAAAGTTTCAACGATAATCTAAAGCATAAAAGAACACACAATGGACCTTTTATTTATGAATGCAAAGTGTCCGGTTGTGGACGAACATTCAACCATGAATCATCGTTACGCGACCACAAGCAAACGCATGAACCTCGTTGTCAATGCGAGGGCTGTGGCAAATTCTTTTATCGTATGAGTGTATTAAAACTTCACAAGAAATCGTGTTCCAGAGCTCCTCGTTAGTTTCCCAAAGTTAACAAAACTTAGGTCAGCCTAAAATAGAATGCACGTGAAGTGTGTTATGAAGGATTTGTGACTGCTGAGTGACAATACAAAATTCATTAGACAAATTCATTAAGATGCTATATATATATATTTTCGCACTCAGTACTACTATCCAGGTCCTAAGAACCGATTGCTTAAAAATGTGTTGACAGTGGTGACAATGGCGCTTCAATATACATCAATAAATATTGAAAATATCAACAGAGGAAAAATTATCCTTTCACTCTTAACCAAATTGCTTTATTTTTCTAATTCGTGGAATGTATGCAGAAAAGCATACATTCACGAATATTATTCTATCCACAAAACCAAACTGCGACAAACTGCAATTATTATTATTTTTTTGGCGTTATAAAACTGAAAATTTTCATTCTAGAAAACGGGACACAATTTGGGCATTCTTCGCAAGCATGAGGAAAAGACGTAACAATCGGACGTTTTCGAAGCATCAGATTGTAGCGACCGGTTAATAATTTTATTTTACCATTGGATTTTTTAAATATTTCTTCCCTATTTATTATTCCATGAATATCACAGAAATGCATAAATGTACTAATTGGCAATAATATTCGGAGGCAAGCATTTAAATGTACAAAATGCGCTCACAACTGAAATAAACGATTTGTCATGCCAAAAGCTAATATGAAAAAGCATCATAAATGAGAAGAAAGTATTTACCTAAAAATTTATAACAAAATTGGCATCGCGAAGTGGTTTTAAGCAAAGAAATGGTATTATAAGAAAAAAGCATACCACTTATAATTTAGCCTAAACCTTAACGTGTAAAATAGATGGCAGATATTATGTTTAATGGAAAAACTTCGAGTATTCGACACTAAAAAATTTTTTAAGTTAATCATTGAAAAGTGGATGTAGAAAAACTTCTTTAAGATCTTCACAAGAACAATATTGCTTTTCTATATATGAAAGGCACTGTTTCACATCTAACAGAAGGCGACAAAACCAAAATTTATCATCAAAATCAAAATTGTCGTTAAAAAGAACAACAAATGTGCATTTACTCCAATAAAATATGCAATTCTTCATGTAATCATATCATATAGAAAAGGATTAGGATAACACTTGCATTTAAGCTTAGGGTTAGGCTTAGGATGATACCTATACTTACACACACATTAGATGCTGCAACATTTTTCTCGTCATTATCACTCATTCAGATGTATTAGCTGTCGATGACTAATGAATCATTTGCTTAAAAGGTTGACAATGGTGAAAGTGATGCTTCAATGATACATCAACAAATTTTGGAAATATCAATATAGAAATGAATACTGTTTGCCCTCTCGGCTAAATTGATAATTCATGAAAGATATGCATTCCATCTGCTAAGCCAAACTGCGACTGTTCATTTATTTTAGCTGAACAAAGTAGCACCTAAAAAATTTTTGTGATCAGTTTATGATCTGATTTTATTTTCATAGTTGTTTATAATTAATTATCATATTTATCACAGCTTAAAAAAAAAGTAACTGTTGACCCTTGAAAAATAAATGTAGCAGAATTTCCGAGGACTTCCGAGATCTCCTTAAAAACAATTTATTAAATACATAATGTGTCAAAGTTTTTTCCTTCTATAATAAAGCATAATTTACCAATATTTGTGACTTAGCAAAAACCTAAATGTGAAGAAAAAAAATTTTCCCTCAAAATATTTCCTCAATTAAACGACAAATTTCCGCTTAACTTTTCCCAATTTTCTAGCACTGAAAAATTTAATAAAGTAAATGGCCAAGATTAAAATCTTTACAAAACAATTTATCTACGATGGGAATAAAGAGAAAATGATTAAGATATATACTAAGTGAAAATTTGCTCACTATTATTATTTTACAAATTGATAGAAAAGCCTAGCACTTAATACATCGAATCATTTTGCAATTTGTCTGCAGTCTACTAAATCGCTTATGATTCGACTTTGACACCTATCATGTCAACACACAATAATATTTTTTAGTCTACCACCGAATAAGTTTTTTGCTGTAACTGGCTTACCATTAATCACTCTTATGATCTACATAGAAACAAAAAATGGTGCAATCGTAATTACGAAGTATTAAACAATGCTGAAGTAAGTAATCTTCCGATATCTTTAAGCCATATCTCGTGAAAATTATAATTTTATACATATTGGTGATTAAAGTAAATGGGTAAAATTCATTTGCAATTAAAAATTAAAAGAAAAACTAAAGTGCATCAAAGCTAATCGTGACCCAATTCATTTTTTTATTATTATTTACAAAGTACTCAAATCACCAAAAGAGAAAAGAAGTAAATATTAAAAAATATTACTTTGGTCATTCAAACAAATGCTGAAGTACTGATTGTTATACCCTATTTTAACTTACCTGATATAATGAATAAATTAACCATTATCATACTCTTATACTTTTAATTGTTTGGTGACATAGTCTGGCAGCAAAATTAGCACTTAATCATCACAATAAAATTGGACGATAGATTTGAAAATTCCTTTCAACAAATTTATTCGTAATTTTTTAACAAAAAAACAAATGTCACAATAAATAGGAGTTAAATTCATCACTTAAATCAGTAATGTATTATCAGTTAATTTTTGATTAAACAAACAAATATATTTTCAAATATTAATGGAATTACTGTTGCAAAACAAATCATATGTATGGAATATTATTAACTCAATTATTAGGTAAAGAAATTAATTTAGAAGAATAGATGGGAAGAAAGATACATGGAATGATCAATTGAAATGCTATTAAGGTACCAGGCAGTACCTAAGAATAAATATTGGAAATAAGTTAATATATTTCCAATTGTCATTTGATTTACGTCACCAAAATTTAAAACTGAAACTTTTACAATATGCAAATAACTCACTCAATATTTTACTTACCACTCAATATACTATATTTTATTAAACAAAGCAGACAGGATTATTTAATACTACACAATTAATTAAATATTTCACCATACGATGACATTTAATCCCTGCCATTCATCAATTTCCTTTATACAAATGTTATCTCCATTTTGTCAATCAAACTTTTGAAAATTGTCCCATCTTTTCAAACATCAAACATCGCTTATGTTGAAATTCTTTCTGATAATAGCAGTGGATGTATGTCAAAAAGCAATAATTAGCAAATTTCAGGTGATGCTTCCATCCGATGAAGTTCCCATCGGTGATACTATCAACAGATGTGAAGATGCGACTTTATTAAATGAACCCAATTAAATGCATGAAAATGATTAGAATCTCATTCTTCAGGTCGTATTACTGAAATGATGGAACAATACTCTTCCTAAGTATCAGATTTACGTACGCGCTATTGTAACACTTCCTTCCGGATTCAAAAGAGCATTCATAAACTAGCAGTTGGGCAAGAGAAAAACGAAAATGTAAAAGAAAAAAACGATAAACAATAGGCAGATTAAAAACTGTTTGAATCTTTGATCTTTAATTGAAATAAAAAGCTTTCATTTGAATATTTCTGTCATTTCACAAAATTGTGTTCCATCATGTTCTTCACTGTATCTATAACACCAATCATCTGGTTCAATCTTCTACTTTGCATCGCTTCTGATAAAAATGAAACTTTCTATCCACCTAATTTCGGCGCTGCTGATGAAATTATTACAAATAATACTTATTCTGGTGTCTCAGATAGCTTTGATTACAACAACTTTGAACCATTATTTAGCTCAGAATTTCTGTTCGATCCTTCGCAATTCATTGATTTCGCTCAAGTGAGTGGAATTGAGGATATAAGCAGTAAAGAATCGAATTCTGAGACCGATCTGTTCACAATTACTCCTCATCCTGGTTTCATCTCACCTAGTTATGATGATTTCATTGTCCACACTAATTTGGAGTCATCACTTGCCTCAAATTTGGATTCATTATGGAGAGATGCCAATGGAGAATTAAAAACGAATGATGATAAAGCACGATATCCTTCCATTAGAGGTGAGACTTTTGCTTCAAATATGTGAAAAGATAAGTGAACAACTTCTTGTGATCTAAGTTATTTAGATACTCAAAGTGGGACTTCTTCGCCACTTAATGTCGACACCGATGACATTATCACGTATATGCACTTACCTGGTTCACAACAAAATGTCGTTCCGATCTATTTTCACCAACTTACTCTTTCCTCAGACGGTACATCCGGTCAACATGGAAATGCTGAACTGAACAACATGGACAATAAGCACTTCTCGGATAGCTTGAATGTCGCCGACTACAGGGAGAGTACCAATGAAGGATCAAAAACAGGTAATAATTAATTACGCAACAACTTTTCGTTCCATCTCTTACAGTTCTTCAATTTCATTAACAGCATGAAATTGAAGATAGAAGTAATAACGAATCAAAACCCAAAACTTATTTCGTCGTTCAGAATGCGACATTAAATGTATGATTACTGCTTAAAACATGTAAATAGAGATAAGTAAATAACTACTTGTTACTTAAATTACTTAAAATATTCAATATGATATTGTTTTTGTGCACTGACATTTTTGTGATTTCTCACATTACTTAACTACAAAATAGTATAATAGATTTACTGATTGCAAAAATGCATGTTTTGACATGAATTTTTCAGATAAGAGAAAGTATATTTGTTATTATCCCGGGTGTACTGTGATCGCGACAAATTACAACGAATATATAACACATAGGAAAGCACATGGTCAACCTCTCATCTATGAATGCAGAGTGCCCGGTTGTGGGAGGACATTCAACCATGATTCATCATTTCGCAGTCACAAGGAAACGCATGAACGTCATCGTCAATGCGAGTGCTGCGGCAAATTCTTCACCACCAGGAAGGGACTGCAATATCATACGATGAGTTGCAAAAGAAAACCTCGTTAGTTTGCAAATTCAGCAAAATTTTAAACATATGTGAGTCTGAAATGGAGTGCCTATGAAATGTATTATGGAACATCTGTGACTGCTGCACCGAGATACTTGATACAACGGAAAATTCGCAATTACATTTTGTTGCAAAGCTGTTGAAAAGACTTAAATTTATACTGCCATTTATATCCACTTCTTTTAGAGATAGCATACCTTCTAGCCGAAATTCCTTGAGAAAGTTAACCGTGAGCTTTGTTGTATATATCAGACATTGTAACTCTTTTTATAAGTAAGGCACTGCATTGCGGTGGTCTTCATGAGCATGCGTAATTATTATTCCAAGCAAATCTTTCTTCTCTTGAGCAATAAAACTTACATCAGCAATTAATAACTGGCATAATTTCATCTGCAAAACCGATACCAAGGTCAGTCGTAATTCACTTGCCTTGATAATGATACAGGTTAACATTCATCTCAGTTCTATCCACCCCTCCAAGAAATAAAAATTCTTTAAATATTTATAATATAAAAATGTTTATAATCACTAATTTTAAATTATTAAAATGGAGGGAGCAAAACTTCGGCTTTAAATAAAGGAGTTTGTTACTTCCAATAACCCTAAGGAGAAAAAGAAAGAAAAAGAAATTTAGCTACCCTACTTACCAAAACTTATATCCAATGCAAGGCCGATATTTATATATACTGGAAAATAATTAAGCAATTTCTTGTGATATAAATTACTTAAAATGAAATGTATTTCATTGAAGTAATATTTCTATGGTTTATTAGATCACTTAATTAGCTCCCAAACACCATAATAAAATACCAATTGCAAAAACAAATATCTTAATAGATTTTTAGATAAACGAAGCTATGAATGCCTCTACCCCGGGTGTGCTGTGATCGCGATGAATTACAACGAATATGTAACACATAAGAAAACACACGGTCAACCTTTCATCTATGAATGCAAAGTGCCCGGTTGTGGACGGACATTTGCCTATGACTCATCATTTCGCAATCACAAGGAAACGCATGAACCTAATCCTCAATGCGAGGGTTGTGGCAGATTCTTCACTAGTAGAAATACACTAACTAGACATAAGGAGAGCTGCCAAGCGATATCTCGTTAGTTTGCAAATTTGGCACATTTCAAACAGATATATCAGTCTGAAATAGAATGCACGTGAAATGTGTTATGAAAATGCTAAGTGACAATGTGTAACTATAGGCGAAGATAATTAAACATTTTCTTGTGATCTAAATTATTTGAAATGGAATGTAGTAAGATTATTTCATTGAAGTAATATTTTAGCTGCCAAACCCATAATAAAATACCAACTGCAAAAACAAATATCATAAGAATTTTTTAGATAAACGAAGCTACGAATGCCTCTACCCCGGGTGTGCTGTGATCGCGAAAAGTTACAAAGAATATATAACACATAGGAAAACACATGGTCAGCCCTTCATCTATGAATGCAGAGTGCCCGGTTGTGGGAGGACATTTGACTATGATTCAACATTTTTCAACCACAAGCAAACGCATGAGCCTCATCCTCAATGCGAGGGTTGTGGCAGATTCTTCACCACCAGGAATGCACTGAAATCTCACAAGAAGAGCTGCCAAACAAAATCTCGTTAGTTTGCAAATTTAGCACAATTTTAAAAGCATATGTCAACCTGAAATAGCATGCATGTGAAATGTGTTGCGAAACATTTGTAACCGCTGAGTGACAATACAAAGTTTATTTAATGCATTCATTAAATACTGCATATTTATTTCTTTTCATATCGTGCACTTAATGCGTAGCAGCTGCCCATGACCTAAGAACCAATTGCTTAAAAATATGTTGACAATGGTGACAATAAAGCTTTAAGATACATTAATGCTTTAATAATGCTTTAACAAACATTGAAAATATCAACGAAGAAAGAAATAAAAAAAAAAACACTTTTAGTCGAATTATTTTGTTTTTCTAAACGAAAAACATGCAGAAAAATATATCATTCCGCCCACAAAGCCAAATCATTTTTTCAGCGCTATAAAACAACTAAAAATTTTCATTCTAGAAAATGAGACACAATTTGGACATTCTTCGCAAACATGAGAAAAGGCGTGTAGCAATCAGACGTTTTCGAGACATCAGAATGCAGTGACCGATTAATGATTTATTTTTTTTCTCCATTTATTATTCCATGAATATCACAGAAATACATAAACAACAAACTGACAGTAAAATTCGAATTCACAGCAAACGATTTGTCATACAAAAAGGTAATAAAAAATACGTAAGTGAGAGGAAAGTATTCTCCTAATAATATATAACAAAACTGGAGAATATGAGGTGTTTTAAGCAGCGAAAGTTAAGATAGATTTTTAGCTTATTTTTTATAATTGTTGATTATTAATTAACTGACTAAGTTCAATAGGAAAAAGCTGTTGAATTTTATTTTATTTGCATTGTACTTGCTTTGCTCACATTCTGTCGTGGATATTTGACAACTTATGCAAAAAAAAAAAAAAAGTTTAATAAATTCATTTTGGAGCAATCTTACAATGTAAAAATTAATAATATTTGTAAATTGTGATGATTTCAATTAATTTTTGACGCTAAATTAATTTTAGTCACAAATTTCGATATGGATCTCTAGGAAATTTTGACAATTTCTAAGAGTTTTTGTGAATTTAATACTGAAAAATTTTTAAATCTGTTAGATTCTGTTTTAATTAAATGCCAAAAATGTTAGAAAAAATGTAATCATTTAAAAATAAATATATTTTAAACTTAATTGGTTATTTAATTTACATTCTCCCTGATCTACACACATTCCATCGGGGATATTTGACAATTTATGCAAAGAAAAAAGTTTATAAAATTCACTTTGAAGCAGTTTTTTAATGATGAAATTAAAAAAAATTTGCATTAGTGATGATTTTAATTCTTTTTGACATTAAAATTAGTTTTTTTTTACAAATTTAATGTCATTTAATGTTACAGATTTAGTGTTCGATTATTTGCATAATGAATTTAATAAATTTTATGGTCCTTGAGTAGTAGTAAAGTCGAAATTTCATTGAATTATGGAAGAAATATGGATTTTTTATACATTTTGCTTTAAAATCGACATGTTCTTCTAGTTTTTGGAAAGTTTTTCACCCCAATTATAATCAGAAAAGCAATTAAATATCAATTATAAATGGTTGAACGATAAATAAATCATAAAACACAATGTTTATTAACCTAAATCAAGAGAAAAATCAATAGAATAATAAATATTTCTATTAAAAAAAAAAATGAATTTGACTATTAATTTTAACTATTACAATGTATGATAGTAAAATTACATCAGCACAGGCACTTTAAAAAAACATGTGTTCATGATTTAACCGTTCTTGTAAAACAACACGATATTTATTTTTTAATAGTTGGCCATATAACTAAGGACAGATAAATAGCAGAACCAAAAACTTTAAAAGGTATGGTGAACGTAATGCTTACTATATTTTGAAGATGAAAACAGCAATCATTGCCGTATTTTGCATGTTATAAAAATAGATTTGGTTTTACAAATGAAGTGGTATTTTGAAATGTCTGAAGCTGGATTATTACCTATTGAAATCCATCATCATTATTTGGTAACAGGTAATGCTGACGATAGAGAATTTGTTGACACTTGTAGGAATTGAGGATTCCAGACCGGTTTTGATGGAAGTTCAAGTGTTAACAACGGAATAAACGTGGAAAATCCAAGAAGAACAGTAATTGGATGAAATATCAACCGATTGGCTATTATCATTGCAGTGCTAAATGCTCGTTGCAAAAGTCTCTGCATAAAAAAGAAATGTATCTGAACATTGGATGAGGGTTGAAAATACAAGAACCATCGGTTCATCTCTCTCTCTTATTTCAAGCATAGTAAGTTTACCGCTGTCAACTTCAGTAGCATTCACGTGAAATTGCACTTTTAGGTAAGATTAGACATATCTCATATGCTAATCTGAGGATAAAGAAGCAAAAAAATCTTGAAAAAGCAATTATGCCTCAAAATGGCAATTACTCCTCTCATCATATCGAAATAATTAAGCTTGGCCACATAAAAGAATTAAAGGGGATCTTTAATCACAGTCAATAGCACTTTAGGAAATTCTTTGCTAGTGAACTCCCTCAAGTCCTCACCTTTCTACAGCATGTAACTTTATAACTTTCTACAAGTCCAATCACCACTCCTCCCTTAGCAGTACCATCTAGCTTTGTTATAATAATTAATCCTGTAACTAACTAACCATTTTACTAAATGCCTCTAATTAGCTACAAACATTTTGAGCGGTAATCGCATCGAGAACCAAAATAAATTATGAGGAGCAGTGCCATCCAAGTTCTTTATCGTTCTATATATCTTTGATAAGTCCTCCATAACATTAACATTACTCTGCAGCCTGCCTGCTCTATCAGTCAATCAGAACAACATCTATGCTATCTTTTTAGCTTAACTTACTGCTCTACACGCCACACTTGCAGAATCGTTTACCGTACTCTCAAATAACAACAAAGCAATCAGAACGTCCTGTCCACATGTTTAACTGTCACTAGCAGCAGCCCTAGACGTGTCATACGTAACGAGCATCACGGATTAATCTTATATCTATACGCAAGCATTAGCAATAGCTGTGATTGACTTTACCATTACCATCACCACTACACATACCACCATTATTATATGTGGTTTTTTGTCTAAAATTTATCGTTTCTACTTCGTTCATTAGCTGCTGTGTGATAATAATATTATGCTCAACTTCTTTATCAAATTTGATCTTGCAAACCTATCAATAATCAACTTGCAAGTTTTATGACCAATATCCTTACTAATGACCAATTCCTCTAATTCATCCAAAAGCGATTGATCTAACTTTTTTTTTTTGTCAGAAAAAGTACTTTTTACTCCACCACTGAAGCGAGAAGTTTAAAGGCTACTAAACAAGCTCAAGGAAATACTCCTTTTAAAATTACAATATAAAGAATAATATGCACTACGTGTATTTGTAAAGTTAAATACAACGTTTTACGTGTTGCACTTTCAAAGTGAAGTGCATTTAATTTCTAATCTAAATATGTTATAAAACAGGATTTTGATTTACAGGTGATCTCATGAGTTATAATGAGAGGATTTTGGGCCATTATCAACCTCAGTTTTGTCGCAATACCCAGCTAAAGACTCATTTATATATTTATTATCAACAACCTCATATATACACAGCAAACCAGACCTATGATCAGGTAATCCCCCAATGTACATGTACATACCTGAATGATTCTTTACAGTATCATGACCTCTTAAGATTTTTATTGAATCAGCGTTATATAGTTTCTACGTCCCATACAACTGTTCTATTTATGAATGTTAATATTATATTGTATACAATTTAATAACATTAACTTATTAGAGAAAAATTCTACACTTTCACACCACCACCCTTGATACGGGGCCAGGGTAGAAGGGATCGAAAACTTGCACAGCAACACAGAAAACCACTGCCTTACCACTTGAATTGATGATATACCCTTACGCCACCACATAAATAGCGGTAAAATCAGAAACGCCTGCACGAAATTTGCAGACATTATGCAAGCAAAATTATAAATTCCCTGCCATCTTTAAATTCATGCAAGAAACATGTGATAAAAGACCATACAGCAGGTGAAATAAACTTTAATAACCACTGAGCAATTTTAAGTAACGTGTCAAGAATGCAGAAAATAGCTTGTTTCCCTTTTGATATCCGTTTTATCATTTTTTTACAATTGAAATTGCTCATTCAAATAATATTGTAGAAAAAAATTTTACCGCAAAACAAAGATAATCATTGCTCGGATATATTACCGTAAGAAAATGTCGCATAATTTCGAAATAATTGTATTTCATAATGAAAATTCAATTTTAATTCATATTTTATCTCAAATTCATTGTCAAAATTAGTTAAAAATGACGCATAAACTTAACATTGGAAGTATGAAAGCTTAAATAATAAAATAAACCATAATAATTTTCAAAATAAAATATTGATTTTTATGAAAATCCTACAATTTGCAAGAATTTTTGTATATTAGACTAGGAAAAAAATTGTAGTATTATCAAATTTCATTCTAATTAAGTGTTAAAACTTTCAAAAAATATCAATTCATTAAAAAAAAGTATTTGTTAAACTTAATTGACTATTTAATATGCATTGCACCGGAACTGTCATTAGGGTGTGGTCATTTGTCGTGAAACCTCAAACTTGTCGTGAAACCTCAAACCTTTATTTAACATGAAGCAAATAATAGCGCTTTATACATATCGTACGGATGCTACACCGTTTAACAAACGCGTAAACTATAAAAAATGCAATTATATAAAAATGGTGAAATAACACAAAATTATAAAGTATTAGACGCATCCCAATACCACCCAAAACATAAAGCAAATGATGGTTATGGAAGGATTGGTTGGGTTATATATAAGACTGATTTAACGAATGGAGATTAGATGGGAGGATTTCTCATGGATGAACAAAGAAGATTGTTAACAAGATTAGTTTATATACAGAACTGAACTGACCAGATATTCGGCAGAGGAGGACATTTAAATGATATGAAACAAAGACTGCTAATAAAGGGTTTTGCTAACGAAGGGTTTGCTAACAAAGGGTTTTTGTTGTGTGAGGAAAAGGAATTAGATAAGAGGAATTTGTTAGTTTTGGATATAATAATTTAAATATTTCGTCTTTCACGACATCATTTGACAGCTCAAAATAATAAAATAAACTTTTACAATTAAGTTTTGCCCAATGTTTCATCAGCAAAATTAATAAAATTTTTAATTTGTCATGCTTTTTTAATTCATTTTTACGATTAAAGGTGATTTTTATTCCAAATTTAGAAATTGATTTTTGTGAAAATCCTATTAATTGTTAAAGTTTTTGCACAGTAAACCGGGTAAAAAGTCCTTATATTATCAAATTTTATTTTAATTAAATGTAAAAACTATTAAAAAGTATCAATTCATCAAAAAAAAAAAAAATTATTTTGAACTTAATTGATAAATTTATATGCATTGTATAGGTATTGGTCATTTACGGTGTTTGGTCAAATGCAACATAAATAATAAAATAAACTTTAATAATTAGGTTTCAAGCAATATTTCAGTTGTGAAATTAATAAAATTTTTAATTAGTCAGAGATTTAATTCATTGTTGCAATCAAATTAATTTTCATTTCAAATTTAAGTATCGAAATTTATGAAAATCTTATAATTTGTAAGAGTTTTTGCATATTAAACGAAGAAATAATTTCTAGTTTTATCAATTTCGATTTTAATTAAATGTTAAAATATTAAAAAAAATCAATCGATTAAAAAAATTAGACAATTTGAACTTAATTGATTGTTTTTTATGCATCGCATGGGTACTGGTCACATACATTGTGGTCATTTGATCAACACAAATAATAAAATAAACTTTAAAAATTAAGTTTTAATCAATATTTTATTAGCAAAATTAATTAAATTTTAACTAAACGATTTTAATTCATTCTTACAATTAAAATTAATTTTTATTCCAAATTTAAAAATCAAATTTTATGAAAATTCAATAATTTGTTAGGGTTTTGTATGTTAAATTATAAAATAAATTCCAGTAATGTAAAAAAAATTAATTTAATTAAATGTTAAAATATTTAAAAATATCAATTCCTTAAAACAAATTGATATTTTGAGCCTCATTAGGTCATACTATCCCATAAGGATCATCCTAACTCAAACATTTTTGTGTGTGTTAATCATTTATTATCAGAAATTGATCAAATATAATCTTCCCATGTGTCACCAAATTATGACCTTTCTTAGCTTTTTCAATTAACATGCGAGTCACATGATAATCTATTTCCTTTTCGTTGATAATAAAGTCTATTTCAAAAAAGTTTGGGTATATTGTCTCACCAGAATTTGCTTTAGCATTATCTTTTTTATCAGTTACTACTTTGTCAAATGAGAAATTTTCTGCTTCAGCTTGTAATGCATAAAATGGGTTTCTTGTTATTTATGAATATGAGTTACTTACCTATTAAGTATTAAAGAATTTTTAAGTCAAGTTTCAGACACATTTTAATATGACTTTACTAATTTATTACTGATACCAATTCCTACTGACTTTATCACTGTAACGTAAACGTAGTTACCACCTTGCACTTTTGTTCATATCAATTGTCAATTGCTTCATTGATAAAAAGGAAAATATTTCTCCTTTCTTTAAGGAATTTATTGTTTTGGTTGCTGACTTTCACTTTTACTGGCATCTTTTTTGTTGAGTAGTTAAGTGGCCATCTTATAACGAATTTTATCGATAATCACCAAACTTTTTTCGTGTGCTATTTAACAAAGCTATTTCAGCGTTACGCGCTGTAATTACACCATTTTCGTGCTTTTAAGTTGCTTCAGCTAAAATATTTAAGAAATTCACCAAGTAAGAAAACGACAAAAGAAGACCTAGTTAATATTTATTTAAAAACACTAACGTTTTTTATATATAACATACTAATCACTTATTTTTTTTAAAATTTATTTCTTTAAAACTTTATTTTTTTTTTTAAAAAAAATTTATTTTTTTAAAATCATTTATTTAAAAACACTAACGTTTTTTATGTATTAAATACTTAATAATCGTGACTTAGTTGCTTTTTATTGCAACTAACCATTTACGGTGTGTGTATCAAAATTTAATTAGTTGCTTTTATTGTATATTAAACTATAAAATAAATCTACGTATTATCACGGTTTTAATTGATTAATTTATATGCATTGCACAGGTACTGGTTATTTACTGTTGGTCATTTGATCAGCATAAATAATAAAATAAACTTTAAAAATTAAGTTTTAATCAATATTTTAGAAGCAGAATTAATTAAATTTTTAATTTTTCACGATTTTAATTCATTCTTACAATTAAAATTAATTTATATTTCAAATTTAAATAATACATTTACAAAAATCCCATAATTTATACCGGTATTTGCATATAAAACTAGCTAAGAAGTTCTACTATTATCAAAATTTAATTTCAAAGGATGTTAAAACTATTAAAAAATATCATTTAATAAAAAAAAAAATGATTATTATATACGCATAGTGCGGGAACTGGTCACATACATTGTGGTCATTTGACATCTTAAATAATAAAATAATGCTTAGGCTTAGGCTTAGGGTATATTTAGGCTTAGGCTTAAGCATTATTTCAAATCTAAAAATTGATTTTGGTGAAAATTTTATAATTTTCAAGAGCTTTTTTATATTAAAGGGAGAAGAAATCTCTAGTTTTTTTCAATTTTGATTTTAATTAAATGTTAAAACAATTAAAAAATATCAATTCCTTAAAAAAAATTAGTTATTTTGAACTCAGTTGATTAATTTTATGCGTTGCATACGTAATAAGAAAATAAACTTTAATAACTAAGTTTTTTTTTTAATATTTGAGAGGTGAAATTAATAAGATTTTTAATTTGTCGTAGATTTAATTCATTTCTGCAGCTAAAATTAGTTTTTGTTTGAAATTTTAAGACCGAATTTTATGAAAATTTTATGATTTGCAATGAATCAAAGCCTTTTTTGTATATTAGACTACGAAATAATTTCTAGTAATATCAAATTTTACTTTAATTAAATGTTAAAACTGTTAAAAAAATATATATTCATTAAAAAAAGTCAGATATTTCGAGCTTAATTGATCAATTTATATGCATTGCATAGGTAATGGTTATTTACGACTGGTCATTTGATCGGCATAAATAATTAAATAATCATTCAAAATTAGGTTTTAAACAATGTTTAATTTGCAAAATTATTTAAATTTTTAACTTGCCACTGTTCTAACTCATTCTTACAATTGAAATTAATTTTTATTTCAAATCTAAATATCAAATTTTATGAAAATTCAATAATTTGTTAGGGTTTTGTATACTAAACTACAAAATAAATGCCGGAAATGTCAAAATTTAATTTAATTAAATGTTAGAATATTGAAAAATATCAATTCATAAAAAAAATTAGATAATTTGAACTTAATGATTAATTTATAAGCGTTCTATAGTACTGGTCATTTACGGTTGGTCATTTGGTCAGCATAAATAATTAAAGTTTAAAGTTTTGATTGAAATTTCACTTGTTAAAATAATAAATTTTTTAATTAGTCATAGAACTAACTCATTTTTACAATTAATGCTAATTTTTAATTCAAATTTAAAATTGATTTTTGTGAAAATCCTATAATTTGTAAGGTTTTTTGCGTAATAAACTGGGAAATGTTAGGGTTTTGTATACTAAACTACAAAATAAATGCCGGAATTGTCAAAATTTAATTTAATTAAATGTTAGAATATTGAAAAATATCACTTCATAAAAAAAAAATTAGGTAGTTGGAACTTAATTGATTATTTTTTATTCATTTCATGGATACTGGTCATTTGGTCAGCATAAATAATAAAATAATCATTCAAAATTATGCTTTAAACAATGTATTATTTGCAAAATTATTTAAATTTTTAACTTGCCACTGTTCTAATTCATTCTTACAATTGAAATTAATTTTTATTTCAAATCTAAATATCAAATTTTATGAAAATTCAATAATTTGTTAGGTTTTTGTATACTAAACTATAAAATAAATATAAAACTAAACTATAAAATAAATATAAAACTACTAAACTATAAAATAAATTGTCAAAATTTAATTTAATTAAGTGTTAGAATATTGAAAAATATCAATTCATAAAAAAAAAATTAGATAATTTGAACTTAATTGATTATTTTTTATTCATTTCATGGATACTGGTCATTTGATCAGCATAAATAATTAAATAAGCTTTTACGATTTTAATTTATTTTTACAATTAAAATTAATTTTTTATTCGTATTTAAATTTCAAATTTTATGAAAATTCAATAATTTATTGCACTTTTGTATATTAACCTATGAAATAAATTCTAGCAATATCAAAAACTCATTTTAATTAAATGTTAAAATATTAAAAAAATTGAATAATTTGAACTTGATTGATTAATTTATAAGCGTTGCATAGGTATTGGTCAATCATGGTGTGGTCAACTGGTCAGCATAAAATATTAAAAAAAACCTCATTAATTAACTTTTAATCAATATTTTATTAGCAAAAATAATTAAATTCTTTGTTTGTCACGGTTTTATTTCATTCTTACAATTATATTAATTTTTTTTCCAAATTTAAATACCATAATTTAAGAAAATTGTATAATTTTTGAAAGTTTTTGTATATTAAACTATGAAATGAAAAAACTTAAAACTTAATTATTAAAGTTTATTTTATTATTAATGTTGGTCAAATGACCACACCGTAAATGACCAGTACTATAGAACGCTTATAAATTAATCATTAAGTTCAAATTATCTAATTTTTTTTATGAATTGATATTTTTCAATATTCTAACATTTAATTAAATTAAATTTTGACATTTCCGGCATTTATTTTGTAGTTTAGTATACAAAACCCTAACAAATTATTGAATTTTCATAAAATTTGATATTTAGATTTGAAATAAAAATTAATTTCAATTGTAAGAATGAGTTAGAACAGTGGCAAGTTAAAAATTTAAATAATTTTGCAAATTAAACATTGTTTAAAACCTAATTTTGAATGATTATTTAATTATTTATGCCGATCAAATGACCAGTCGTAAATAACCAGTACCTATGCAATGCATATAAATTGATCAATTAAGCTCGAAATATCTGACTTTTTTTAATGAATATATATTTTTTTAACAGTTTTAACATTTAATTAAAGTAAAATTTGATATTACTAGAAATTATTTCGTAGTCTAATATACAAAAAAGGCTTTGATTCATTGCAAATCATAAAATTTTCATAAAATTCGGTCTTAAAATTTCAAACAAAAACTAATTTTAGCTGCAGAAATGAATTAAATCTACGACAAATTAAAAATCTTATTAATTTCACCTCTCAAATATTAAAAAAAAAACTTAGTTATTAAAGTTTATTTTCTTATTACGTATGCAACGCATAAAATTAATCAACTGAGTTCAAAATAACTAATTTTTTTTAAGGAATTGATGTTTTTTAATTGTTTTAACATTTAATTAAAATCAAAATTGAAAAAAACTAGAGATTTCTTCTCCCTTTAATATAAAAAAGCTCTTGAAAATTATAAAATTTTCACCAAAATCAATTTTTAGATTTGAAATAATGCTTAAGCCTAAGCCTAAATATACCCTAAGCCTAAGCCTAAGCATTATTTTATTATTTAAGATGTCAAATGACCACAATGTATGTGACCAGTTCCCGCACTATGCGTATATAATAATCATTTTTTTTTTTATTAAATGATATTTTTTAATAGTTTTAACATCCTTTGAAATTAAATTTTGATAATAGTAGAACTTCTTAGCTAGTTTTATATGCAAATACCGGTATAAATTATGGGATTTTTGTAAATGTATTATTTAAATTTGAAATATAAATTAATTTTAATTGTAAGAATGAATTAAAATCGTGAAAAATTAAAAATTTAATTAATTCTGCTTCTAAAATATTGATTAAAACTTAATTTTTAAAGTTTATTTTATTATTTATGCTGATCAAATGACCAACAGTAAATAACCAGTACCTGTGCAATGCATATAAATTAATCAATTAAAACCGTGATAATACGTAGATTTATTTTATAGTTTAATATACAATAAAAGCAACTAATTAAATTTTGATACACACACCGTAAATGGTTAGTTGCAATAAAAAGCAACTAAGTCACGATTATTAAGTATTTAATACATAAAAAACGTTAGTGTTTTTAAATAAATGATTTTAAAAAAATAAATTTTTTTTAAAAAAAAAAATAAAGTTTTAAAGAAATAAATTTTAAAAAAAATAAGTGATTAGTATGTTATATATAAAAAACGTTAGTGTTTTTAAATAAATATTAACTAGGTCTTCTTTTGTCGTTTTCTTACTTGGTGAATTTCTTAAATATTTTAGCTGAAGCAACTTAAAAGCACGAAAATGGTGTAATTACAGCGCGTAACGCTGAAATAGCTTTGTTAAATAGCACACGAAAAAAGTTTGGTGATTATCGATAAAATTCGTTATAAGATGGCCACTTAACTACTCAACAAAAAAGATGCCAGTAAAAGTGAAAGTCAGCAACCAAAACAATAAATTCCTTAAAGAAAGGAGAAATATTTTCCTTTTTATCAATGAAGCAATTGACAATTGATATGAACAAAAGTGCAAGGTGGTAACTACGTTTACGTTACAGTGATAAAGTCAGTAGGAATTGGTATCAGTAATAAATTAGTAAAGTCATATTAAAATGTGTCTGAAACTTGACTTAAAAATTCTTTAATACTTAATAGGTAAGTAACTCATATTCATAAATAACAAGAAACCCATTTTATGCATTACAAGCTGAAGCAGAAAATTTCTCATTTGACAAAGTAGTAACTGATAAAAAAGATAATGCTAAAGCAAATTCTGGTGAGACAATATACCCAAACTTTTTTGAAATAGACTTTATTATCAACGAAAAGGAAATAGATTATCATGTGACTCGCATGTTAATTGAAAAAGCTAAGAAAGGTCATAATTTGGTGACACATGGGAAGATTATATTTGATCAATTTCTGATAATAAATGATTAACACACACAAAAATGTTTGAGTTAGGATGATCCTTATGGGATAGTATGACCTAATGAGGCCATTATAGGCGAATTAATCACTAATTGTAATGACGCTGGTATTTTAATAGACTAATTTTTAGCGATTCACTTAAAAGTTAGTTTGGGTTATGACCTTATGATTGCAAGAAAATGGTAAATATTCATTGTGATGGTACTAATTTTATAGCAGTGAGATCCAAAATCGTAACAGATGTAGAAGACCTTGATCCATCAGAAGTGCTTAAAGAAATGAGTAGGTCAGTCAGATGGTTCACTTGAGTTTGTGCTTGGAACTATTGCTCATTGTTTCTAAAGAAATGAGCGACCACTACAACAAGTGGCAGAAGTTTGCTCGATATTATTATTTTCCAAAAATTATGTGAAAAATCAGAATTTATTAAGAAGGAATACAGAATAGAAAATAATATCGATAGTACTTTCGTGCTAGATAGAAGAGTAAAAGAACTCTGCCGTTGCTAATAATAAAAAAGAAATAAGCTGAGCATAGCGAGTGGATTAGAAGGGGAATAGTTCAAAAGTATCTATTCTGCGCTGAACAGACACTTGAAGAAAACTATTGCGATGTAGCAAACAGCCCAATTAATGCACAAAAAATCATACAAAAACTAGCTGAAGTCTGTTGACCTCTAACCCCTTGATGCATATGAACGGTGTACCAATAATCCATCAGGTATATTTCTCATCAGATAAGCTAATCCGCTGTACTGCACCTTTGCTCTCACATAAGTGACAGCACCAAGCAATGCGACGGCTAATGGAATTATAAAAGAATGTGTACCATTATGATTAGCAAGTCATTACCACCTAGAATTATTGAAAAAACTGGATAACTTACTATTTACAAAAGTTAGAAATGTAGATTTCATGAGTTTTTCTCTTCCTATCTTGTCACAAAGTATTGCAACTAATATAGTCTAAAGAGATGGAATAAATCATCAGGAACGGGTGCAGAAGTAAGCAATAGTTTTGATGAAATAAAAGTTTATAGAGCAGAAAAAAGAAATACTAAAATATGTTGTGTCTCGGATTAAAGAAGATAAACAAGAGAATTTCCTAAAAGAGTTTGAACAAATACAAACAGATTTCTCAGAAAAAGCAAAGAGATTACCTTCCTTAGCAATGAAAAAGCTAAAGATATTAGCTATAGCAGACCTAAATCTAGCATTAACAAGTCAAAATCAGTATATGAAAATATAAGTCGAAATATCTGTACATGTTATACTAATAAAGAAAAATTCAGATAATAGTTTTGCATTTTATTATCCTAATTATGGTGCACTTAACAGAAGAACAGCTGTTCTATGTGAGGTCATAACTCAATCATTTTATGGCTACGTAAGAATTATAACTCAATCATTTTATGGCTACGTAAGAATTATAACTCAATCATTTTATGGCTATGTAAGAATTATAACTCAATCATTTTATGGCTACGTAAGAATGAGCAAATTATATATTGCCGAGCTGTTTATCTCTTATTTAGCCTTAACCTCAGCAGTTGTTGCTAGAATTGCTGCACATTATAGGTATGAGAGCTTTTTGTAGAGAGCATAAGGCTGAATACAGATAAGTATGGTAGTGCTAGCAAATCAAAGAATATGACATAGCTATGACAATCGACCCACAAGTGAAAAGTATAACTGAGGAGAATTTAATTTTGGACAACGTTCATAACATATATGCGTCGAGCTAACCCATAACATGATCTTCTCATTTATTATACATCAGGTTTGTTCTAGATCATAATGGTTTGGCTTAATTTTTCAAATGTGAGCATGAGGTAAGTATCATATTAATAACGATACTTTATTAAATCTTAATATTTTTATATCATTGACTATATCAAGTATTTTTATATTATTGTCCATATATTTCTATAGTATATCATACTTAAGCAAAAAAGTTTTTATATAATACAAAATCTTTCGATAGAAACACTACGGCACATATTCCAATCTATTAAAAGAGATGCTATTACATTTCAACTTTCACCACAAAATGGTGGACGCACATTTGTAGCTGGAGGGTATAGCAAGGCAATACTGGAATCAGTTCATTGCAAAGTGTATGCGAATGACGGAGATAAAACTGTTATAAATTTTATGAGGATTTCAATATTAAGCACCCCAGCAGAGTAAAGCTATTTATTGAAAAATTTAGCAGTATAAGAAGTATATTAGATAGTACAGTAATAGCCTTGAATACCTTGGAGAGCTCTTTGCTGTCTCAAAACTTCCGTTATCTCTCCGGGATTCAGAAAAAAAATATATGGATTCCAGCATCAAGCACTGGAGTGACACCAAGTAATACTGCAAAGGGAGTTGTATTTGACATACAGTTTCATCTATGCAGCTTGATGACGGAGATAGAGGATTTTCATTTTTACGTGATGGTCCACTTGACGTGAGGATGGATAACTCTTCTCATAACACTTATTAACGCTTTACGCTTTACGCGAACAAACTGCAAACACTATACACTAACTATGGAGGCGAGCGTCATTCTCGTAGAATTGAAAAAGCAATAGTAAATGGACGGAAGAAAAAACTATCAAAACTATATCTGAGCTTGCAAATATTGTGCGTTCTGTGGTGTTTCGTGGAAAAAGTAAAACTGATCCTGCAACTAGGACATTTCAGGCTATTAGAGTATGAGTAAACGACGAACTGGGAGAACTTGAAAAGGGCATGAAAACAGTATCTGAAAATTTAAATAAGAATGGCAAGTTAATAGTTGTCACTTCTCATTCTTTGGAAGACCGTATAGTTAAAACCTTTTTTAAAAGTTTATGTGAGCCAAGATTTATCGATTGTAAGGTATGAGCCATGATCTATCGATTGTAAAGTATGAGCCAAGATCTGTCGATTGTAAGGTATGAGCCAAGATCTATCGACTGTAAATGCAAATCGACGCTAAGAGCTATGCAGAGGTTATCGTAAGAATAATTATGTTTCTTTTAATATTATAGACCTGTTTAAGATAAAATTACATGTTCAGTCATTAAATAAAGAGCTAATAGAAATAAGAAATGAAATTAGCTTAGTGTAAAGTGGCATAAGAGTTCTACAAGCAGAATGAGCTACTCGAATAATTGTAGAGCTTTGTAGAGCTTATGAAGGAGTATTTGAGAGATAACTCTTTAGTGTTAGCTGGTTAGATTAAAAACTTTGATGGTCGCAGTGTATTAGCCACAACTTAAAAACCCAGGTTGATGATTTTGCGACTTTCTGCTTAAATGTAGAGCAAAATTTTCAGCATAACTTTAATTTTTTATATGTTTTACTTCTTTGCACTCACTATATAGCTCTTTTGTGAAGCAACAAAAATTTGCAAAGATTTTTATAATTTTTTTTGATGTCTTTAGTGCTATTATCTTTGCTGATAGAATCACTGCACTTAAGCAAGGTTTGTTTCCTTTTCAATTAGCAGTTAAGCTATATCAAAAAATCTCCTTAAACAAGACGTAGAGACATATAACCCTGCTGCTCACAAATATTCATATTGGCTTTAACTTTCAATAACATTTTTACAATTTTTATATTATCTCTTTAACTGCAAATTGTAAAGGGATTCTGTTACATCTACCGACAGCACTGATCTACCTTAAGCTTCAATAGGAACTTAACTGCTTTAGTGTCACGTGTCACCACTATGTCTAGCCTTACGCAACCTGGTGTTATCATTATCATTTCGATTATTTGCTTCTCTTCTCTTTAAAACAAGAAATGTCACCATCCTCGTAATCTAAAGCATCAAAACTATGATTGCTTTTTGTACAGATAAATCCTTTAAAGTTAGCTTTTGCTTGCTATTCCTTTACAATGGCCTTAAGTATTTGCATTTTATTGTTATATCCTTCAAGCAAAAGCGTAACCTTTTGCTTCTATGTTTGCACCTCTTTTTATCACATAATCTATAATTTCTGCTCTACTTTCACAATACGTAATGCACTGATAAAAGAAATGATTATCATTACATTCAAGATCTGCTTCCCTATCAATTAAACTTTGAACACTTTTTAGAAACGCATCTATCAAAAAATCTATTAATTCTGTATCATCCTGTAGTGCTCGAAGTAAATCCATTTTTATTCTTAGAAGTAATTTGATTTATCAATTTTGTTGTGCCCAAATCTGCTTCGTGCTCTAATAATGATTTTACTTTAATCACATCACCTTCTTTTACAAATTTACACAAAAGAGTGATTTCATTTGCATCTTTTTAGTTAATACTCAAATCCACTTCCCACTAACTGCTTTATACCTTCCCCATGTGCCATGTCACTCAAATCTCCAAACTCTTTTCCTATTAACGGTACTCCTACTTAATTAAGCTTAGATGAATCTGTGAGGAATATATCATAGCTAAGATACTGCACATGGTTGTACGAGTGCCCTTCACCAAAGCGAGGGTAAGCTGGCCGACATTTAGGTTTTTTAGCAATAAAATGCAAAAACTGCTTGATGAGATTTGCCAGTCTCTTATCATAGTAAATTTAATTATTTATCTTCTCCATACAGGTTAAGCAACAAAAAATTAATATATTTAGTATTTCGCATTTAATTTTCTGCACTCTATGTACTTTATGTTTTTTATATTGTTATCTACTAGCAACTGGCGCTGTAAATTGCGCTTGCTAAAAAAGGCCAGCTGATAAAATGATAGTGAATAACTGACTGTCCTAGGTCTTTTTTTCTATCAGTAAGTTTCTTAACACTTATAATTTAGATTAATTGCAGCTCAAAAGCAACCGAGTCATGATTATGAAGTGTTTAGAATAAAAAAAAAATGCCATATTTGAAAGTTAAATATAAATAAGTAGCCACTCACGAGGTTTTTTTTTTACCTTTTTAAGTAAATTACTTATTAAATTTCTTATAAGCGTTCACGGAGATAAGCGATTTACAAAGTGATTGTAAAAGTGTAAAGAGATGAGAAGTAAGGTATGGAGTGGGTAATGATAACAGAGCTGCAGAAAAGACTGTCGCGTACGAAGCAAAAAATGCTAATCTCAAAGAAGAAATAAAGGCTGTGATTATAGAAAATGATGGCTTAAAAGCAAAAATAACTGAGCTAAAAAGAAGATAAATTGGGTATGAACTCGACAAATTCATCTCTACCACCATCGCAATGTATATATCAAAAAAAGTGATAAAAAGTCAGAAGGTATAAGTGAGATTTGATGATTTATCAGGTTTGTGTGTATGTATGTATATGTATATATATGTGTGTGTGTGTGTGTGTGTGTGTGTGGAATAAGGTTGTTTTAGAAGATGAAATTGTCCATTAAAAGGTAAAATTACCAGAGATCAAACCAATCGTAACTGAGTAAGGTTGCAAAGAGCTTTAATAGGATTCAGCTAGTTTACCCATGGGAGTTTCAAGAGGTCTTCTAGAGTTCAATGCTAAAACAACAATTAGCAGCCTAAGTGGCTTTTTTATTAGCTCGAAAAGAAAAGTACAACAAATTTTAAGCAGTATATTAACCTCAATATAAGTGTTAGTTTAGTATCAAAGACTGAACACAGAGTATCAAAAAGATGCGATCTGAATATGAGAAAATGAAGGAAGAATTGAGATAAACCTGTATATAGATGAAACATGGCACAGAAATCAAGGGCAAAGAGGCTGGGTTGGATAATAACAAACGAAGCGTTGACACTTCCACAGATGACTGAGTCTCGTGGCAAGAAGGTGTTGAAAAGTTTACTACCAGAATGCCAGAATACAATGGCATAGTTGTAAGGAACAATACGCTGCGTTGATCTTGAAAATAGGCTGATATGTTGGACACATTTGACAAGAGATTTTGCCCAGGTGGCCAGGTGCTCAAGTCACTCAGCAACAGAGTATTTGTGGTACAAAAGCAAAAAAATAAAATTTGGTAGATGATTTACGATTTTATCAACTAATTTAAAAAAGGGTAGAACATCTTTTGTGTAGAATGACTAGGGTTATAAGTGGTACTCAGAGTTTGAGGATGGCTGCCAAGATGTTAAGATCTGAGGCTATGATCTGAGGGATGGAAGGAAGTTTTTACAAAAGCTTGAAGTGACAGATACAACCAATAACCTTGCAGAACGGTGAATGAGACTTATGTAATCTATTTCACCTGGTCAGAACGTGGTGAAAGATTCATAAAAGAATGTTGTCGATATTTTAACTTTGCGTCTAAATGGCCAAAATTCCTTTCAAAAGTTACAGAATCTACTAACTCTATATTCATTTCCATAATTTGTAAACTACTAGATTAGAGAGTTACTACTAGATTAGTATCTACTCCTTGAGTAACTACTCACAACCTGTTTTGATCTTCTATATTTTGACAGAAAAGTTACTGCCCCTTTGTCGTCAATTATTCTATGGTAGGAGAGGACAATGTACATCACAGATTTAATTTCAATTGAGTGCCCTCAGCATTTTGTACCGAATGCATTCCGAGTATCCCAGATTGTGCAGGATTTATTATCGGGGTGGAAAGGAAAGAGCGGACCGTACACTCCACCGTTTCAAATAGTAAATATTGCATCTTTCATCTCTGATACTTGTAGCTATCAGCAAATGACATCTGACCAATACTTTTTAGTGTTAACGGTAACGCTATGTCATAGCAAAGTTTGCATTTTGTCCCTGAAATTTCAGCGTTAATTTCAGGAATTTGTCTCAGTGCTTGCACCACACCTTCGACATGAAACGAAACTTTATTCCATATTTCTTTTCAAAGGTTTCTTTATATCACAGATGTATTTTGCTCACTTTTATTCGAGCAGTAATTACTTACCTTATTTTGCTCATTTTTATTCGAGCAGTAATTACTTACCTTATTTTGCTCATTTTTATTCTCTCCTTTCTCTCCATTCCTCACTTGCTACACTTCTTGGCAATTCATATTGTTTTACAGTAGCTTGTCCAGCTTTTCTCATATGACCTATCACATCTGCTTTGTTTATCCTACTTCCCATATCAGTCCCTCCAACACTTTCTCTACTGATCGCAATTTCCTCCATAATTTTCACCTCTCCTACGGAAAGTTTTGTCAACAATTGATCAGAGCTTATCACATCACCTTCACTTACAACAAATTCAGTTATTTGTCCTGAAACTTCTGCAGTTAGTTCGAGTGCTGTTTTATCAGTTTCAATTTCAAAGATTAAGTCATCTACTTCTATTGCTTTGCCAATACTTTTCACCTTCTGTGCTCGATTCACCACCAAGAATCTTTGGTGCTCTAATTTCTATTGTCTTGTTCATAAAACAACCTTTCGTACAAACCTCAATAAATTTATACACGTAACTCACTTTTAATTAGCCTAACCCATACACGTCAATCTCTCTCACCAAGATTGCTTACAGCTTTTGAACAAACTTCTTCACTTCGCTTCTAATTCCCTTCTAAACGCTAAACATTAAGTTTTGCCTTACCTTATAGATCCATAATTACACTTTAACATTACAAAATTATCTTTCAGATCAGTCATTAATCTCTTTCCAGTACATCATAAGCACAAGGGTTGTGGTAAGACACCTCAGTAAGCTATAAAGGTGTACTGTCCACTGACTCATAGCAAGTATTCCATCTTAAAAGAGGAAAGTGCTACGAGAGAATTTCCTTCTTTGCTTGATAAATAAAAGCATAGCTTACATAACCAGTTCTACCACACTGATACCCTTTGCCCTCAATTGCACTTCCATCAAATATACTTTCATTACTTTCATTAATGAATTCTCACTCATTTCATTAGAGTGTATACCAAATGGACAGATGAAATGACCTTTGATCCATCCTCAGAACACACTGAAAGGTAAGTATGTATGGCCATCTAGTTCCAGGTAAGGCAAAATCTGACAGATATGTACTAAATCCCTTCTCAGTTAATGCAATTCTTAGTCAAAACCTTTTGAAGGTTTATACAAGAAAAAAGTCCATAGTAAACTTATACTTTTAGTTTGAAATTAAGTATATCAAGAAATAAACTGTTAATTCTTAGTAAATAATCCGTTGCTACATAATCTATGAAGCCTATATAGAATTTATACTCTCAAGTTGCATAATATCTTAAAAATAATTTTCTATATAATATTTTGAATGCTTTAAAGCTTAAGTTTCATGTTATTATGAATATAGATTTTAATATTATACTTAATAATATCATAAACATTAGTACAAAGAGACAGATAAGAGGATTTTTCGTATATATTATTGGCTTTTCAGGAAGTGATAAGCTCTCCACAGTAATAGAATTATCCAATACGATAGATGCACTCTCGTAAACAGCAACTTTTCCAACAGTACTCAAGTTTACTCCATTCTGAGCATAATCATATCCCTGAAGTATACAGAACACATAACATTGCACAAATTATGCTTCAGGTGAGGGAAGCTTACCTAATTCACTCAAAAAATTTATATTTCTCGATGAGCTAATGAGGAACAACGACCACACACAGAGATGTGTGACTGAGTAGTAAAAGGATGAACACACGAATTCTTCCTGTAGTGTCGAGGTGTGACTTACTACTGAGGCATTAAATTAAAAAGACAAAGGGAAAATAAGAAAGCACATTACAGAGAGATGACTTTAGGACTCACTGTGCCATCAAATGCCACAGAAATAGAAAATTCGAATACAAGTATAAGAGAAGCAGCCGAAAAATAACAAGTCAGATGCACAAACTTGCCAGATTAATAGCATTTATACAAAAGGATGATCTGCAATAATTTCATATACTGAAGCTCATTTAAATTCCATTTAATTTTTGTTTATTCTTTAGTCTATAATGGACTAATAGCCCTGCATGGCTGGTAGATTGCAGTTCACATATGTAGGGTAGTTATTGCTTGCCTGATGTCCTGGTGCCCGGACACTGGGCATCATGCATTGCAGTTGGATTGATAACTGCACATAAAATCTCTGAGAACTTTTAATCATACCTCTAATATTTTTTTCTTATTTGCACAAAGCAAAGACACTGCTTATGTCTGAACTTCTAATGCATAACTCACTCGATGACTTATTCGTTACGAGATTTATACCTTTCCACCTGATATACCAACTCTAATTGCAGCGAGACTTATGGTCCAAATACTACCGCTAAATGGTCTGTAGTTGTAGTTGTGCTTATTGAACACAGTGTTCAAAATTTGAAAAAACGATTCGCATGACTGATCGAATTGTGTTCAGAACTAGCAGTACCTACGGTATCAATTGCTGGAATAGAGATTACCTGAGTTTATCACAGAGTTTTGTAAACCTTATAGTTAAGGTACTACTACTTATAACATTTGCTGAAGTTATTGTTGGTCAAACACTAAATATAACGCTGTGACTAACGAGGGCATTTTCGGAAAGAACTTCAGGTACTTTTCAAGCACAGATTCCTCCCGCCGAACTGCAACAATAGCAAATTTAGATAACAAAAAAGTTATATAATACCTTATATACATAACCGGAAGTAATTATCATTGATAATATTATAATAAAACAATTACTCATTAAGTAAAAGCCATCAGCTTGCTTTACATTTTTTTGCTCTCTGCAAGAGTAAGGGGCACGGTTGCATTACTAAACATTGCACTCATTACGGTAATAAATGCCGGTATCATATTGCTTATGCTAATTATCCAGCTCGTGACCCTGAATGAACTTGCAGCTTCATATAAGAGGAAAATATAAAAGGTAAGTTGCAAATGTGATAACACAAAAATTACTGAGCAACCTTTAAATACTACAGGTATAATTAGTCATACTGCATTTTTAAGTACAAATACCGTCAAGAGTACTTGCAGAATAAACAGAGTTAAAGCTGACATTTTGTGTGAGAGCTCTTTGCTCTTTCTGGGTAGCAAAACAGACACCACCATGCCGGATACAAGTTCACGAATGAGAAAGCAGTGCAGGTGGTGCAAGCAACCATAAGGAATGACTGTTTCTTCATATCTTGTAGTGAATAAGTGCTTTGTGGTATATAAACTTTAAAGATTAACACAAAAATGATAAAAGACATTATAAACAGCAAAGTTTCTTTGATGCTTAAACTCAATGAGACAAAAAGACTTCCGCTTCTACTAGAACAAATGACCAGAAAATATGGCTGAAATGATAGTAAGTAAGCTTGGTAGTTGTAGTACGCCCTAACACAGAGACATTCTATAAATAGAATGTGCGGCAAGTTATTCTGCAAGTAAAGCAAAACTATCTGAAGTGCAGCTGCAGTTGCAGAATACTGCATCCATCTACCTTCCTCTCACTCAAATCTTCCTGATGCATCACAAGCACAGTTATTCCTTTTCTCTATTGTTGAGCCTAGTTACTAAAGCCTAATCAAACCAGCCTGTGGCACACTCTCTAAGCGTTCCCTCAAAGCTTGAGCGAACTCAGTGGTCGTCGACGATAATAAAATTACCCTCTTTGCTGGTTAATACTCTCCCGACAGACGTTGCAATGTTGTATTCTACTTCTAGAAATAACTTTCTACACCAATCAGACTGCATTATGCATCTAATATCTTTTCGCTGGGAGTAGCTCAGCCCACAACCATTACTCACTCTTACCCATACGGGCGGGCTTCTCGAGGTGAAGGCATACTAAATATTATTCGCACCACTTTCCCTGCTGTACAGATCTATCTCTACTTGCACCACTCTCTCCACTGCTGCTTTAACTGTCTCCTATAACGAAAATTAAGCAAGTATTGAGATTTGTATCACTAACAAAAACCATGTTCCCACCTCCATTACCACCATTCGGTCCACCAAATTCAATAAATCTTTCTCGACGAGAACTCACACCACCACCTAATTTCAATTTAACCTGGTCCATGAACTCCATCCTTAATATTTGTCACTTCTCTCTAATGCACCTTCTATTCTCATTAGCTCATTTAGCAAACTGCTATATGAGATACCGCTGTACCCTCTGCTATATGAGATACCGCTGTACCCTCTGCTATATTGAGATACCGCTGTACCCTCTGCTATATTGAGATACCGCTGTACCCTCTGCTATATGAGATACCGCTGTACCCTCCACTTCACCTCTCCTCTATCCTTTACTATTTATAACGAACAAATCTGCAACCAACTGAACTTTACCTGCAAGTTTTGCAGTAAGCAACTCCCAACCCTCACTCATCGCATCTTGCATAGAGGTTATCGAGTATTTCTCTACGAGATTATAATAGCATCCAACCAGTCCTTCTAAAGTAAGCTCCTTCCTTGCAAATAAGAAGTAGAAGCAACATCAACGCCTAGTGCAAAGTGACTGTGTTGACTCTGGCAGACATGCCATGCATGCATGCATGAAGTGAAGTAAGCACTTCTGCAGCACTCTCAACTTGCTGCAAAGCCAACTTCACCTCCCACACCTGTGCTACGACCTCTCCCCAGGAATGCCACACAAGTGTGAGACCCTCTGCAGTCTCAGCCCGGCACTACACAACACTTGCCCGCCCTCCTCCCAAATACCTATTGCTGCCCTAAGTTGCGTTTGCCCTAAGCTTAGATTTATTTCTTCTTCGTGCAATTCGATCAATGCTTTATCGATTGCCCTTTGTCTGCTGCATCCCTCCCAATGATACCACTCCATTGACTACCCTAACAGTCTTCAGCACTCCCTTACCACAATACCTTTTTTTGTCTTGATCCCTGCCTAGTTTGCCCGCAGAGGGTACAGATGCCCTACCCGTCGCTCTATCACAGAGTTCTATTTCTGGGTACTCCCTGCTATCTCTTTGATCTCAAACTTCCACTCCTGACATAGACACTACAGTTCCTTTTGCTGCATTACATGATCCGTATGAATTCATCAAAAATTACGAATACGAGCAAAACGGAACGACTCGATCTTTCCTTCTATTATTTTTCCTTTATTGATTGAATGTGCTACTGTTAAAGTTGCCTGTATTGGGTAGGTGGGCATAGTCTTTACTTGCATGATGGATGGGTGGGTAGGTGGGCATAGTCTCGACTTAACTCGATGTCTTTAATATCGGCCACTAAGGGAAATCTTCTTGCAACTCCTTTAAACTTCAAAAGGTCATTTTTAATGTCACATCATTCATTCCCGACTTTATGGCAACTAGACATTACTATATATTGTGGACCTCAGTTCTCAGTTCTGGGTGTCATCTGAGTGGACGATAAAGGAAGAACTCTGTCGTCTGAGTGCACGAGCTGTCATTCGGTCACTTCTGTCTTTTAGTAACAATCACCATGCTGTGTTTATGTCATCACTCACCTTTACAGAACAAGACGCCGATTCAGTGTGACGCACTGGGACGACAAAAGGAGACAGAGGGATAAACACACCTTCAAACCAAACTTTATGGAAATACTTTTGCTATTATTAATTCCTACAGAATCAAGCAAAATTGCAAAGATGCATTTTGATATTATCAAATGTTCCACAATGTCTGTCATTATCAATACTTGCATAACAGCAATTTCTAGCACAGTTTCATCAGCTTCGATTAAAAGAATGTCACTGTTGTCAAGTCTCGAGTTATTTTGATAGGAGTTCAATACCCTCCCACAATTACAGTTGCATCAGTGTCACAGTGATCAAAAACGAAGCAGCCATGGTCGTTCCACTCGAACCGGAAACTGCCATCACATACTTATCGCTCATAACTTCATCAGGTATGCCTGATCTATGCAAAACAGTCTTACTGTCATTCCTCGCTGCAGCTAACTCCTCATTATCGGCGGAAGAATGCACAATTACTTCAGCTTGCTCAATACCACTGGCATTGTGACTCACCACCTCACACTTTATGACTCATTCCCATACCACTTGTTCTGTGTTGTTCCGCACTTAATGCCATTCACATTTAGCAACAGACTTTGACTTATTACTAAATTGATTATAGTTTAAAATAATTTCAAATCCTTCCACTAAATACAGTGAGCCCTTCTATGCCTAACATTTACTTTCATAAGTAATTGCAATTTGCAGCAGGTGTGATGATATTGCAGGTGTGATGATACTGCAGGTGACAATAGCCATGCAATGAATGGCATAACCTGTCATCATCATCCCAAACACTGCAACCATTGCGAACAGAGAGGAGTGGTAGCATCGCGGTGATAAGATCATGGTGCACTTACAGAAATGGTGAGGTGTTCAACTGTCACTGATTTCTGCGGTGCATAAGACTTCGCCTCTACTCTGCTTTGTCCTCGTTACCAAAATATCAGATCAATTAATATAGAGAACTCGTCATTATAGAAAACAGTAGGGAAAAGAAATGCAGAAATGTCACCCAAAACAAGACAATGCGGGAAAGTAAGGCATATATTGCATTTGGCGAAAATGCTCAGACTGCTAAATCAGAGCTTCTTAGCCATGTTAGATTGCTTTTTGAGGACAATCGATATTGCGTGAAAGTGAGTGTGTCGAGAGTTGAATGACAGAATTTAGCAATGGTCGATTGAAAGGTTTGTTTGATAAGAAATGTTGGTTAATTATTGTAAGTTAAAGATGTAATATAAGGAAGATATTACAGTGGTGTAGCACTGTAGAGACAATGACCAGAATTTATTTATTTAACTTCCAATTTTATCACTCAAAATGGAAATAGAGATTTGTTTCTGTGCATTATTTATTGGTAGGCAAACTGAGTTAAGGCAACTGCTGGAGCTGAAGTGCTGCGTCTTCTATAGTAGTTAAAGGAGGATGTGGTACGGGAAAGAGTCATTTTGGGTAGTATTACTCATTTGTAGTAGTTAAAGGAGGATATGGTACGGGAAAGAGTCATTTTGGGTAGTATTACTCATTTATAGTAGTTAAAGGAGGATATGGTACGGGAAAGAGTCATTTTGGGTAGTATTACTCATTTATAGAAAGGTATACTATAGTATCCAACAAAATTAATGAATTTTCTAGACAATTTAGCAGTCTTCTGCTAGATGCGATGACTGGAGTGATTTACTGTGAACAGGTAGTAAATATGTACTATCTGAATTGCTTTTTGATGAAATTTCTTGGATCAGCTCAAAAGATCCACTTTTTTAGAATAAGTAAAGAATTTTTAGCATACACAGCTAAAAATAATACCAAACTAATTTTCGTTATTTGTGGATCGACTTCATTCTGGATCGAAAAAATACTTAATAGTGCTAGTTTTGTAGGAAGGATATTACTGACTATAAGGCTGGGGAAGTTATTACTTTCTGATTGCAATAGGTTTTGGCCAAAAAATATTCCACCATGTGAAAAATTTAAGGAACGTGCAGTAATTAGTGGACTTCTGAGGTATTTAGAAGAGTAAATTTTAGACACTGTGCTGAAGAAAATATCAAAAAGCTTTGTTTTAGGTATCTTTTTGGTTTAGATATCGCAACATGGACTCATTTCAAAGTATCTACATGAGCTTCAGCTTGCTGTTTTTTATTGCAAAGGATGACACTTGGATATGCAAGAAGGTACTGATTCAAGATTAAGGGAGTACAGAGTTCAAGATGACTATTTAAGGTTTTGTATTAAATATATTAAGAAAATCTGGGAAATTAATCTTAGCACTACTCTATGGGACTACTTGCATCTCTACCAGAAAGGCATGCAATCATCGGACTTCAATTTGAAAATTTGGTGCTTACCAATAGAAAGAGCATAGCTAATATCTTAGGAATTGATGAAATAATCAGTGAAAATCTATTTTTCCAGAAGAGGACAGGTAGTAGTGCTACTTGTTTATATAATTCGAACTGAATTTAACACTCTCTACACGAAATCAAGTTTTCAAAAAATAGAATTGGTCAAGAAGTAGAAAGGAAAATAGATATACTAAAGCATTCTAAAGGCTTTTCATGCCATCCAGTCCTTACTCATATTAATGGTAAAGTGTTGATTACTTTTTAAGCATAATTCACTTTGGAGAATTACTAAATTGTAAGTAACGTTTTTTGCTTTGCTTTTTCAACTTTGTTTTGTTTAACACTGGAACAAGTCCAGTACTTTCATGATATCTTTCTTGAACTCTTATATAATTAGTAAACTTTTTGTATGACTTAGCCCAAAGGCAGAGCAAACTCTATAGTATTTATTTTCTCCCAACGTTTCCTTATTCTAAACACTAGCTGCTTTTTTGCAACTAACCCTTAGTTATAGATATTTAAGAAATTTACTAAATAAAAAAAAAGACAAGAAAAGCTCTGGTTAGTATCTATTTTTAGTATTGGCATTTTTTAAGTCTTAAATGCTGCAATCCAGCCCCTTTTCAATGCAACTTAATTAGAGCCATAAATATTTTAAAAATTTGCCAAGCAGAAAAAAGGTAAAAAAAAAAGCAGAGTAGTTAGTTACTAATTCTTTGTTTGAAAATTTTGACGTTAGGTGATGTCTTAGACGCTTTATAAGTATGTTTCAGCTTGTGTTAGGTAGGTAAGAACTATAGAAATTTTATAAGTACATCAAATACAAAACTTGTCATTTTAATCTGCACAGGTTAGAAGGTTATATAAAACAGCCCTATTGCTATTGCTAGGTAAGAGGGCTGACAAAGTGTGTCCGTCAAGTAATTTTCTGCGTTTGTGAACTGTGAACTATTTGAATGACTATAATAGCTGTGTTTGGGAGTGAATAATGTAACAGTCCATTATCTTATCAGTTTGCTAGACACCTGTACAGTCGTTGGAACTATTAAGGTATTCCCTAATCTTTAAGTTAAACGTTTTTGCGTTGATTGACGAAGTAAGTAAGCTGCATGAAATATAAAAGCTGTGGTAATCGAATAGGATTAGTACTGATACTTATGAACCTGTCACGCAAAGTAGATATAGGTTTTGTGTTATCAGCAAGACTGCAACATGAGATACGTCCAACTCAAATGAGGAATCAGTGCGGTGTGATTCTCAACGAATGATCTGCACCTGTCGTCGAGTTAGCTTTCTATTGTCTGCTGGACGACACTAAGTATCTTATCTAGCATTCCGCTTGCTTTAAGGTCGTTGTTTACTCCTGGAGCTTCGCCAACAAGCATAATTCTTGCACCTTGACTACCGTTGGTTTACCTCACAACCTTCAAATGACTTGACTGCACTTCTTAGTTCATCCATGCTGTCACATTTCCTTGCGAGTTCCCTTGCTTCAATCACTCAGTCACTGAAACATGCATTGCTGTTCTTTTGGTAGCAGATTGCATAGCTCCTCGTCACCTTCTGTTAGTGTACAGTCACTGGTACCATTGCATGGTAAAATTTTAGTAATTCTAAGTTTTCATAGCTCATAGTGTCTCTCAAACTTTTCTTCTTTCCTCATGGCCATTCATACTTCAGTTCAGATAAATGTCTAATATATAATATACCGTTATAGGTGATCTACTCATGCTGGATACAGCTTGCAAGCAACCACTAGCTTTTAGTGTCTGTTCTTTGTTATTTAGGTCCTTATATTTCACATTTAAATATTTTGGGAGTCTAATTTCATGATTTTGCTCTGGACTTGAAAGGCTTCCTTTTTTGAGAATGACTTGTTCATCTCATAATTCTGTGATTTCAGGATTAATCATGCAAAATTTACCAGTACATTCATATCCTACTGGTTCACCTTTAATATCCTCTAGCTGGATATCCATGACGAAAATTCTCTCTAGCACTCCAATTTGCACCGCAGCAAGACCAAAACCTTCTGAATGTACATAGTTTCAAACATATCATTTGCTAATCCTTTAATTTTATCATTTATACCTGTTATACCTGTTCACTGGCATATTCGGGAGCAGCTACAATTGATAAATTAAGCATAAAATTATAGTTCTATGTTTTATTTTTTCCTTTGTCTACTATTTGGATATATTAAAATGTTGCTGTATTTTTGTATTTTTGTAATGGAAATATAAATTATTAAAAGAAGCTGCCCGAATGAAATTATATAGTAAGGTTAACTCTGCAGTAATGGTAAAACCCAAGAGAAATGTTTTTGCTGTTTTAGATAAAGGTACAACGAAAATTATCTGTCTAATTGTTAATATAAGTGGCAACTCCAACTATAAAATAACAGGCACAGGTTATTATAAGATTGCAGAAGGTAAAGTGGTGGATCAATAACTGACCTAAAGTATGCAAGTTACTCTGTCTCGTCTACTATAGGTTGGCTGAGCAATTATAAGAGGAAGCTATACCAGTACTGCTGGACGTGGCATCTCATCTCAATGTGCACAGTGAGTACTGCAGCTGATCGTGGTACCTCTGACAGAGATATAAACGTGTAATTTGTCAAACCTTTGAGAAATAAATTGAAGAAAACGCCACTTGGATGATTTGACTGACATAAGGGAGGGAAGAGATTATCTGCATAACCAATAATAGCAGTATAAGCATGGCAGGTTATATTGCTTCCGCGTGTTCTGCAGGTTTTGCTTGTCTTAGTGAAGATGAAAAAGAGCTTGGAACTGCTATTGCTGATATAGGAGGTGAGTGTACTGCAATTGGGATTTTCAAAAGAAGCAAACTTATACCTGCAAGCAGGTGGTGTTCATAAAAATACTGTACGTAGCACTGCTGTAACTCCAATAGATGAAAATGAATACATTAGAGTGCGAAGGATGGAATACCCAGATCTGAAGTTGTTGACATCATGAGACCAAGGATGGTCTTATGTTGGTCAAAGAGCAATTTAGGAAGCAGAAGGTCAAATTAATAAAGTGGTCACCACAGGTGGCACTAGTCGGTTGGCAAGTAGGAAGGAGATTGCAAGCTATATATTCAATAAACAAGTCCGTATTGGGTGTCCTGAGTCGTGCGCTGGTCTTGTCATGAAGCTAATAGTTGACAATTTTTATAAAAATAACCCTGATATGCTGGGTCAGGATGATAAAATAAGTAAATCGCACCATTGGGTGAAATCAAAAGTCACGGTCTAGGCCATATGGACAAGATTTTATAGAAGCAACATAAGAGGCCTAATAGAATTTGAGTGTTCCATAAAAACCTCAGTAGTTTTAGCAAACCTGGAAAGATACACCTAACATGTGTAATTCATAAACTTCTATAAATTACACAGAATATTCAGTTTGATTTTTACCCTACAATTTTGAGTATTTGCCATTAATTCGATACGTATGGTTATGCGTTACGTACTGGTTTTCTGGTTAGTGGAAGCACATTGCAGTTACACTCTCGACACTTAGAGTCTATGACACTTACTTTGATAATTGACGAGTTGTAAGCAAGGCTGTTAATTTTGCATAAGAATGTGTATGGTACAGAAAATATAAACATAACTTTACATTCACAAAAACATTTTGAATTTATGCGTAAAGCTAAAGCTTAGCAGCTGAAACTCTTGATTTCATTGCACCATATGTAAAGGTACAATTCCGGCACTATTAAACTATAAAGAATACCCCAAGTCGATTTGCACTTCGAGAGATGCTGTTGTATGTCATGGCATTCCTGACGATAAACTATTAGAGATGGGGACATTTTAAATATCGACGTTACGGTGACTTTAAATGGTTGGTATGGTGATACAAGCCGAATGTTCTGAGCTGGCAAACCATCAATAAAGCGAAACGCTTATGTGATACTACTTATGTTGCATCTGGTAATAAATTGGCCGAGATAGGACTGCTGTAGGGAAGTATATTAGAGATTTTGGCTATTCTCTAGTACATAGCAGCTATTGGGGACAGAATGGTGTAGTACAGGAAAAGCCTAATGTATTAAAGGAGGGATGTTTTCTACAACAGAAGCACTGGTCAACACTGGAAAACATGAAACTCTGTTAGTAGACTTGATAGTTGGATAGAGAGATCTTTCACTCTCTCCACAATGTTAGCATAGCGCTTGGGGTGACCAAAGGACACAATGTCACCTAAAAATTGGCATTTTCCGCCTTACAACTAGATTCTTTCACAAATATATAAATATTATGATTTGAAAACAGGGAAACGGAACTACAAACTTCACCAGCTTCAACATTGAAGCTATTTATCTTCTCTATACAGATTAAACGACAAAAAACTCAATCTACTTGATACCTTTTATTCCATTTTTTGCACTATGTGCACCGTATATCATGATAACCTTTCAAGGTTTTTACTTAGTATAATTGAAATGCGCTTGTTAAAGCATTCGGCACAGTAAAAAACACCAATTTAAAAAGATAGGTAGTGAATAATTAGCTAACAGGATTTTTTTACCTTTTTTCTGCTTAGTAAATTTTCTAACGTTTAAATTTAGATCAGCTATGACTTAAGACGTTTAGAATAAAAAAATGTTAACTATAAAGTTAATATAAATAACTAGCCACCAACGGTCCTTCTTTCCTTAGCTAGATTCGATCTAAAGATACCGTGAAGTATGATGAGGAATCGCCATTTCAGTGTGCTGAATCCAATGTTTGAGCACTGGAATGACAAAAAGAGGGGAGTATAAACTTTCTCAAACTCATTCAGTTATGCTTTCAAAACAGTGGTATAATGGTTATTAATATATAAAAGTTATAGTGAACAGACTTGAAGCGGAAGGCACTGGTGCAGTGCGAATAATATTTAGTATGCCTTCATCTCGAGAAGCCCGCCCGTATGGGTAAGAGTGAGTAATGGTTGTGGGCTGAGCTACTCCCAGCAATATAGAGGGTGATTTTATTATCGTCGACGACCACTGAGTTCCGCTCAAGCATAAGCTGGTTTAATCAGACTTTAGCAGGCTCAACAGTAGAAAAAAGAGATAACTGTGCTTGTGATGCATCAGGAAGATTTATCCTGACACCTTCTCTCCAAACCGAAAAATATTTTGCATTAAATTTGTTTGCCAACAATAGATAAAAATAAGGAGTCGATCTATTCAATCGAAAAGCCAATGTCTCCTTCTCTTATTACTGTAATCAGAGTAACTACAAGTAAGTACAAGAGCTGAATTACAGCATAAGTGTTAGAACAACGCCATCCGTAATACTACCTTCGAGAGAAGAAGGTCAGTTGCTATAACTGCTAGATGGAGAAGAAGAGATTGGAACGATAAAAACTGACTTAGGAATTACCTTTGCTGTGCCATATCAACAAAACCCTCTGTCGCTTTCAAGTGATATAATTAAACTGGAGTGGGCTGAAGCGCTGTAGAAGTTTTCCTGATGATCCCTTGCCTGTAGCTTAAAGGTAGCACTGCGATGCTAGCAACTTTAGCACTACCTGGGCAAAAGTAGGTAATAAATTCTATTTACTCAATGTATAATGCCACATGCAATTTTGATTGAAGCAGAAACAAGTGGTCAACAATAGTACAATATCTGAAGGTAATGTCACATAATGATAAGCCCACTTGATTTCATTAAATTGTTCCGACTGGCAAGGTTTGTCTACTGCATCAAGCAGTATGGCTAAGCAATTCTGAATACGAGATTTGAATGTTTCCAGAAATCCGTCATGACGACCAACTGGACAGCTAAGGAAAACACTAATACCTTCAGAATCAGGAGTTTTCCCATACCTTATTTGAGATATCCATGGTAAAATCAGTACAGTTAATATCATTTATTGCATAAATTACCTGTAAACTGTAAATTGCAACGTTTGTACAGTACACACTAAAATTTGACAGCTTAACTAGATTACCTCTTGAAGCTCTATTTTTTATATAGCACTCATTTGTGAGTTCATTGACATCAGAGTCACAAAATTCTCACTTATCTTTGCATATCTCATATAGTAATTTCTAATTCATTGTCACTTTCTCTTAGAGTTAAGAACTTTTCTAATACAGAGATTAGAGCGCTTATTTGCAAATATAACTGCAATAAATTTCACTAAACTCTCACTCAAGTGTTCATTTACAGAAAGTATTACTTCTTTTTTGACTACAAAAGAAATCATAGGATGGGATAGGGATATAAAGACATCATGTTGACTTTTAAAAAAGCTAACGAAAATTCCACTTCTTTTCTTATAACACTTAGCTTATTCTCTGAGACGAGAAACAGTGCTCTAGTGTAAGATGAAGCTAAATTACTGTATTGGGTCGGTCTTTTCATGCTAAATTATCTATATAAACCTTGCGCTCTTCAAGCCAAGCATTTTTTTATAGGCAGTCCTCTTTTAAGGAAAGGAAGCATAAATCATATCTGATTGGATAATCTAAAAAACTAAAATTCTTACTTAGAGGAAATTTAGAGGATTTTACAATAGATCGATACTAAAGATAATATATTGATATATCTTCTTCAAGCAGACTTGTTTTAACTTCTATAAAAATAAGCTCTTTTTTTAGATACAATTAAGTCAATTTCACTAAACTTACAACAATAACAGTGTTTTATAACCTAATACCATTTCAACTTCAAATATAATAAAATTAACAACTCACCAAAATAACCTACAAAACAGTGCAATCCACTCACCATAAGAAACTATGATAATAATTAACTTTTCGTCGCTACTTCATTTTTCCTTCATTTTTATCACAAACCTTACCTTTTGCTGTAACTGTAACATCTCTATCAACTATTTCTACTACTGCCATTGAAGCACAATCACTCTTTCGAGCACTAAATTTTATTACTCTAGAATAACCACCTGATAACAATCCTGATAACGGCCAGCTAAAACATTTAGCAACTTATCAACTACCAATTTATTATGAAAGCGAGAAAGTAATAGCCTTCTACCATGTAAAGTATTCTTATCCTTAGTAATCGTAATAAACTTTTGCACATACGGACCCTTCGGTAAAGTAATTAAAATCTTCGTGATTAATTAATGAAATAGATAGATTCTTTAACATCGATAATCTATGTTCAGTACAACGAGATAGTTTCCATTTTATTATTCCATGTTTCATATATCACCTAATCTTCATCAGTATCACCTAACCTAGCCAATTCATCTATGTCCTTAGGTTGCCAATCTGATATATCCATACCCAAAAACGAGCCAAAATTATTTAAAACCGCCTTAATTTCATTCTATCAAAATTAGCAGTTTTTAACATTTCACTTCCTGTCGTTTGTCAAGATCACCTATATAAGTGATATTTTCATTCTTTAAGCAATCATTGACCTGATAGACGACTCCATTTCATCTACTTTATGCAATAAGATAGGGTCATAACCCAAATCTTTATAACCACTGGGCGAAGAAACCTGTGATTTTTTATAACAGCAGAGTGAACAGCTTGACTCGGAGAAATTGTGTCATCACTTTCAACTGACAATATCAATCTATCCTTATCAGTAACTTGACCAACACAACTATTTTCTACTCTATACGAAAATCTGTTTATGGGACTACAAAAAGTATTAACCGGAATAAAACTAATTAGATCCTGCTCATTCATAGCTTCAAAAATTCGTTTTCCTTATATTTAGTTACGGAAAGGTGACCTTTTCCGCTAGCCACACACATAGTCATGTTGAGCTCTACATCCTGTTCCAGTGTACAAATCAGCAGATCTTTATTAAAAATAGAACACTGATCATCAGTTTCTATCTTGCTAAGGCCCTTTAGCACTCAAACTTAGGCATTTATTAGAAGTGCCATTTAATTTACACCTCAACACACCAATACTGAATACTATATCAGTCACATCTTCTCTTACTCCTTGGTTGAAGCAACTCATGAGTTATACCATAAACAGCACTACCTATAAGAGAAGACAACATTACACGCCTTAATGCATTACCTAATTACCTAAAGCAAAACCACTCTCCAATGGTTCTAGCACAGTATCACCCTTCTCGCTTGAGTCACTTGATACTACTTTCGTCGAATTAGGCTTAGTTAATTTATCTAAACTGTCAAAAACAGGAATACCGTCATCCTTAACACATAAAATAACCTTTTCAAATATCCTATACCCTTCTTTTTTTTCTTAACCTAGATCCATTATGAGAAATCGTAGTCTTATTCGCAATTGAGGTAACTGTTAACCCGCAGCTCTGAAGTGCTTTAACTGCAGTCTCGGTACCAAAACCAGGGCCACGAATTATCCCAGAAACAACCTCCACACCAAATTTCTCTATTCCAGCTTTTGCAGCAGCCTGTAAGGCTTTACTCGCACCATAAGTTGTAGACTTTCTTGAGCCTGGAAAACCATGAGTACCTACGAAAGTTTGGTACCGAGTGTTACCTTGAACACCAGCCACATTTATAAAAGTATTATTAAAAGTTGCACGAATGTGAATAACCCCAGTAACAAACTTGCTGCGCTTCTATCAGCCGTTCTGATCTTTTTCATTAAAACACACAATAAAAAATTTCATTCTTTTCCCGCAAGCGAGATCCACCTTTACGAGTTTTAGCATTGCAGGTAAACCTTTCCTGTGTCTCACTCCCTATAGCACCCCATCTCTACTAAACACTTTATATTCATAGCCACTTCTTTCCTGAGATCACCCTCTATGGAATAATTTTGCCTAATGAAGCTGTTGATCTTTTCTATACATTTATCTCGCAATTCCGAACCACATTTACTCTTGTCAGTCCCGCAAGCATGGCAAATTATATTTGCAGTAGAAATATGTATAAGTTAATCCAAAAGAAATACATTTCTGAACATATACACCTGCAATACACGTCACCGATATTTTATTAATAATAATTCTTAATTTTATGATATAAAACAACTCAGAGTCAAACTAAACTGCAAGAAATTTTACTTTCAATCTCTTGTTTTACCTGGTTAACATTAAGATTAGCTCAATCATTAATAATTTATCTCTGTAACACTCACTGGACTCTTTATTTGGACTGATATTCGTCTATTCTTCTATCAATTGCAGATAAGTCAGAATCATCAATTCTCTTTTCTAGTCTTGCACTTGCACAAACATGACTATCATCATCTTTGAAAGAAGATGTACTGTATACACTTTACAGTCCAAGCAGTCGAGACGGTTTGTAATCTGTCAATTGCTACCTTATCGCTAAGCTGCAATTCAATTACAGTATCCACACCTCTATTATATTTCCCGCAAAACTTGAGTTAAGAAATGAGTTTGATTTAGATTTTTTGGAAAACCGTCGAATAAAAAATTATCATCCATCAATGCAAGCTGATCATATAATAATTCATATATAACTCCATCTTGAATTAAATTACCACAGTACAGATTCTACAGTATCTTTTATTTTTTTGCCTACTCACTACTGCAACTAGATATAATATTCCTCAATAAATCCCCTACTGAAATTAACTTTAAGTTATATCTTCCTACTAGTAAGCTTGACTGAGTATCTTTACTGGAACCAAAAATTGTAATAATCATCTTAATTTCTTTGTTTTAGATTCATATTTTTTTTATCCAGCTATCATATCTATTAAAAAACATATACGTCTGTATTTGCATAACAGTATCAGTAGTAACATTAACTATAATCAACAAGCTCGTCCCACCAAAATAAATGGCATATCATAATAATATCTCATGACTTCAGGCACAGTACATATGACCACCAGATATGCGGAAACAATAAAAGTTAATTTAAGAACTATACCTTGAAGGCAATCAGAAGTGTGTTTTCCTCGTCTTCTACCAGTATAAAACCATTATTTTTTTTAAGAAAATCTGCATTTTTCTCTGGATTAAATATAAAATTAGTATAGAAAAAGTTAAAAAACACTATAAGCGCTGAGTAAGCTGCAATATAAACTACTTTGTTTGCCATAAAACAGTTTAAAATAAAATCAGAAAAAGCATGCCCCTTATAGAAGTCTGCAATTGAAACAGGCATTAATAAAATTGCATTGGCAAAAATAGTAGGTATTACATCAGATAAATTAATCTTTAGTGGAATATAAGTAAAGCCATCACTATGCAATCTTTTAAACTGCTTTTTAGGTATTGAACAGTGATCATTTCTATAAGAAGATTCTACAAAATAATTAAAGGTAGCAGTAAAAAAATAACACAAAAACAAAAAGGATAATAAGCAACGACATGCTACCATCTTTATTTAATACTAACAAGAAGGAAAAAGCACAATGCATACCTGTGAAGGTAATTAATGAGACAGCATTACCTATACCACTAGCACTGATTTGCTCACAAAGCTATATTAACACAAAAGGTTGAGAATACCACTCACTGTACGAAACATAACACCAGGTTGGATTACAACTAATGTTCCTTCCCTGTTCGTATAATAATAATTAGATGAAGAATCAATCTATTTAGAATAGAACTGATTGAAATGTACAAAACACTGTGGTCATACAACGTATACAGGAATTCATCCTTCGACGCTTTTATTCTCCATTATTTTAACTTCATTAATTCCTTTAACGACAGAAGATGCAACTATATATGACATAACATTCAGTACTAAAATTATTATCCTAGCTAATGCCCCAATCGAAAATAGATTAAATACTCCAAAAATACTAGCACCTTCTTTAGGAAATATATCATTAATTATATCATGATTAATTCCAAGAATACCTAAATGAATACAAAATAAAGCTATTATCGTAAAAAGCATGCGCCTTAATAAATTACCTTTATATAATAAAGAAGGATCTAAACTATTAAACGGTGATTTGCTGCCCATTCTTATGATAGTATTTCCACCCACCACCAATTGAAGTTACAGATTTCTTTGCAGCTCATTTAGCTTACCTTTATTAAGAAGCTTAATTTTATCTTTAATACACTTTATAAAAGCCTTATCAGAGTTTTTCTCTATTTCTTTAGTCTCTAATAAGCGCTGCAAATTAACTATAGAACATATGTTTCTACGTATGGGATTAAAACCTCATTTAGGTAAACTTTTAGGTATACATAGACTGTCGTGCACCTTCAAATCCATTTATGGAGGTACTGCTCCTAGCCTTCTACCCTTTATGTCCCCTACCAGATGTTTTACCTTTACCTCAACCGATACTTCTACCTATTAATTTAGGCTTCTTTTTCTTTGATAATTCAGTAAATATAGAGTAGCATTATTCATACTTTACCTACTTCCGACTACCTCGCTAATTTCTTTACCCCTTTTGCTCGCCACTTGACGAGGAGATAACATATTATCAAAGGCCTTAAATACTGCACATATAACGTTATGAGGATTATTCGATCTAGTAGATTTAGCTACTACATCTTTTATGCCCAACACCTCAAAAACCGACCCAATCGATCCCCCAGCAATAATGCCTGTTCCAGCTCTAGTTGCTCTTAAAACTATTTCACCAGAGCAAAATTTAGCCTTAATATCATGGTGCAAAGTTCTACCTTCACGTAAATACACTCTAATCATTGATTTTTTTGCAGCATTTACAACTTTTATCCTTGCTTCAGCAACTTCTGCATGCTTACCCATTCTACATCCCACCCTACCCTTCTCATCTCCAGTAACAACCAAAACTGAAAATGAGAACCTCCTACCACCTTTGGTGACTGTCGACACTCTCCTACTGAAACTAAAAGCTCTGACCAGTCATTATTATTTTGGAAATTATAGTCATATTTAAAATATTCTAAAATTTAAATCCAGAGCTTCGTAAGGCTTCAGCAAACTGAGAAACCAACCCTGTATATTTATATGCTCCACGGTCAAATACCAATTTTTGTTCTAACTTCATATTAGATGGGCGTTCAATCATTAAAGAAGAAACCTGCTTTATACTTTCAGTATTGATTCCCCTTTTACATACATCCTTAATTTTAGCATCCAAAGTAGAAACAAAAGTGAGAGTTACTCCTTTTTCATCATTGATTAATTGAGCATAAAAATCCCTATTAGATTTAAATATGGATATACGTAAACGCTTAACACCACTGTTGAGCTTCTTTCTGTTACGCAAATTCCTCTTCTCAGAATTACTTAAAAATTATTTAACCTTCTCACCTTAATTACTTCCCTTTACTCACAACTTTACGCAACATAAACTTGCCTTATATTACAATACCTTTGCCTTTATAAGGGTCATATTTTCTAATTTTGCATATATCAGATGCCATCACATAGACCTTTTGCTTGTCCATACCATTAACCACCAAGTGAGTTGGCTTTATATACTTAATCTCAACATCTTTAGGCACTTTATACTTAATATTATGGCTATAACCAAGATATACAGTCAAATACTTACCATCACACTCTGCTTTGCACACAATACCGTTAATCTCAAGATCAACAGAAAAACCATTAACTATACCATTAATAATATTATCAATGTTACTTCTTAAGTGTCCCATATAGGTTTCATTTCACTGTAACTAACTTTGCCTTGATCAACAGAAAGCAGTAACTGGTTATCAGTAACCTGAAACACAGTATCACTTCATAGCCTAAACTCTTTTTCCGCCTTAGCACTTTTTATTAACACTTACCATCATTACATTCAACTGAAACACCAGCAGGAATATCGGTAGATGCTGCTACACCTATGCGAGACATAAATGTCTCCCATTACTTAAAACACACAAAATTTCTCCACCAAACTTTACTTATGTGCATCGTAATCAGTCATCACCCCCTTGGATGTGGATGCAATAAAAATATCAAGTCCATTATATGCTTTAGAAATATCCTTGTGCTTAGAATAACACTCTGACTTCGATACTCTAACTATATCACTAATTACAGGTGATCTCTCATAATACTTTAATTTTACAACAAAAGATGGTATATTACCCGCAACTTCTTTTGGTAATCAAGAAGATGTCCTGCATCCTTTAAGATCTTTAGTATGGAAGAATTTACCTTAGAGATTGAGCATTACGTATCCTCGCTAACAAATCACCAGTACTATCCGATAATGTCACAATATACTCTCTTACCAACTAGGCTTTGTGATATCTGGAATTTTCTCAGAAGAACACAAACCACGAAAACAATTCTGCATAAACCAAATTTTCTATGTACTCCTCTTGGCCTTCCAGTTAAAGCACATCTATTTCTAATTCTGATTTTAGATGAATCTCTAGGTAATTCTTTTATAACTTATTTTGAGCTGCAAACCTCTCGTCAATAAGTAATGTTTATTATAGACTTCAATCTTTCTCTTTTCTCTCCATACTGATCACACCATTTTATTCTACGAAGATTTCTCTGTACTATAGATTTTTTTGCCATATACCTCTTCTCTTAACTTTCTTAACAAAAAAAGGAAACTCAAAAGCTAGCAATAATTCTTTCGCTTCTTTATCACTGGCTGTACTTGTTACAATATTAACATCCATACCTCTAATTTTACTTACTTTATCATAATCTATTTCCAAAAATGGAATATGTTCTTTTTATACCAAAACAGAAATTACCATCAAATTGTTTCACACTAAACCCTCTAAAATTTTTTCCTCTCGGTAAAGCAACATATCAACCTTTCTAAAAATTCATACATTTTATCTCTACGTAAAGTTACTTTACAACCTACTGTAGCACCTTTCCTTATCTGCAAACCAGAAATGGACTTCTTTGCAAATACTGATACAGGTTTTTGTCCTGCAATTAAATATAGATCATCAAATGGTCCATTTATTGCTTTATTGTCTGTGGCAGCACCTTTAATACATACTTTGACAAGCTCTGCATTATATTGCCTAGTTGAACTTATCCTTTAAGGATTTTACTATGCTATTTCTATACAATTCTTCAAACACACTAACCTATCTATAACTTTAAACCACACTCTAGTTGGAGACTGTTTTGAACATTAGCTTCGACTCACCACAATTTTATAAATATATTCTACTTCACTATCATCGTCACTCAGCATACTCAATGTCACAGCTGCACCAAACATTACTGAATCACCGTTCACTTCTATTATTTCTGCATGTGAAAGCTTGTTTTCTAATTCCATCATACGACCTTCAATTACTATTCCTCATAAGTTTTAACACCCAATTAAAATGAACCTTGATAATACCACAATTTAATTCCTAGTCCAATATACGAAAACTCTTACAAATTATAGGATTTTCATAAAAATCGATATTCAAATTCGAAATAAAAATTAATTTTAATTGCAAAAATGAATTAAAACCATGACCAATTAAAACTTTATTAATTTCGCTACTCAAAATTTTTGCAAAACTTAATTATTAAAGTTTGTTTTATTATTTAAGCTGTTAATGACCACACCGTGTACGACTAGTTCCCGTACAATGCATATACAATAACTAATTAAGTTGAAAAAAAATATTTTTTTAATGAATTGCTATTTTTTAATAGTTTTAACATTTAACTAAAATAAAATTTGATAATAGTAGGACTTTTAACGTAGTTTAATATACAAAAAAGGTTTTAATTCATTGCAAATCATAAAATTTTCATAAAATTCGATCTAAAGATTTCAAATAAAAATTAATTTTAGCTGCAGAAATGAATTAAATTTACGACAAATTAAAAATTTTATTAATATCACTTCTCGAATATTAAAAAAAACTTAGTTATTAAAGTTTATTTTCTTATTACGTATGCAACGCATAAAATTAAATAGCTGAATTCAAATTAACTAATTTTTTTAAGGAATTGATATTTTTTAATAGTTTTAACATTTAATTAAAATGATTTTTTGATATTGCTAGAATTTATTTCATAGGTTAATGTACAACAACCTAACAAATTATTTAATTTGCATAAAGTTTGATATTTAAATTTGAAATAAAAATTAATTTGAATTGTAAGAATAAAATAAACGACAAATAAAGAATTTAATTAATTTTGCTATGATTCGATTTTTTTAAATATTTTAGCATTTAATTAAATTAAATTTTGACAATTACGGGATTTATTTCATAGTTCAATATACAAAAAATTTTGAAATTAATTTTTATTTCAAATTTAAATATCAAATTTCATGAAATTTCAACAATTTATTAGGGTTTGTATATTAAACTATAAAATAAATTCTAGCAATATCAAAAAATCATTTTAATTTAAATGTTAAAATATTAAAAAAAATCGATTCATTGGAAAAATTAAATAATTTGTATTTAATTGATTGATTTTTATGCATTGCATAGGTACTGGTTACATACATTGTGGTCATTTAACCAGCAAAAATAATAAAATCAAGTTTAGAAATTGAGTTCTGAATAATATTTCAGAAGCAAAATTAATTAAATTTTTAATTAGTCATAGAACTAACTCATTTTTACAATTAATGCTAATTTTTAATTCAAATTTAAAATTGATTTTTGTGAAAATCCTATAATTTGTAAGGTTTTTTGCGTAATAAACTGGGAAATGTTAGGGTTTTGTATATTAAACTATAAAATAAATGCCGGAATTGTCAAAATTTAATTTAATTAAATGTTAGAATATTGAAAAATATCAATTCATAAAAAAAAAATTAGATAATTGGAACTTAATTGATTGTTTTTTATTCATTTCATGGATACTGGTCATTTGATCAGCATAAATAATTAAATAATCATTCAAAATTATGCTTTAAACAATGTATTATTTGCAAAATTATTTAAATTTTTAACTTGCCACTGTTCTAACTCATTCTTACAATTGAAATTAATTTTTATTTCAAATCTAAATATCAAATTTTATGAAAATTCAATAATTTGTTAGGTTTTTGTATACTAAACTATAAAATAAATATAAAACTAAACTATAAAATAAATATAAAACTACTAAACTATAAAATAAACTATAAAATAAATTGTCAAAATTTAATTTAATTAAATGTCAGAAGATCAATTCATAAAAAAAAATTAGATAATTTGAACTTAATTGATTATTTTTTATTCATTTCATGGATACTGGTCATTTACGGTTGGTCATTTGGTCAGCATAAATAATTAAATAAACTTTGAAAATTAAGTTTTAATCAATATTTGATTAGCGAAATTGATTAAATTTTTAATTTATCACGGTTTTAATTCATTCTTACAATTGAAATTAATTTTTACTTCGAATCTAAATATCAAATTTTATGAATATTCAATAATTTGTTAAGATTTTATATATTAAACTATAAAATAAATTCTAGCAATATCAAAAAATCATTTTAATTAAATGCTAAAATATTTAAAAATATCAATTCCTTAAAACAAATTGATATTTTGAGCTTAATTGATTAATTTATATGCATTGCACAGGTACTGGTCATTTACTGTTGGTCATTTGATCAGCATAAATAATAAAATAAACTTTAAAAATTAAGTTTTAATCAATATTTTACTAGCAAAATTAATTAGATTTTTAATTTTTCACGATTTTAATTCATTCTTACAATGAAAATTAATTTATATTTCAAATTTAAATATTAAATTTTATGAAAACTCAATAATTTATTAGTGCTTTGCGTATTAAACTATAAAATAAATGCTGGAATTGTCAAAATTTAATTTAATTAAATGTTAGAATATTGAAAAATATCAATTCATAAAAAAAATTAGATAATTTGAACTTAATTGATTAATTTATAAGCGTTGCATAGATACTGGTCACAACATCGTGGTCATTTGATCAGCATAAATAATTAAGGTTTAAAGTTTTGATTGAAATTTCACTTGTTAAAATAATAAAATTTTTAATTAGTCATAGAACTAACTCATTTTTACAATTAATGCTAATTTTTAATTCAAATTTAAAATTGATTTTTGTGAAAATCCTATAATTTGTCAGGTTTTTTGCGTAATAAACTGGGAAATGTTAGGGTTTTGTATATTAAACTATAAAATAAATGCCGGAATTGTCTTTGTGAGAGTTTCATAAAAATATACGAAATAGCAGGATTGACTTATCAAGTTAATCTGTTCTTTGTCTTGCTGTAATCGAATTGCATGACATGACATGCTCAATGCAATCACTTAATTATATTTCAGCATTAAATTCGTTTTCCAAACATATCTGTGAATTCTATATACTTGAAGATTTGAGTTTTTTTTTTTTTTTTTTTTTTTTTTTTTACAAATAAGTGTTCGAAGAAATATAAATACCACAGTAAATTTGGGTGATAGTCGTTGTACAATGTTGCTTCAATCGAAACAGACTATAGAATTATTAGCATGACAATTAAGATGATATTTCAAGTTCCAGTTTATTTCGACAAACTTAAAATTAATTACAATTATATACGTTCAGTGGTATACTCAAATGTATAATTGGATAAACTAATACCCACCGTAATAAATTCATTCTTCTTTACTGTTTCTTTTGGATATATAATTTCATAAAATTTTCAAGAAAATGTGTGAATTCTATTAAATCTTTTTTATGTTTATTTAGTTTTTCGTTAATTGTTTCATTAATTTTATTATTACTATGTGTTATTCTGAGATTTATGAATAATGATTATTAAGGATAAAATTATCAAATCTATAAACGTGACTTACCTAATCATAAACGACTTCTAATCTCCTAAGAATAAATATTGGAAATAAGTCAACATATTTCCAATTGTCATTTAATTTACGTCACCAAAATTTAAAACTGAAACTTTTTTCAAAATGCAAATAATTCATTCAATATTTTACTTACCTTCAATATACTATATTTTATTAAACAAAGCAGACAAATACTGCACAACTGATTAAATATTTCACCATACGATGACATTTAATCCCAGCTATTCATCAGTTCCCTTTATGCAAATGTTACTCCATTTTGTCAACCAAACTTTTGAAAATTGTCCCATGTTTTCAAACATCAAACATCGCTTATGTTGAAATTCTTTCTGATAATAGCAGTGGATGCATGTCAAAAAGCAATAATTAGCAAATTTCAGGTGATGCTTCCATCCGATGAAGTTCCCATCGGTGATACTATCAATAGATGTGAAGATGCTACTTTATTAAATGAACCCATTAAATGCATCGAAAATGATTAGAATCTTATTCCTCACGTCGTATTACTGAAATGATGGAACAATATCCTTCCTAAGTAATCCTTTCGGATTCAAAAGAGCATTCATAAACTACCAGTTGGGCGAGAGAAAAACGAAAATGTAAAAGAAAAAAACGATAAACAATAGGCAGATTAAAAACTGTTTGAACCTTTGATCTTTAATTGAAATAAAAAGCTTTCATTTGAATATTTCTGTCATTTCATAAAATTCTGTCCCATCATGTTCTTCACTGTATCTATAACACCAATCATCTGGTTCAATCTTCTGCTTTGCATCGCTTCTAATAAAAATGAAACTTCCCATCTACCTAATTTTGGTGCTGCTGATAAAATTGTTACAAATAATACTTATTCTGATATCTCAGACAGCTTTGATTACAACAATTTTGAGCCATTGTTTGGCTCAGAATTTCCATCCGATCCTTCGCAGTTGATTGATTTCGATCAGTTGAGTGAAATTGAGGATATAAGTAGCAAAGAATCGATACCCGAGATCACAAATGCTCCTCATCCTGGCTTTTCAAACAGCCATGGTTTGTTGGGTCGCACTAATTTGGGCTCATTACTTGGTTCATATACAGATTCAAATAGGAATGTGTGGAGAGATGCTAATGGAGAATTAAAAACAAATGATGATAAAGCACGATATCCTATCATTAGAGGTGAGACTTTTGCTTCAAATGTGTGAAAAGTGAACAGCTTCTTGTGATCTAAGTTATTTAGATGCTCAAAGTGAAACTTCTTCGCCACTTAATGTCGACACCGATGACATTATTACATATATGCACTTACCTGGTTCACAACAAAATGCGGTTCCGATCTATTTTCACCAACTTACTCTTTCCCCAGATGACACATCCGATCAACACGGAAATGCTGAACAGAACAATATGGGCAATAAGCACTTCTCGGATAACTTGATTGTCCCCGACTACAGGGAAAATACCAATGAACGATCAGAAACAGGTAATGACAAATTACATAACGATTTCTCGCTCTATCTTTTATAGTTCTTTATTTTCATCAGCAGCATGAAATTGATGAAGCGACATTAAAAGTATGGTTTTTACTTTATATATGTGAGAAGATAAATAAACTTTCTATCTAAGTTATTCAAAATGCAATATGATACTTTTTTTTATGGCACTGACATTTTTGTGATTTTCACATTACTCAACTACAAAATGGTGTAGTAGATTTATTAATTGCAAAAATAAATGTTTTGACATGAATTTTTCAGATAAGAGAAAGTATATTTGTCATTACCCCGGGTGTAATATGATCACGGAAAATTACAAAGAATATGTAATACATAAGAAAACACACGGTCAGCCCTTCATCTATGAATGCAAAGTGCCCGGTTGTGGGAAGACATTCCACCATGATTCATCATTTCGCAATCACAAACAGATGCATGAACCTAATCCTCAGTGCGAGGGCTGTGGCAAATTCTTCGCCACCAGGAATGCACTGTGTCGTCATAAGAGGATCTGCCAAACAAAATCTCGTTAGTTTGCAAATTTAACAAAAAAAAAAATTCATATGTGAGTCTAAAATGGAGTGCCTGTGAAATGAACTATGGAGCACCTGTTGGACCAAGATAGTTGATACAACGGAAAATTCACAATTACATTTTGTTGCAAGGCTGTTGAAAGTTCAATAACTCTAAGGAGAAAAAGAAATCCCCAAGATTTTAGCTATTCTATTTACCAAAACTTATATCCAATGCAAGATCGATACATATATATGCTCAAAAATAATTAAGCAATTTCTTTTTCGTGATCTAAATTATTTGAAATGGAATGTATTTCACTGAAGTAATATTTTTATGGTTTATTAGATTACTTAATTAGCTGCCAAACACCATAATAAAATACCAATTGCAAAAACAAATATATTAAAAGTTTTTTAGACAAACAAAGCTACAAATGTCTCTATCCTGGGTGTGCTGTGATCGCGAAAAGTTACAACGAATATATAACACATAGGAAGACACATGGTCAGCCCTTCATCTATGAATGCAGAGTGCCCGATTGTGGGCGAACATTCGACTATGAACCATCATTTTGCAATCACAAGCAAACGCATGAACCTCGTCCTCAGTGCGAGGGTTGTGGCAAATTCTTCATCAGTAGGAATGGACTGCATTGTCATAAAAAGAGCTGCAAATCCCGTTAGTTTCCAAATTTAGCAAAATTTTAAACAGATATGTCAACCTGAAATAGAATGTGTGTGAAATGTATTATGAAACATTTGCGCGAACGCTGGGTGACAATACAAAATTCATTAGACACACTCATTAAGATGCTATATATTTTTTTTTGCACTCAGTACTACTACACACGACCTAAGAATCAATTGCTTAAAAATGTGTTGACAGTGGTGACAATGGCGCTTCAATATACAAACATCAACAAACATTGAAAATATCCTTTCACTCTTAATCAAATTGTTTTATTTTCCTAATTCGTGGAACGTATGCGGAAAAGCATATTATTCTATCCACAAAGCCAAACTACGACAAACTGCAATAATTTTTTTTTGGCGTTATAAAATTAAAAATTTTCATTCTAGAAAATGAGACACAATTTGGGCATTCTTCGCATGCATGAGAAAAGAGCGTAACAATCGGACGTTTTCGAGGCATCAGAATGCGGTGGCCAATTTATAATTTTATTTTATCATTGTGTTTTATAATATTTCATCTTTATTTAATATTCCATGAATATCACAGAAATGCATAAATGTACTAATTGGCAATAAAATTCGGAGGCAAGCATTTAAATGTACAAAATGCGTTCACAACTGAAATAAACGATTTGTTATGCAAAAAACCAACATGAAAAAGCATCATAAATGAGAAGCTAAAAATTTATAACAAAAATTGGCATCACGAAGTGGTTTTAAGCAAAGAAATGGTTTTTTTTCCTATATATATGAAAATTATAAGAAAAAATTTTCCACCTATAATTTAGCCTAACCATAACATGCAAAATAAATGGCAGATATTATGTTTAATGAAAAAATTTCCCCGGGTATCCGACACTAAAAAATTTTGTAAGTTAATCGTTGAAAAGTGAATGTAGAAAAACATCAAAGATTTAAAATCATCACAAGAACAATATTACTTTCCTATATATGAAAGGTACTGTTTCATATCTAATACAGAAGGCGACAAAACCAACATTTATCATCAAAATCAAAATTGTCGTCAAAAAGAGCAACAAATGTGCAGTTATTCCAATAAAATATGCAATTTTTCATGTAATCATATCATATGGAAAAGGATTAGGATGACATTTGCATTTGAGCCTAGGGTTAGGCTTAGGATGATACCTATACTTACACCATTAGAAGCTGCAACATTTTTCTCTTCATTATCACTCGCTCAGATGTATTATAACCATTCAATATACTATATTTTATTAAACAAAGCAGACAGGATTATTTAATACTACACAATTAATTAAATATTTCACCATACGATGACATTTAATCCCAGCTATTCATCAGTTCCCTTTATGCAAATGTTACTCCATTTTGTCAACCAAACTTTTGAAAATTGTCCCATGTTTTCAAACATCAAACATCGCTTATGTTGAAATTCTTTCTGATAATAGCAGTGGATGCATGTCAAAAAGCAATAATTAGCAAATTTCAGGTGATGCTTCCATCCGATGAAGTCCCATCGGTGATACTATCAATAGATGTGAAGATGCGACTTTATTAAATGAACCCAATTAAATGCATCGAAACTGATTAGAATCTTATCCCTCACGTCGTATTACTGAAATGATGGAACAATATCCTTCCTAAGTATCAGATTTACGTACGCGCTATTGTAACACTTCCTTCCGGATTCAAAAGAGCATTCATAAACTAGCAGTTGGGCAAGAGAAAAACGAAAATGTAAAAGAAAAAAACGATAAACAATAGGCAGATTAAAAACTGTTTGAACCTTTGATCTTTAATTGAAATAAAAAGCTTTCATTTGAATATTTCTGTCATTTCACAAAATTTTGTTCCATCATGTTCTTCACTGTATCTATAACACCAATCATCTGGTTCAATCTTCTACTTTGCATCGCTTCTGATAAAAATGAAACTTTCTATCCACCTAATTTCGGCGCTGCTGATGAAATTATTACAAATAATACTTATTCTGGTGTCTCAGATAGCTTTGATTACAACAACTTTGAACCATTATTTAGCTCAGAATTTCTGTTCGATCCTTCGCAATTCATTGATTTCGCTCAAGTGAGTGGAATTGAGGACATAAGCAGTAAAGAATCGAATTCTGAGACTGATCTGTTCACAATTACTCCTCATCCTCTCTTCATCTCATCTAGTTATGATGATTTCATTGTCCACACTAATTTGGAGTCATCACTTGCCTCAAATTTGGATTCATTATGGAGAGATGCCAATGGAGAATTAAAAACGAATGATGATAAAGCACGATATCCTTCCATTAGAGGTGAGACTTTTGCTTCAAATATGTGAAAAGATAAGTGAACAACTTCTTGTAATCTAAGTTATTTAGATGCTCAAAGTGGGACTTCTTCGCCACTTAATGTCGACACCGATGACATTATCACGTATATGCACTTACCTGGTTCACAACAAAATGTCGTTCCGATCTATTTTCACCAACTTACTCTTTCCTCAGACGGTACATCCGGTCAACATGGAAATGCTGAACTGATCAACATGGACAATAAGCACTTCTCGGATAACTTGAATGTCCCCAAGTACAGGGGAAATACCAATGAAGGATCAGAAACAAGTAATGACAAATTGCATAACGATTTTTCTTTCTACTTTTATAGTTTTTTTTTTACTTTCATTCAATCCATAAAATTAAACATATCTACCACACTAAAACAAAAAATCCACAATTATCGATCGAAATTCTAGAAGTAACTTAAAAGTATAATTTTTACTTCAAATATGTGAGATGATATAGACAAACGCTTAGTACCTAAGATATTGAAATCTAAGTTATTTAGATGCTCAAAGTGGGACTTCTTCGCCACTTAATGTCGACACCAATGACATTATTACATATATGCACTTACCTGGTTCACAACAAAATGTCGTTCCGATCTATTTTCACCAACTTACTCTTTCCTCGGACGATACATTCAGTCAACATGGAAATACTAAAGAGAGCAACATCGATAACAAACAATTCCTGAATAGCTTGAGTATCCACGACTTCAGGGGAAGTACCAATGAAGGATCAGAAACAGGTAATGATGAATTGCGCAACGACTTTTTGTTCTATCTCTCATAGTTTTTCACTTTCATTAACAGCATGAAATTGAAGATAGAAGTAATAACGAATCAAAAACCAAAACTCATTTCGTCGTTCAGAAGGCGACATTAAAAGTATGATTATTGCTTAAAACATGTGAGAAGATAAGTAAATAACTACTTGTCACCTAAGTTTCCGCCATAGATCATCATTTTGTTGTTGTCACATGCAAACTCATCAACCTAAGCATCAATGCAGAGATTGCGGCAAACTCTTCAGTAGGAAGAATATATTTTTTAAATTCGAAAAAAAAACTTTTTTTTGAAAAAAACAATATTTAAAAAAGCTCAATTTAAAATATAATGTATGCGGAAATATGTTTTAAAACATCGCTGACCATGGTATAGCAATATACAATTCAGAAAATGCTGCGACATTTTTCTAACCTCAGTTTCTTTTGTATATGACAAAAGTCCTGTGGCAGGCAGTCAGCATACAGTGACAACTGATTTTTTAATATCGCGACAGATTAATCTTTTTTTTTTAAATAAATTACTTGTCCATTACTCGATTACTTGAAGTTGGGAGTACAAACAATGACGAAAACTAAACTTGATTTCGCCACAAAAGAAAATTCACAATCATTTGTTGTGCTTTCCATTAGAAATATAGCATCAAAAGTAAAAAGTAATACCAAAAGTTTTGTTTCAAACATATGAGAAGATAAATAAACAGATTATTATGATTTAAGCAATTTGAAATGATAAAAAAAAATGATAATATGGTAAGATTATTTTATGCACTGATATTTTTATGATTTATCACATGGATTAATAATTGCAAAGACCAATATCATAAGAGTTTTTTAGACGAACGAAGCTACGAATGTGTCTATCGAGGATGTACTATGGTTACAAAAGATTACAATGAATATATAGCACATAGAAAAGCACATGGTCAACCCTTCATCTATGAATGTAGAGTGCCGGGTTGTGAGCCATCATTCCACCATGAACCATCATTTTACAATCACAAGCAAACGCATGAATCTCATCGTCAGTGCGAGCGCTGTGGCAAATTCTTCAGCACCAGGAATGGGCTACAAAAACACAAGGAGCACTGCCCAACAAAATTTCGTTAGTTTGCAAATTTAGCAAATTTTTGAGCACACATATTAGCCTGAAATAAAATTGACATGTGTTATGAAACACCTGTGACCGTTGAGTGACAATACAACGGAAAAATCTCAATTACATTTTTTGTTGTAGCTATACACTAATTAAACGTCTTCTTGTGATCTAAATTATTTGAAACGGGATCTGGTAAGATTATTTCATGGAAGTGATATTTTTATGGCTTATCAAAACTCAATTAACCATAGTGGAATGCCAATTACAAAAACAAATGTGAATTTTTTTAGATAGACGAGGTTATGAATGCCTTTATTCTGGATGTGCTGTGATCTCGAAAAGTTACAACGAATATCTAACACATAGAAAAACGCATCAGCCCTTCATCTATGAATGCAAAGTGCCCCGTTGCGGGCGAACATACAAAAATAAATCATCGTTTTGTCAACACAAGCAAACGCATGAACCTCCTCAGTGCAAGGACTGTGGCAAATTCTTTTGCCGTAGGACTGCATTAAATTTTCACAAGAAATCGTGTTCCAGAGCTCCTAGTTAGTTTTCCAAAGTTAACAAAACTTATGTGAGCCTAAGATAGAATGCACGTGAAATGTGTTATGAAAGATTTGTGACCGTTAAGTGACAATACAAAATTCATTAGACACATTCATTAAGATGCTATATATATTTTTTTTGCACTCAGTGATACCGCTCACGTCCTAAGAACCAACTGCTTAAAGACAGTGGTGACAATAGCGCTTCAATATACATTAACAAACATTGAAAATATCAACAGAGGAAAAATTATCCTTTCACTCTTAATCAAATTGCTTTATTTTTCTAATTCGTGGAATGTATGCAGAAAAGCATACATTCCACGAATATTATTCTATCCACAAAACCAAACTGCGACAAACTGCAATTATTATTATTTTTTTGGCGTTATAAAACTGAAAATTTTCATTCTAGAAAACGGGACACAATTTGGGCATTCTTCGCAAGCATGAGGAAAAGACGTAACAATCGGACGTTTTCGAAGCATCAGATTGTAGCGACCGGTTAATAATTTTATTTTACCATTGGATTTTTTAAATATTTCTCCCCTATTTATTATTCCATGAATATCACAGAAATGCATAAATGTACTAATTGGCAATAATATTCGGAGGCAAGCATTTAAATGTACAAAATGCGCTCACAACTGAAATAAACGATTTGTCATGCCAAAAGCTAATATGAAAAAGCATCATAAATGAGAAGAAAGTATTTACCTAAAAATTTATAACAAAATTGGCATCGCGAAGTGGTTTTAAGCAAAGAAATGGTATTATAAGAAAAAAGCATACCACTTATAATTTAGCCTAAACCTTAACGTGTAAAATAGATGGCAGATATTATGTTTAATGGAAAAACTTCGAGTATTCGACACTAAAAAATTTTTTAAGTTAATCATTGAAAAGTGGATGTAGAAAAACTTCTTTAAGATCTTCACAAGAACAATATTGCTTTTCTATATATGAAAGGCACTGTTTCACATCTAATACAGAAGGCGACAAAACCAACATTTATCATCAAAATCAAAATTGTCGTTAAAAAGAACAACAAATGTGCATTTACTCCAATAAAATATGCAATTCTTCATATAATCATATCATATGGAAAAGGATTAGGATAACACTTGCATTTAAGCTTAGGGTTAGGCTTAGGATGATACCTATACTTACACACACATTAGATGCTGCAACATTTTTCTCGTCATTATCACTCATTCAGATGTATTAGCTGTCGATGACTAATGAATCATTTGCTTAAAAGGTTGACAATGGTGAAAGTGATGCTTCAATGATACATCAACAAATTTTGGAAATATCAATATAGAAATGAATACTGTTTGCCCTCTCGGCTAAATTGATAATTCATGAAAGATATGCATTCCATCTGCTAAGCCAAACTGCGACTGTTCATTTATTTTAGCTGAACAAAGTAGCACCTAAAAAATTTTTGTGATCAGTTTATGATCTGATTTTATTTTCATAGTTGTTTATAATTAATTATCATATTTATGACAGCTTAAAAAAAAGTAACTATTGACCCTTGAAAAATAAATGTAGCAGAATTTCCGAGGACTTCAGATCTCCTTAAAAACAATTTATTAAATACATAATGTGTCAAAGTTTTTTCCTTCTATAATAAAGCATAATTTACCAATATTTGTGACTTAGCAAAAACCTAAATGTGAAGGAAAAAAATTTTCCCTCAAAATATTTCCTCAATTAAACGACAAATTTCCGCTTAACTTTTCCCAATTTTCTAGCACTGAAAAATTTAAAAAAGTAAATGGCTAAGATTAAAATCTTTACAAAACAATTTATCTACGATGGGAATAAAGAGAAAATGATTAAGATAAGATATATACTAAGTGAAAATTTGCTCACTATTATTATTTTACAAATTGATAGAAAAGCCTAGCACTTAATACATCGAATCATTTTGCAATTTGTCTGCAGTCTACTAAATCGCTTATGATTCGACTTTGACACCTATCATGTCAACACACAATAATATTTTTTAGTCTACCACCGAATAAGTTTTTTGCTGTAACTGGCTTACCATTAATCACTCTTATGATCTACATAGAAACAAAAAATGGTGCAATCGTAATTACGAAGTATTAAACAATGCTGAAGTAAGTAATCTTCCGATATCTTTAAGCCATATCTCGTGAAAATTATAATTTTATACATATTGGTGATTAAAGTAAATGGGTAAAATTCATTTGCAATTAAAAATTAAAAGAAAAACTAAAGTGCATCAAAGCTAATCGTGACCCAATTCATTTTTTTATTATTATTTACAAAGTACTCAAATCACCAAAAGAGAAAAGAAGTAAATATTAAAAAATATTACTTTGGTCATTCAAACAAATGCTGAAGTACTGATTGTTATACCCTATTTTAAATTATCTGGTATAATGAATAAATTAACCATTATCATACCCTTATGCTCTTAATTGTTTGGTGACATAGTCTGGCAGCAAAATTAGTACTTAATCATCACAATAAAATTGGACGATAGATTTGAAAATTCCTTTCAACAAATTTATTCGTAATTTTTTAACAAAAAAACAAATGTCACAATAAATAGGAGTTAAATTCATCACTTCAATCAGTAATGTATTATCAGTTAATTTTTGATTAAACAAACAAATATATTTTCAAATATTAATGGAATTACTGCTGCAAAACAAATCATATGTATGGAATATTATTAACTCAATTATTAGGTAAAGAAATTAATTTAGAAGAATAGATGGGAAGAAAGATACATGGAATGATCAATTGAAATGCTATTAAGGTACCAGGCAGTACCTAAGAATAAATATTGGAAATAAGTTAATATATTTCCAATTGTCATTTGATTTACGTCACCAAAATTTAAAACTGAAACTTTTACAATATGCAAATAACTCACTCAATATTTTACTTACTACTCAATATACTATATTTTATTAAACAAAGCAGACAGGATTATTTAATACTACACAATTAATTAAATATTTCACCATACGATGACATTTAATCCCTGCCATTCATCAATTTCCTTTATGCAAATGTTATCTCCATTTTGTCAACCAAACTTTTGAAAATTGTCCCATCTTTTCAAACATCAAACATCGCTTATGTTGAAATTCTTTCTGATAATAGCAGTGGATGCATGTCAAAAAGCAATAATTAGCAAATTTCAGGTGATGCTTCCATCCGATGAAGTTCCCATCGGTGATACTATCAACAGATGTGAAGATGCGACTTTATTAAATGAACCCAATTAAATGCATGAAAATGATTAGAATCTCATTCTTCAGGTCGTATTACTGAAATGATGGAACAATACTCTTCCTAAGTATCAGATTTACGTACGCGCTATTGTAACACTTCCTTCCGGATTCAAAAGAGCATTCATAAACTATCAAGCGAGGAGGTTAAAGAAAAAATATGACAAACAGCGGACAGAGCTCAGGAATAGCAGAAAACCTAGGACTTCCCAGGGAAATAAAAGAATTAGATTTGTCGCTAATCAATTAACCGTGGTATTCTTGAATCAATTATGAACATTCTCGATTCTATTCAAAAGGAAAGAAGAAATTTATATAGAAATGGTTTATTAAGAACAAGGTATAAAATAAGTCAATGAAGAGAAGTTAGAAAAAATTTGGAATTATACAAAAGTTACTATGAATTAGCATTCGTCGTTAAATCCAGACTACACAACTCGAGATATTATCCATTCACAATGGAGGACTTTTAATTAAGCTGTTGACTTCCCGATTCGTAGCATCAAATTTGTCATGGAAGTTTCTTGATTTGAGTAATTTGGTGTCTCACAAAGAATTATTGTAAAGGTTCGTTCTTTATGGAAGATGGATGGTAATATTATATGATAATTAGTCAATAGACGATCATTGATCGTTTGAAGAAACCGTTTCAAGGTTTGAATGTGGATTTGCTAAGGAGTTGCTTGAGTTGTAGTTTAGGAGAGTTCTTAAGATGCCAAGGCAAAAGCTCTTCGAGAGTATGAAAAAAGTTATTGTGTAGAACTATAAATGAAGAAAGAACTAGATAACGAACTCTTCCTAATGGGTGATTTATAAAGATATGCTGTAATACTATTGTGAAGAGAGTTACCTGAACAAAAAAGGAAAACCTTAAATATTAGTTATCAGAGTGAAAATGTGTGAATCGGTTTTTGGTATTTAACCATTGATGATAAGCTGATAGTTAAAAACAAAGATGAAAATTAGATAAGTAGTTCATTACATCATAACACTCATTTGCATTCATTTTGAATCATTTGATGAGAAATACAATTGAAGTTATGAAATGAACTGTTCTTAGATTGGATTACAACAGCTCTTTCTGGAGTCCGAAAATCAGGAAAAAAGAACATGGAATTCCTGTTTTTTAAAAAATAATTAAGATCCTAGCTGACATTCGCTTCCATCTCCATTTGGCTTTACAACTAAGTGATTTAGTCAGATGTTAGAATGCTGTTTCAGCACTTCTATTGTACACAATTTCGTTCTCTTCAACATAACTTTGTCACTTTGATTTTGCTAATATTATGATTCGGTCGCTCAACTTAAATTTCTAATTGAACCCATTTCGACTGTTTCAATACGAATGTCCCAGCACTACGGTTCACAGTAACCACCAATCCTATCAATTGTCACAAGCTGTTGCTCCCATAAGTGCTTTAGTCATCGATTGAGTGAGAGGATGGCAAGTCAGCTGCTTTCTGCGTCCATTATTATGCGTGGTATTACGATGTGATAACTGTGGTCATATCTCTTTGAAATATAAGAGAAATTTAGAGAGTTCAGACGGTGAGGAAATCATACCCGTACATATTTTTTATGCAAATTATTTAAAATTAAAGTTTACAAAATATGTAGCTAGATGAAAGACAGGTTTAATAGAGTGAGAAGGAAAAATAACTCCATCTTTATTCTCTGTAGGGGCGCTTTGCAGTCGGTGAACTTTTTATTGTTGTGCGCTGAGGTGAGACTGCGCTTGATTTTCAAGTTTTTGCTTAAATCTGAAAATGTCAAAAAGAAGATACAGGTGGAAGGAGAACAGGAGGAGGAGAAATGAGAGGGATCTAAAATGGTGTTACAGCATATGAAATGAAGTGATAGTTGTCACTGTCGAGTATCATTTGCAAATACACCATGGAGCGACTGGCTACACTTGAACTGAAATTACAGCCAAATATTGTTTGGAGAGATAGTGAGATGTATTTTCAGGTTGAGAAATTGTTGATTCCTGTCACTCTTAATATAACGTTAACGCTAATTGTTTGAATTGGTATATATCATACCAAAAAGGATTCGAATTCTGTCTTCTATTATAAGTTCGATCCGGTCCATAATCATACAACCGAAAATGAAATCGTCGACGGGATGGCTAGAGCTCTCAAAGCTTGCAAGTAGTCAGAAAATTGGATTGCACAGCAATGGAACTTTATTGACTTCATTTGACCTTTACTTTCTTCTACTTGATGATTCGAACGAAACACCGCAGTGAATGTTCTTCACTGTCATTACATTAAGTGATAAGTTGGTTATCTTACATTTATGGGTAATGATTTAAAACAGAGAAAAATCTATTTAATAGTGAAGGCTTGTCGAATGCTGCGGAATAATTGCAATTGTAATTGAGATCACTGAGATTCGCCGGTCAAATTCTCTAGGGGGATTGATCTTGGTGAATGTCATGCAAAAATGGAACTTGAGACTGCTTCTGGAACAATTTCCAATCAATATGCTTCTAGCTCACAGTAGCTCGAATCGCTTTACGTAGTATGTTTAAATTCACAGATAAATGGAATCGGATGCGTGTTGATGCTAGCTATAATAAATTTTGCACTAAAAGCCGAATTACAAACATAAATCAGAATAACAACCGGTAAAGATTATCCAACCAAGAGTGACTGCAACTTGTACCTGAATCTGAAATCCGGAAGAGGCAGGCTGAATCAAATAGCGTCAATTATTAATTAATTGCATCAGAACGATGTACAAAGTGGTGTCACTTTATAAAAAATACATTCGTGCAACAAACTGCGTTATTACCACAAGTGCTCATTGTCACTGCCTTCAGAGAACGCTTTATAAAATATTTCTTGTCAGTGAACTTAACTCTTCAATTTACTGAAAAGCAAGAGATGTCGCAGTTTAGAAGCTAATGAGTTAAAAAGTTAAGGAATTCTCTTCAGTGAATTTCAGATGACATTAGCCCAATTATGTCATTAACTATCATTTATCATATTATCCTTAATCTATCCTTTATCATATTGATCATAAGAATAGTAAGATATTTCAGAGACTTATTCAAAGCAATTGGCTTCCAGACCGCCCCTCCTATACTCACAACACTTACTGTTATTACATATGGTACCATCGGTATCCTCGTATTCTTCACCAAAAAAACTCCTCTTTACATGCATCAATTCTACGTCATTTGCAACTGTTCATTGGTTTCTGTATTTTACCTTCGAATGTTCCCTACACATACTGCGTGGTTTGTATTGGTATGCTTTGGGTTGATGAGTTCGTTATTATTTGGGGTAAGTTGATGAGTTCGCTGTACCATCTAAGTAATATTTCTGTGAAACCCTCTCTGACTGTAAGCAGTGCATATGAGATTGTGGACAGTTGCAGAATCGTATGAATGCGATCATTGCAACAAATTAGATCGCCGATCAAAATGACCAGAAAAGGGGAAAGACTTGAGAAAAGAGATAAATTTTATCTTTTAGAGAAGATAAAACATTCTAATCTTAATTATTCCATAAAGAGATTGAATTGATTCCTAATCGAATACAAGAAAGCATTCAGATGCATTCGCAGTGCTTGCACCCATCGGTCCATTGCGACGTATCAGTGGAAAAGCTCACGAATACAGCGACCAAGTAAGTAAGGCAATTACTTCTCAATTGCTTGATATAATAAGCATTAAGAATTGCGACAACTGCTTGCTCCTTACAGTATTGCGATTCTTAATGTTCACAGCTGAGGATAGAAATGACGAGCGGAGGGAAGAAATCGTAAGTTCTCTTAGGCAGTGAGCTTTCTGCTGTGGTAGTAAGTTCTATTTCTCTTGTTGGTTGACTACCATCCGCTTCCCGAAAGAAACAAAGAAAAAGAAAAAATTTTTTAAAAGAAAAAAGGTCTTTGTAGATCAATTTTGATAAAATTCTTTATTTTCAAAGCAAATTTTAGCAATTCTGTCCTTGACTCCTACAAATCGTTCACATGAGATTTATAACATAACTGAAAACATCAGACATGAAAAAAGAAACAAAAGCAGCTTTTTCAAAGTTAATCATTCAGACAAGCAAGAGATGTCTTGTCGAGCCAAAACAACAAAAAGTGAGGAGAAGCCTAAAATAAGCTCCAACAAGGCTGGATTCAGTATTTTTCATCGATTTAGCACATCATATCTTATCTTTCGATAGATCCATGTCTTGAGTCCTAAAAATTTTGAAGTGAACTTTGTCTAAATTACAGGAAGCAAAGAGCAAACATATCCAACAGCGTAAAGCGTTAGGTCACAAAAGTAATATATGTGATGAAACGATCCGGAAAATTTGCACAAAGCTTGGAACATCCAAGAATAAAAGAAAGAAACGAAATTTAAAATCTACGATGCTCTGAATGATGGATGTATTCGTGGAAATTTTTTCGTCGAACAGGTATCGGGAAATTGGCACTTACGAGATTAATTTTTGAATCGAAATAAAAAAATAAATTGAAAATCTCATTCTGATTACAAATCCTTCAGAACGCTTCATTCTTTTCGCCGCTATCAATGTGATTAACATGTTTTTTTCTTTCAATAAGTATTTTTTTCAAATAAGAGCAATCAAATAAGTATTACCTGCTCAGAACTTTATCTAATTAATTCCTTCAATTAATTTTCATAACGCGACAGAAAGATATGGGAAATCTAAGCTGTGAAATAATTATTTCTTTGGGAATTATTTTCTTGCCAAATCATCTTCTTGACCTGCCAACTCGGTAACTGACCAGTCATCCCACAATCATCAAGCGAATCATCCCACAATTCATAATGCTTAATAATGCGTACTATATGATGTTAAATTTAAGCTAAAATTAGTAAATATACAAATTTCAGCATCAGTTCGTCTTGGCATGGGCGACTTCATTTTCTATAGTTTGCTGGTAGATAAAGCCTCCGCGACACGTAGTACAATGTGCGTTGCTGACTCAATGGCTGGCTGGCTGGCTGGCATACTCACCCTGGCAGTACTGTCTAGCTACGATGAACCCACTACAGCACTGTCTGTTCCGATCGATTACCATCGCTGTACTGCTACATTCCGGCATTTATCTGTTCGTCGAACCATTCCATAATCGCATAGTGATGAGCACAAAATTATTTACCTCTGGACAAAACAGAACTATCTCCACCATATGACTTCTCCAGTTGCAGGCAAGTTCATCAGTTCATAAATTTGATACATGCCAAAGATCATAAGGGATCATCTTAGTGACAGCATATTTTGCATTAAAAAACAATACAATGGAATCAACGCTACATTATGAAAGAAATAACGAATAAATAAAAGAAAGTGAGAATGCAATCAACAATGCCAAATTTAAGAATAAAATACGAAGATGAAACGAAGGAGTCAAAAAGTAAACAATATAAACTAATTAAAAATGCAATACATTCTAGGTATAAATAAATGAAGCGACGAATACTATTATTATTATTACAAAAAATCTAACACTTTAAGTCAAAGAGTGAAGCAGTTGAATTAAATCCTTGCTGAACACCACCGGTGCTGAATTCATCAAAGTTGAAGTGATACAGCCAATCATTATGCCGAAACAATTAAGTTGCAATTCAAAGCAGCATAACAGTTGAAAAAATCCACTATTCCTAGAAAGTTCAATCTGTATTAATATTAGATTTAAGACTGAATGTTTCGTAAAATGTGAACCGAGGGAAGTTAGGCAATGAATCATTAAATTTCATCTTATAAATGTTTCGTATAATATCAATTGATTCAGATAATGAAACTTAACTATTACATACTTCTCTCAAAACTTTACTTCGCCGAAATAACTATTTATTACAAGTACCGATTATCCTCCAACTTAAAATTACTATTTTACATGTTTTCTGAAAAAAGCTTTAGAAAAAAAATCCGAAAAGATTATGCTTCAAAGTGCTAAGGAAAACGAAGAGCAAATAATTTAACCTATTGTGAAAAGTTTTCTAGAAAATTCCAAGAGAAGGAATATCGATTGCCAAAAACCAATCGATTGGTAACCAAAACTGCATGAGATCCAAGCAAAAAAAAAAAAAAAAAAAAAAAATAAAAGCAAAAAGACACAAAAAAGAAACAAAAGAATGATTGATGATGATTTCGATAAGAATGAGACGTTGGTCATGGTCGTTTAATAGAAATACATGTAGAAATAACATCAACATAGTTCACAGTAATATTTTTGTTTCCGAAATTGTACTTTCCTTTGTGTTATTCAAGTAAATGAGATTAAAGGTTGTCTTTATTTTAGTTCGAAGAAGTTTCGGTAGAATTTATACTTTCTAACTTAACTGCTCACGTCGGCTTACGCCGTCAACTCTGCTTTCCGATCAGTCTAATCATAGAGAGGATAACAGTTTTCATAACATTTAAAAGAAGGAAATTCGCAAATGGTAAAATGGTGAACCGTGAAACGTTATAGACGTAGCTAACAAATCATATTTGAAATTTTGAATTAGATATGAAGGGATTTTCACCACCGTAATTGCTATTCCTGCAATAGCTGCAACTGTTTTCAAAGTCCAATAGTCAGGGTTAGAGGCATGACTAATGCTAGCAACAGAACTAAATCTGCTAACAATTTCGTTTTATCAGTGTCACTTACTCTGTCTGCAAGTAAAATCTATATCTAGTAAAAAATACCGTAATGACAGCTTAGTCTTAAACATTTTTTACTTCTGATAAAATATAGACAAGCAACCATACTTTTGGAACCTCCCCGACTTCTTTTAATATAACAGTATGACACTCTCTGCACGTCCATAATGCGTTGACTATATCATCTAAACCTTTTAAGTCTATTCTCGCTACCACAGCATTAATCCCTTGTTTGACCAAAAAAAAAAATCTAGTACTTGGATCTGTGTGCTTGATTAGTATGTACTCGCGTTCAGTCAACATGAAAACATTCCGGTAGACACTAGTAGCTTTTAGATTTGACAAAAAAATCTGTGTTGATGTTTGCTGTACATTTATATTACTAATAGTACTTTTGCTTGCATCTTCAACGCTCTGAATAGCAAAAACCACAAAGGCATTTAATTTTCTCAGCACTTTCAACCAGTCCTTTATCTTAGGTACAAAAAGAGGATTATATATTAATGTCCATACCTCATCAAGGACGATAATAGATGGAGTGCCATCAAGAGATATACTAATCCTGTGAAATAATAAGTCAAGACTAGCCCAAGAGCAACGGGATTTTTGAGTAAGCTAGCCATTTCAAAGCCAAATACTCTTGCTTTTGAAAAATCTATCAAATCTTTATTGTTATCAAATACTTCAGCATGAGAGCTATTACCATGCCACATAGATATCACTCCAGCTAGAGTATCAGAACCTGCAAGTCCTAAAAATGGTACTAGGTTTCTGAAGGATCTATCTTCCTTTCATAATTTAAAATTTCCTTCAATTATTTATCATTATTTAACTATTATATGGTTAAATTTCTATTTTGTGTACTGTTATTGCCGCTAATAATAAATACTAATAATAAATATATTAAAGCATAATGAAAATTTATCTAAAAATCCTTGAGTATTTTCAGAACTTAGCTAAAATTTTTTTGACACCTCCTGATTATTTCTGTTGTCAGGAGGTGTCAAAATTGCGCCTCGAAAAGTTGTAGTCTCAAACTGTGGATGGTAATCTATGGCAAAACAGCCAAGAGGGACAAGAATTTTAAAAGAATATTCTAAAATTAAGAATGATATAGAGTCATTTTCAAAGCTAGAAAGTGATTATAACGATGCTATCAGTTTAATGAAATCCACTATTGATGAAAACGATGAAGAGTTTTTCTCTGAAATTGAAAATAAATTACTAAAATCAGAAAAATTAATCAAGCGTAAAGAAACAAATTTCTTATTTACTGATGGAGCAGATAATACTGATTGCTTCTAGAAATCTACTCAGGAGTTGGTGGAACAGAGAGCAATGATTGGACTGAAATATTAAAATTTTTTAATCGATAAAATTATATTGGAAAAAGAAGAAAATGAATCTACTTCTGTTCCCTTTGTGGACTGATGAAAGAAGCTAAATTTATTTTTGTAACATCTCGGGTTGTTTAATCCTTTGGTAAAGGTTTGGTCACTTCAAGTGTATGTTCACTTCTTCAAGCTCATGGCTTTAAAGTTCGCATTAAAAAACTTAACCCATATCTAAATATTGATCCTGGAACAATGAGCCCAACCCAGCATGGGATGGTATTTGTTACTGAAGATGGTGCCGAAACTGATTTGGATCTTGTGCATTATGAGCGTTTTACTGGAAATAAAGCAACTAAAGACACAATATTACAACTGGTAAGATGCATCATTAGTTATTGAAAAGGAAAGACGTGGTGATTATCTGGGCAAAACTGTGCAGGTCATTCCTCATGTGACGGATTTAATCAAGTCATTTATTTTTAATGGTACGGAAGACTTAGATTTTGTGATATGTAAAATTGGTAAGACTGTAGGTGATATTGAAAGTCAACCAATTTTGCAAGTCATACGCCAAATTAGTTATGTAAACTCGGAAAACAAAGATTTATTCTTATTCACTTAACCTTGGTACCATATTTGGCTAAAGACAAAACCAACACAGCATTCAGTTCGAGAGCTAAATTTTGCAGGACTGCAGCCAGATATATATTATGCCGTAGTGAAAAATAAATTTCTGATAATCAAAGAGGGAAAATAGCCAATTCTTTATCTAATGTAATAACCGTTCCTGATGTAAGCCATATATATGAATTACCTGTCATATATAATCAATATGGACTCGGTACATAAATTCTGGAGCATTTTCATTTCAGTAAACCAAAACCAAATCTGACAAATAGTGCATTCTATGAGAACCCAATGCAGGAAGTTACTATTGTGTCTACAGTAGAGAAATATATTGAATATCCGAGTAAAAGACAGATCTAAAGATGATGGATCTACCCACCCTTCGCACATCGTTCTTTTGCATAGCAATCACAGAGGTAATGCAACGTTACTAAGTGATGGTCGAGTAAACTCTGATTAAAAAGATGCGCAAAATTAAGTTCTAAGAGAGGTGGCTGATGATGTACTAAACATATATACTATACTATAATAAAAATATTAGGGGGGGGGGGGGGGGGAGGGGGTGGCAAAAAAAAGTTATCGTGCAAAGCCGCAAAAGAAAGCAAAAAATTTAACATTAAGCTTCAAGATAGAAATACTATCATTCATTATAGAATATTATAGCATTTATGATAACTTTCATCTGCAAACGGAAATGATGTAACTGTTACAGCTAACGTTACATACAGATCGTTCTACGAAAAGTATGATGGTACATATTGCTCCGGAAGAGACAGGAAGATTTCCTTATTCTCTGAAGAGAAACTGTCGGAAAATTCTTTCCATCCTTTCAACAGCTTCGATCCATTTCTTATCGTTTCGTTTGATTAACTATAGTTCACTGTACAGCAATTTCATTATTGTCGACGAGTCTCCATATTTTTCGGTCAATATTTGGCGCACAATTTCATAATTTTCTGGGGCAACATCAAAGCGTTTTACTAATTGCAATGCTGTACCTTTTAAGCAGGAAATTAAATAATCCATTTTTTGGATTTGTGGGATATCCTTGGAATGTACAGCAGCATTTAGCCCACTCCAAAACTTTTTCGTTTGTAGGGTTTTTGAAATTGATCATTCAAAAAATATTGTGAAAAAAAAAAAAAAAAAAAAACAAAATTTACGCAAAAGAAAGATCACCACTACTCGAATATATTACTGTAAGCAAAGTGCCGAATAATTTCAAAATATTTGCATTTTTTTAATGAAAATTCGATTCTAATCCATATTTTATCTAAATTTCATTGTCCAAACTAGTTAAAAATGACGCATGAATTTAACATTGGAAGGCTGAAAGCTCAAAAAATAAAACAAACTTTAATAAATTTCAAATTTAAATACTGATCTTCACGAAAATCCTACAATTTGCAAGAGCTTTTGTATATTAAAAAGAGAAGAAATCTCTAGCTTTTTTCAATTTTAATTAAATGTTAAAACTATTAAAAAATATCAATTCCTTAAAAAAAATTAGTTATTTTGAAGTCAATTGATTAAATCCATGCATTGCATGGATAACGTCAGTTACGGTGTGGTCAATTGACAACATAAATATGAAAATAAATTTCAATAACTAAGCTTTTTTTAATATTTGAGAAGCAAAATTAATAAGATTTCTAATTTGTCGTAGATTTAATTCATTTCTGCAGCTTAAATTAATTTTTGTTTGAAATCTTAAGATAAAATTTTATGAAAGTTTTATGATTTGCAATGAATCAAAACCTTTTTTGTATATTAGACTTTTTTCTATAATTTCTAGTAATATCAAATTTTACTTTAATTAAATGTTAAAACTGTTAAAAAATATATATTCATTAATAAAAGTTAGATATTTTGAGCTTAATTGATTTATTTTATGCGTTGCATGGGTACTGGTCATTTATGGTGTGGTCAATTGGCAACATAAATAATAAATTAAACTTTAATAATTAAGCTTTAATCAATATTTTATTAGCAAAATTAATTAAATTTTTAATTAATGACGGTTTTAATTCATTCTTACAATAGAATTAATTTTTGTTTCTAATTTAAGTATCAAAATTTAGGAAATTTGTACAATTTTTAAAAGCTTTTGCATATTAAAACGCGAAATGAATACATGTATTGTCAAAATTTATTTTAATTAAATGTTAAAATATTTAAAAATATCAATTCATAAAGAAAATTAAGTATTTTGAGCTTAATTGATTAATTTATAAGCGTTGCATGGGTACTGGTCATTTATGGTGTGGTCAATTTGCAACATAAATAATAAAATAAACATTAATATTTAAGTTTCAATCCATATTTGATCAACAAAATTAATTAAATTTTTATAAATCAATTTTTATCAAAAAATCTTCATGAGTAGTTTTTAGTGTCGAATGTTGACCCTTACGTTCATGCTACGTACTGCTCCTCATTTTTATCACGTAGCCTGAACTACTGCGTTGCGCTTTTTCGCTTGATGAATAAGTAAATAATGATTTTATTCTATTCCTACTGTTTCTTAATGTGCGCTAATACAACTATGTATGTGATGTAGCCTTCTTATGTTCTTCACTCCAATTGTAAGTTAAATTGGTAAGTTAACACAATTGTATTTTTCCTTTTTACATAGTTTGCATTTTTCGACATCGATAAAGTTTAAGTCGCACGGAAAAAGCGTCTGATGAATTATCGTAGCTAATGTTTTCAATAAGGCACAGCTGATGTTGTCTCAATGTTTGCGAACAATTTCTAGTCTAAAGCAACACTTATATTTCGACTTTTGAAATGAAGAAATTTACCTCAAAAATGCTGTGAGAAGAAAATGAAGGGAAATATCATGCACTATGATGTCTTCGTAAATAATAAAATGAAAATACTAGAAGGAATAAAGAATAACAGAGTGATGGGAAATACCTTGTTACAATGGAAAATTCTGAGAATGTTTACATCCATCAAAAAATAACGGATACAAAGAAAGGCTCCAGGTGCAGTTCTCACCTAAATGAAGGAAGAAATTTAAATGCAATGGAGAACTCACCGAGAAATCGTATTTAATCTGTGTCACTGCTTTCTTTTTACAGAATATAGATTCAAGTATTTTCAGTTCTTTACTTGATTTCTTACAAATTTTTCTACATACTCCATGCTCATCTAGCATGGCTGTTCGATAATATGGATCGATTCTAATCCAGCATCTGCCTTTGATAGTGCCATCCATTTTGTAGCTTGAAGTTAAATTCTTTTACTGCAATAAATCTATCACACAAATTAAAGCTCATGAAATATTTATCAAGAACTTTGTACGTATTTGTACATAATTGTTGATTTCAATAATAAATATACTTGGCTGAAATAATGCCAATTTTACTTTTATCTAGTCTTGGGTAAATGTCAAAAAGTAACTGATCGCTCATGGAAGCAATCGATAAAGTTCGATAAATGAAAACAGCCAGCACCCAATCCATTTGAACTGACACTGCATTACTTCGAAAGCAGATGGCACTTTTATTTGCATACTTTATGTTATTTTTATGTTAAACTTTATGTTAAACAGTTAAGTTCAACAAAGATTTTACTGTAAATGTTTAGGGAAATTTACATACAAAGAGAAAAGTTGAAGGGATATAAAGCGACCTGTAATATAATATTATGAACCTTCGTGATCACAATGATGAGATAACACAACAGAACAATTCATCTGACGAGATAATAGATTTATCATTCAAAATAATCAGCGGCCCGATTGCAACACCAGCCTTTCAAAAGTTTATTCAACTGTTTTTTATTACTATTTGTTTTCAAAAATGACGGTTTTGAAACTTTAGTTTCATCTCAAAATTTTTTAAAAAATCACCTTATGTGTTCCTGCATTTTCGATTGACGTTGTATCCACCGCAGATAGAGAGGCTACTTTAACCGTTTCTTCCTTTTAAATTTAATAACTCATTTCACTTTAAGAATGTTTACTTTAAGAATAATAACTCATTTGATTTTAAGAATGTTTACCATCATGAAAATTGTCAGTCCATATATAAAATACAGTAAGAAAAAAATGAAAAGGGAGAAAATATTAGTTATTTTATCTCTAAAACTTTCAGTGTGGTAAAAAGGAGTATAAACGAGGTTTTAAAGATAATATACGAACCAAGCAAATACAGCAATGTAAAATACTTGCACTATTTGAAACTATTTGAAATGGTAGACTTTCATTATTTAACACAATCATTATCACTATTCTCATTGTCTAAAAGTAATGATAATACAATATTTAGGACTTTTTAATTGCAATATCAAAAAGTGAGTAATTGCGGAAAACAATACAAGCAGGTTAATAGCATTAAAAAAGCTTCAGTGTATAAAATATCAGCGCAGCTATTTCGACTGCTTATCATAAGCTCATTACACTTCGCAAAGCTACGACGATAAAATTACTACTAGCTCAAATGAAAACAAGGTAAATAGATGAATTTCAAATTCTGGGACATTAAGACGTTTGTAGGAGTAATTAAGCTTAAACTGAGTTGAATTATTTCACCGATACCAACAGTAATTTCAATGTAAATAGAAACGTCACAACGGCATTCTATTTACATTCGCCTCTGAACTTTGAAAATTGAATGATAGATATCAAACACTTTCATTAGACTATTTTCATATCACAATGTTCTATTATAAATGATTACTAGTGGAAAACTCTGAAGAGTTCTTGTCATATTATCGAAAATAATACTGCAATGTTATTTATCAGAAAAATGGTTTAAGAAGCAAAAAATTGCTTCTGCTTCCAAAAAATCCTTATCATGCGAGCTATTATTGAGAATCTACTTGCAATTTATAACTAATTGAGAGAGGATTTTGATGGCAAAGAGATTTGCTGGATGCAGATGTAAATACGTAAAATAACAGAGAAATATAACATTTCCTTTATTAGCACAAGTAATAGGACAATACATTGATAGAGGACAATTGAAATTGAACTCGTCTGGTTCTTGGCAACAAATTACACACACCAAAATTTTTTAACAAGGGTAACCCTTATACGTTGTAACAATCATATCTTACATTATATGTGTTAAGATGTGGGAGTGGTTTATAATTAGACATTTTCGTACAAAGGATAAATTGTCTAGACATAGTAATGAGTTACTTTAACAATAGGTTTTACAATGGATATCACAAAGGTAAGTACAATGGGTTGTCTAGACAACATGATGTGTTGCTACTATAATTACAATAGACATTACAAGATAGATGGTCATAGTATGTGAATTGATATGAAATCAAAGGTTAGTTAAACCATTGCGATAAATTGTAAAAGACACCAATGGATTGCTATATTAAGCATTATTAACATTTATTTAGTGCTTCTCGATATATCGATATTAAAATCCGTGACAATTATTATTATCTATTTATTACTTTTATTGTTGTTGCTGTTAGTTGTTAATGTAGTGTAAAAAAAGTAGAAATGGCATTAATTCAGTAACAGAAATTTATGACTTCCCATCTACATTTTCAAGTACCAATTAAACTTCATTTAGTTGCGAACTTCCATTTCAAGTACCAATTTATATGTCAAAACAATCTCGCGAACTTTTAAATAACTTAATTTACAAAATATATCAAATAAAATTGTATTAATTCATAATATAAAGCTAAAATTCGTTTTAATTGAACATTAGAAATGTAAAACTGTTTCAAATTATACTTTATATAAGCAATCATTCCAACACTCATCTTTCTATTGTAGTTGAGCTTAACTACATTCTAGACATTTTCATCTGATAATAAAAGGTGCAACATATTAAATATATGTTAAAAATTACTCCTTTGTTCCAAATCAAATGTATTTGCAATGTCAAAATATTCTTATAAACTGTTAGCCAACCTTTGGGAAGCTACAATATTAGAACTCTTTCTATATGAAGAGCAAAGTTATCTAATAGTTCCTTACTTAATAATCATGCTCTTGTTGCAAGTCAATGACCACTGTATAAAGATTTAAATCCTTTGTCTTGATCAGTTTTTACTAGTTTTTCTTTATCAGTAAGCTACAATTCGGCTACACTCTCTCACTAACCATTCAGTTTATTTCCCCATTAATTTATTCATTTATTAAATACTTCACGAAATTATCAGTACTGTAGCTTAAATTAATACCTATATATTATTAGCAAATACCTATATATATTAGCAAATAAAATCGTTACAATAGATCTATCATTCGTTACAATGGATCTAAATTTTGTGATAGATAAATCTGATTCAAAAAAAAGGAAAAATAACAAAAAAACGCATTTGTCTACATCAACTACAATGACAAATAAGTTAAGTTCTTGAATATACGAAAATTCAATTCGATTCTAAGCCACAAGTTATGTTCAGACTGAATCCCAAATTTGACGACAATTTAGGCCAAGTTCAAGTATCTGTTTAGGAGTCATTTCAAGTGCCAGTATCACATTCAAGCCAAATATACATTACACACAATTATTTATAACTACTACTGGGTGTATATGTGTATTACTTATATAATATTTCTGTCTCGTAATGACCACAAAGTGAAAGTGATATATAATACACTTAACAATTTGACATTGAATTTTTCGATCAAATGTAAATATCTCATCAAATTTTATGATAGATAAATCTGATTCAAAAAAGGATCTAAAAACAAAAAAATTATTCATTAATATATTTTACATAGCAATCAATCAATCGGTTAATGGGTTAATAAAATATTACATATATATATAAAATTTTCGACTTCAAATTTTAGTATTTAACCGACGGAACTGACATTTGCAATAAATATGACAAAAATAAATTAAATACCTAATTTATCTCTCTATTAAAATATTAAAGAAGCTAAGATGGCCTTTCGTTTTAGTAAAGTTAAACTTTAAAATAATAATAATAATAATAATAATGGCATAGATGAAAGGAAAATAATTAAGAAATTATAATTGATATTGATGACCACAGATGATAGGATGGCCTCATAAGTAATTTTTCTGGTACTTATTAAGATATGTCACTTTAAATTAAAAATCTTTTAAAATTATTAAGAATGTTGTTAATCAGTTAGCCAAAATGAATACAAATAATAATTGTATGTTTGACGATAGCAATTGTTTCATTTCAAACTGTAGTAATTTAATCCTTTTTGTACATATATAATAACTGCACACTTACCATATTTAATTAAAATTATTCTCATTTTTTTCAATTTAATTTTAAATCAAGAAGTGAAATTCAGCAAATGAAATGATAAAAGTAGCATATAATTAACAGATGAGGTAACTAATAATAATAAATAATCAGTAAATGAAATAATCAACCATATCATGACATTTTGAATGACATCTTGAAATATTTGTTTATTCCTCATACAAATCACAGTAATCTTCTGTTCCATTTGGTGATAAATTTTGTAAAAGGGTGAAAATTATTCAATTGATCATTTGATTCCCAATGTAAACAGGTGGCACATCGTAGCAAGCAATAATAATATCATTAATCTAATAATATAGTTCATATTCATTTCTCCCAATTGCCTATTTTAATTCTTCTAACGAAAAAAAAAAAAAAAACGAAGACATGAAAAATATTAAAATTATTGCACCAATTAATCAACGATAAATTAATTATCGCAGATAAACAATATTTGCCAAAACAGTCTTTTATTCCTTATTCTTTTTCCTTCTTTTTTCTTCGCCCAGTAAAATTATATTAATAAAAAAACTTACCAAGAAAAAAAAATATAAATAAAATTCTGCGAAATTTTCAAATGTTTCATAAATTTAAAAAAAGATTGTCTTTTACTATTTTCATCTTTTTTCCTCTCTCTCTTGCCTTGCTTTATACACTGTTTGAAATAAAGGAAAATACCAAAAGGAAAAAGCATAAAGTATTTAAATAAATGGAAAAGAAATTCAGCAAATAATATAACTTTGCAATGAACCAGTCTTTAAAATGTTTATTATTAGCAATCAATTATTTACCTATCTGCAGTGCATTATAAAAATAATTGAAATTTCAGTTAAAATCGAATTGAAAATGAGGAAGAAAAAGTAGTTGAAAAGGTTTGTTAAAATTTAAAAGAAAAAAGCAAGAGAAAAAATATTTGCTATAATTTAAAAAAAGAAAAAAAATAATGTATAATCTGTTATTACAAGTTAGTTACTGAAAGATCTGTCTGTTCAATTTTAGATTACAATAATTTACAATCGGTAATAATTTCCCAATTTTAATCTCTCCATTTCGGTATTTCAAAATGTTATCAATAATGGAAAACTTTTTGCTTACTTATCCTTTTTTTTAGGATATAAAAAAATAAAGAAAGAAATTTCAATTGATAAAAAATTTTTATACGGAATATGAAATAATTTAGATCCATTAATTCTAAAAAAATTCAGCACATTTTTCTCATTTTGTTTATTATTTAAAATTTCTTCCTTTCCTTCCTTCTTTTTTGATTGCTCTTATAATAAATTTGATTTTTGAATTACTTGAAAAGCATCAGCGATATTCAACAAATATTCTGCATTTATTGAATTAATTTTAACTGAATTACAACAATATTCCATAACTATTTTAAATTATTTGATAATTCATTCATGCATACACATGAAAAAAGAAACTGATGAATCAATTTTGCTTGTGAAAAGTACTTTTAATTTCTTTTATTTTTTCCAAATGTATGATTTTGTTCCTGTTAAATGTTAAATCGAAATTATTAAATTATATGCTAAAGTGAGTATTTTATTTTGCTCCGAAATTATTTCAATAATGATCAAGAGAAAAGTTAGATTTTTTTATAGATCTAAAATAAATTGTCTCTTTTTCCACTTTGAAATGAAATGGATTCATAAGTAAATTAAAGGCAATAATAAGAATCGATGAAGTTTTATAATAATAAATAAATGATAAACAAACGTTTTGAGAGCATCTTTTTTTAAACGAAGCAGAAAAAAAATATTGAATTTGCTTTTTAATAATAGCCACAGAAATCTTGTTTCTGAGATAAAATTACAGTTTTAGAGAAGTTGCATTCTTACAAAAGAATCATTCACCAATTAACATAAATTTGACAATAGAAATAAAAAAAAACTTTAAAACAATTAAAATGATTTTGTCTTTTCAATCAGAGAATCATAGCAACATATGAGCAAAAGTAATTTTAATATAAATATTTTTTTGATGAAAAAAGTTTTTTTTTGTTCTCTGTTTAAATATGATAGAACATTACTATATATTTTTATTTTTTTTTAATGTTTTATTTTAATATTTTTTATTTTTAATGTTTTTTGCCAGTTTTTTATGCTAAAAATTAAAAAACTTTAATTTTAACTTTTTAAGTGTTTGAGTATAACTGAATTATAATCTGGGTATAACTGAATTGTAATCTGTATATAATCTGAGTATAACTGAATTTCGGGGGTTTGCAATCTTCTTCATGTATTCTGTTAAGGATATTTGACAATTAAGGCAAAAAAGAAACTTTATAAAATTCACTTTAAAGTTTTCTTTCAATGTACAAATTTAATGGAAATTGCTTTTAGGCCAATTTTAATTTATTTTTAATATTGAAATTAATTTTGATTGCAGATTTAAATTCGACAGTTTCCAAGAGCTTTTCTGTCAATTTAATGCTGAAACAATTTTTAAAATGCTAAATTGTGTTTTAATTAAATGCCAACAATGTTATGAAAATTTAATTCATTTAAAAATAAAATATATTTTGGACTTAATTGATCATTTTATTTACATTGCTCTTGATCTGCACACATTCTGTTTGGGATATTTGACATATAACTGCAGAAAAGAAAATTTATAGAATTCTCTGAAGTAATCTTTCAATGTACAAATTTAATAAAATTTGCAATTAGTGATGATTTTAATTTATTTTTGGTATTGAAATTAATTTTAATTGCAGATCTTAAAAATGGATTATTTGGAAAGTTCGGGAGTTTCCGAGAGTTTTTGAAAATTTAATGCTGAAAAAATTTTTAAAATATTGAATTCTGTTTTAATTAAATGCCAAAGATATTAGAAAAATATTATTCGTTAAAAATAGATATATTTTGAACTTAATTGATTATTTTTGCTTGCATTCCCCTTGATCTTCATATATTCGGTGGGGATATTTGACAATTCAGACAAAAAGAAAGGTTAATAAAATTCACTTTAAAGTATTCTTTCGATGTACAAATTTAACGAAAATTGCCTTTAGGCTGATTTTAATTTATTTTTGACATGAAATTAATTTTAATTGCAGATTTAAATATGGATTATTTGCAAAGTTCGGGAGTTTCCAAGAGTTTTTTAAACTTAATGCTTAATTTTAATTGTACATTTAAATATGGATCATTAAGAAAGTTCGACAGTTTCTAAGAGTTTCGTATTGACCAGTATATATTCTGGCGGAGATATTTGAGAATTTAAGCAAAAAAGAAAGTTTATAAAATCCACTTTAGAGTAATATTTCAATGTTGAAGTAAAAAAAAAATTTGCAATTATTAGTGATTAAAAATTTTTTTTGGCATTAAAAATTATTTTAATTACAAATTTAAAAATGGATTATTAGGAAAGTTCCAAGATTTCCAAGATTTTGTTGATTTAATGTTGAAAACATTTTTAAAAATGCTCGATTCTATTTTAATTAAATGCCAAAAACGTCAGAAGAAATGTAATTAATTTAAAAATAAATATATTTTGAGTTTAATTGACTATTTTATTTCCATTCTCCTGATCATCATATATAGTAAGGGTGAATTATTAGTAGTGTAAGTGTGCAATTATATCAGTCACTATGAAATAATAATTAGGATTGGGGATTTATCGAACTAGCCAAGACTTTCATTAGCTAACTGAATGCTTCAATTATTTAATTTCTAACTTTCTTGAGTGAATGAATTGCTCTTACTTATCACTGTCTGTTAAGTATAATGTTTCTTACATTCAACTTCTTTATTAGTCATTCTAGTTATTCAAATGTATTTTTTTAATGATGAACACCGATGTGTGTGCCAGCTCGCTCGTTAAACCTTCTGCTCATGGCCGCCTGTACGGTACGGTCTCTTCAGATGTGTGTATCCACCTGCTCGCTCGTTAACTCTTTTCCTCATTTCTGCCCAAACCTTACTGAGGGCGAGCACAGTGACTACGGTACGGTCTCTTAAGATGTATGTGCCCACCCTCCACGTATGCCCACCACCCTTTCCCTCATTTCTGCCCTAACCTCATCACTGAAGGCGAACAAAGTGTCTGCCCACCCGTTCGCTCCTCAGACGCACACACCCCAACAGTGAGCCCCCAATTCACCCAGTCGATTATCACTGTACTCTCCTAGGCCTATACAGTCTTTTCTAAAAAACACAGGACTTCCTTTGTCCTTGTGCGCACATATATATAGCCACATCCTCGTCATCAGGTCATTCGTGGAGCAATCGGGTCTGTCGAGCGTTCGGACGTTTGTTTTACTACTCTCCCATAATTCTTTTCATATTGCGTTTTAGGGGAAAGTTTTTTTCTCTTTTTTAAGTTATACTTTTTCTTTTGGTTAAGTTGTTATTATATTTTTAAGTCACTTTAAAGTAAATTACTCCGTTAATTATTAGAAGCGTAAGGTCATCGAAGTTGGATTTGGTTGAGAAATGCATGGATGTAGATGTACTAAAATTTGAATTTCGTTATATCTTAAATTCGGCTTCACTTTTTTTCTAATTTTCTATTAGCTAATTGAATGTTTCTTGGGACGGTTTTTGGCCAATTTCTATTTTTGTTGTATTGCTGCAGTTTATCGCTGTCGTGAAGAAAATCATTTATTGCAGAATTCGTTGGCGATAACCTAGTAACTTATTTAGTGTTGTTGGCAATGTTGGCGAACTGTTATTGGCAATTAGATCATCAAGGAAGATCTCGAAAAGAAGGAGGTTAGTCCATTTTTCATCTTTATGTTTAGCCTTTTTCCTTAGCTTTTTATTTTATGGTTTTCTGTACTTTTTTTATTATCTTTAGCTTGCATTTATGAATGAAATGTGTTATCATTCCGCCTGTGTATGGTATTGTTCTTTGGACGGACGGGGTTAATTAGCAGCTTTTCAAGTAGTTTTATTCATATATGTTAATTTTGTAGTGATGAAGGGGATCTGTGTGCCCAGCCACTCTGTGCGCCCACCGGCCCGCTTTTGCCCTTTTCGGTATACCCTCATTGAGGGCGAACGGAGTGCCTGTACAGTACGGTTTCTTTTGATGTCACAACCCCAACTCACCCAGTCGATTGGTTCTATACTCCCTTAGGGTCTATACAGTCCTTTTAAAAATGACCCGCGCCCTCCTGTACATTTCCCTCTTAACCTTATTGGGACAAAGGACTTCTTTGTCCATGTGTGCACACAGACAAAGGTGCAGACGGGGTGGCACACATATCGCCACATCCTCATCATTTAGTCATTCGTGAGCAGTCGGACCTGTCGAGCGGATGGAGATTTTATTACTTCCTAGTACCTTCATTTAAGTGGGTTTGTAGGAGCAAAGTTTATTTTTTTTAAATTATCAATTATTAAACTTGCACTGTATTATTTGCAGGAAACCTAATGGAAGGAACGAAGAACATGGAACTTCCATTTGGTTTCAACTGCGTAAAGGTATGGGCTTAGGCTTAGGCTTAGGCTTAGGCTTAGGCTTAGGCTTAGGCTTAGGCTTAGGCTTAGGCTTAGGCTTAGGCTTAGGCTTAGGCTTTAGGCTTAGGCTTAGGCTTAGGCTTAGGCTTAGGCTTAGGCTTAGCTTAGGCTTAGGCTTAGGCTTAGGCTTAGGCTTAGGCTTAGGCTTAGGCTTAGGCTTAGGCTTAGGCTTAGCTTAGGCTTAGGCTTAGGCTTAGCTTAGCTTAGGCTTTAGGCTTAGGCTTAGGCTTAGGCTTAGGCTTAGGCTTTAGGCTTAGGCTTAGCTTAGGCTTAGGCTTAGGCTTAGGCTTAGGCTTAGGCTTAGCTTAGGCTTTTAGGCTTAGGCTTAGGCTTAGCTTAGCTTAGGCTTTAGGCTTAGGCTTTTAGGCTTAGGCTTAGGCTTAGGCTTAGGCTTAGGCTTAGGCTTAGGCTTAGGCTTCTTAGGCTTAGGCTTAGGCTTAGGCTTAGCTTAGGCTTAGGCTTAGGCTTAGGCTTAGGCTTAGGCTTAGGGCTTAGCTTAGGCTTAGGCCTTAGGCTTAGGCTTAGGCTTAGGCTTAGGCTTAGGCTTAGGCTTAGGCTTAGGCTGCTTAGGCTTAGGCTTAGGCTTAGGCTTAGGCTTAGGCTTAGGCTTAGGCTTAGGCTTAGGCTTAGGCTTCAGGCTTAGGCTTAGGCTTAGGCTTAGGCTTAGGCTTAGGCTTAGGCTTAGGCTTAGGCTTAGGCTTAGGCTTAGGCTTAGGCTTAGGCTTAGGGCTTAGGCTTAGGCTTAGGCTTAGGCTTAGGGCTTAGGCTTAGGCTTAGGCTTAGGCTTAGGCTTAGGCTTAGGCTTAGGCTTAGGCTTTAGGCTTAGGCTTAGGCTTAGGCTTAGGCTTAGGCTTAGGCTTAGGCTTAGCTTAGGCTTAGGCTTAGGCTTAGGCTTAGGCTTAGCTAGGCTTAGGCTTAGGCTTAGGCTTAGGCTTAGGCTTAGGCTTAGGCTTAGGCCTTAGGCTTAGGCTTAGGCTTAGGCTTAGGCTTAGGCTTAGGCTTAGCTTAGGCTTAGGCTTAAGGCTTAGGCTTAGGCTTAGGCTTAGGCTTAGGCTTAGAGGCTTAGGCTTAGGCTTAGGCTTAGGCTTAGGCTTAGGCTTAGGCTTAGGCTTAGGCTTAGGCTTAGGCTTAGCTTAGGCTTAGGCTTAGGCTTAGGCTTAGGCTTAGGCTTAGGCTTAGGCTTAGGCTTAGGCTTAGGCTTAGGCTTAGGCTTAGGCTTAGGCTTAGGCTTAGGCTTAGGCTTAGGCTTAGGCTTAGGGCTTAGGCTTAGGCTTAGGCTTAGGCTTAGGCTTAGGCTTAGGCTTAGGCTTAGGCTTAGGCTTAGGCTTAGGCTTAGGCTTAGGCTTGGCTTAGGCTTAGGCTTAGCTTAGGCTTAGGCTTAGCTTAGGCTTAGGCTTAGGCTTAGGCTTAGGCTTAGGCTTAGGCTTAGGCTTAGGCTTAGCTTAGGCTTAGGCTTAGGCTTAGGCTTAGGCTTAGGCTTAGGCTTAGGCTTAGGCTTAGGCTTAGGCTTAGGCTTAGGCTTAGGCTTTAGGCTTAGGCTTAGGGCTTAGGCTTAGGCTTAGGCTTAGGCTTTAGGCTTAGGCTTTTAGGCTTAGGCTAGCTTAGGCTTAGGCTTAGGCTTAGCTTAGGCTTAGGCTTAGGCTTAGGCTTAGGCTTAGGCTTAGGCTTAGGCTTAGGCTTAGGCTTAGGCTTAGGCTTAGGCTTAGCTTAGGCTTAGGCTTAGGCTTAGGCTTTAGGCTTAGGCTTAGGCTTAGGCTTAGGCTTAGGCTTAGCTTAGGCTTAGGCTTAGGCTTAGGCTTAGGCTTAGGCTTAGGCTTAGGCTTAGGCTTAGGCTTAGGCTTAGGCTTAGGCTTAGGCTTAGCTTAGGCTTAGGCTTAGGCTTAGGCTTAGGCTTAGGCTTAGGCTTAGGCTTAGGCTTAGGCTTAGGCTTAGGCTTAGGCTTAGGCTTAGGCTTAGGCTTAGGCTTAGGCTTAGGCTTAGGCTTAGGCTTAGGCTTAGGGCTTAGGCTTAGGCTTAGGCTTAGGCTTAGGCTTAGGCTTAGGCTTAGGCCTTAGGCTTAGGCTTAGGCTTAGGCTTAGGCTTAGGCTTTAGGCTTAGGCTTAGGCTTAGGCTTAGGCTTAGGCTTAGGCTTAGGCTTAGGCTTAGGCTTAGGCTTAGGCTTTAGGCTTAGGCTTATCTAGGCTTAGGCTTAGGCTTAGGCTTAGGCTTAGGCTTAGGCTTAGGCTTAGGCTTAGGCTTAGGCTTAGGCTTAGGCTTAGGCTTAAGCTTAGGCTTAGGCTTTAGGCTTAGGCTTAGGCTTAGGCTTAGGCTTAGGCTTAGGCTTAGGCTTAGGCTTAGGCTTAGGCTTAGGCTTAGGCTTAGGCTTTAGGCTTAGGCTTAGGCTTAGGCTTAGGCTTAGGCTTAGGCTTAGGCTTAGGCTTAGGCTTAGGCTTAGGCTTAGGCTTAGGCTTAGGCTTAGGCTTAGGCTTAGGCTTAGGCTTAGGCTTAGGCTTAGGCTTAGGCTTAGGCTTAGGCTTAGGCCTAGGCTTAGGCTTAGGCTTAGGCTTAGGCTTAGGCTTAGGCTTAGGCTTAGGCTTAGGCTTAGGCTTAGGCTTAGGGCTTAGGCTTAGGCCTTAGGCTTAGGCTTAGGCTTAGGGCTTAGGCTTAGGCTTAGGCTTAGGCTTAGGCTTAGGCTTAGGCTTAGGCTTAGGCTTAGGCTTAGGCTTAGGCTTAGGCTTAGGCTTAGGCTTAGGCTTAGGCTTAAGCCTAAGGCTTAGGCTTAGGCTTAGGCTTAGGCTTAGGCTTAGGCTTAGGCTTAGGCTTATGCTTAGGCTTAGGCTTAGGCTTAGGCTTAGGCTTAGGCTTAGGCTTAGGCTTAGGCTTAGGCTTAGGCTTAGGCTTAGGCTTAGGCTTAGGCTTAGGCTTAGCTTAGGCTTAGCTTAGGCTTAGAGGCTTAGGCTTAGGCTTAGGCTTAGGCTTAGGGCTTAGGCTTAGGCTTAGGCTTAGGCTTAGGCTTAGGCTTAGGCTTAGGCTTAGGCTTAGGCTTAGGCTTAGGCTTAGGCTTAGGCTTAGGCTTAGGCTTAGGCTTAGGCTTAGGGTTAGGGCTTAGGCTTAGGCTTATGCTTAGGCTTAGGCTTAGGCTTAGGCTTAGGCTTAGGCTTAGGCTTAGGCTTAGGCTTAGGCTTAGGCTTAGGCTTAGGCTTAGGCTTAGCTTAGGCTTAGGCTTAGGCTTGGGCTTAGGCTTAGGCTTAGGCTTAGGCTTAGGCTTAGGCTTAGGCTTAGGCTTAGGCTTAGGCTTAGGCTTAGGCTTAGGCTTAGGCTTAGGCTTAGGCTTAGGCTTAGGCTTAGGCTTAGGCTTAGGCTTAGGCTTAGGCTTAGGCTTAGGCTTAGGCTTAGGCTTAGGCTTAGGCTTAGGATCTAGGCTTAGGCTTAGGCTTAGGCTTAGGCTTAGGCTTAGGCTTAGGCTTAGGCTTAGGCTTAGGCTTAGGCTTAGGCTTAGGCTTAGGCTTAGGCTTAGGCTTAGGCTTAGGCCTTAGGCTTAGGCTTAGGCTTAGGCTTAGGCTTAGGCTTAGGCCTAAGCCTAGGCTTAGGCCTTAGGCTTAGGCTAGGCTTAGGCTTAGGCTTAGGCTTAGGCTTAGCTTAGGCTTAGGCTTAGGCTTAGGCTTAGGCTTAGGCTTAGGCTTAGGCTTAGGCTTAGGCTTAGGCTTAGGCTTAGGCTTAAGGCTTAGGCTTAGGCTTAGGCTTAGGCTTAGGCTTAGGCTTAGGGCTTAGGCTTAGGCTTAGGCTTAGGCTTAGGCTTAGGCTTAGGCTTAGGCTTAGCTTATTTGGCTTAGGCTTAGGCTTAGGCTTAGGCTTAGGCTTAGGCTTAGGCTTAGGCTTAGGCTTAGGCTTAGGCTTAGGCTTAGGCTTAGGCTTAGGCTTAGGCTTAGGCTAGGCTTAGGCTTAGGCGCTTAGGCTTAGGCTTAGGCTTAGGCTTAGGCTTAGGCTTAGGCTTAGGCTTAGGCTTAGGCTTAGGCTTAGGCTTAGGTCTTAGGCTTAGGCTTAGGCTTAGGCTTAGGCTTAGGCTTAGGCTTAGGGCTTGGGCTTAGGCTTGGGCTTAGGCTTAGGCTTAGGCTTAGGCTTAGGCTTAGGCTTAGGCTTAGGCTTAGGCTTAGGCTTAGGCTTAGGCTTAGGCTTAGGCTTAGGCTTAGGCTTAGGCTTAGGCTTAGGCTTTAGGCTTAGGCTTAGGCTTAGGCTTAGGCTTAGGCTTAGGCTTAGGCTTAGGCTTAGGCTTAGGCTTAGGCTTAGGCTTAGGCTTAGGCTTAGGCTTAGGCTTAGGCTTAGGCTTAGGCTTAGGCTTAGGCTTAGGCTTAGGCTTAGGGTTAGGCTTAGGCTTAGGCTTAGGCTTAGGCTTAGGCTTAGGCTTAGGCTTAGGCTTAGGCTAGGCTTAGGCTTAGGCTTAGGCTTAGGCTTAGGCTTAGGCTTAGGCTTAGGCTTAGGCTTAGGCTTAGGCTTAGGCTTAGGCTTAGGCTTAGGCTTAGGCTTAGGCTTAGGCTTAGGCTTAGGGCTTAGGCTTAGGCTTAGGCTTAGGCTTAGGCTTAGGCTTAGGCTTAGGCTTAGGCTTAGGCTTAGGCTTAGGCTTAGGCTTAAGGCTTAGGCTTAGGCTTGGCTTAGGCTTAGGCTTAGGCTTAGGCTTAGGCTTAGGCTTAGGCTTAGGCTTTGGCTTAGGCTTAGGCTTAGGCTTAGGCTTAGGCTTAGGCTTAGGCTTAGGCTTAGGCTTAGGCTTAGGCTTAGGCTTAGGCTTAGGCTTAGGCTTAGGCTTAGGCTTAGGCTTAGGCTTAGGCTTAGCTTAGGCTTTAGGCTTAGGCTTAGGCTTAGGCTTAGGCTTAGGCTTAGGCTTAGGCTTAGGCTTAGGCTTAGGCTTAGGCTTAGGCTTAGGCTTAGGCTTAGGCTTAGGCTTAGGCTTAGGCTTAGGCTTTAGGCTTAGGCTTAGGCTTAGGCTTAGGCTTAGGCTTAGGCTTAGGCTTAGGCTTAGGCTTAGGCTTAGGCTTAGGCTTAGCTTAGGCTTAGGCTTAGGCTTAGGTTTAGGCTTAGGCTTAGGCTTAGGCTTAGGCTTAGGCTTAGGCTTAGGCTTAGGCTAGGCTTAGGCTTAGGCTTAGCTTAGGCTTAGGCTTAGGCTTAGGCTTAGGCTTAGGCTTAGGCTTAGGCTTAGCTTAGGCTTAGGCTTAGGCTTAGGCTTAGGCTTAGGCTTAGGCTTAGGCTTAGGCTTAGGCTTAGGCTTAGGCTTAGGCTTAGGCTTAGGCTTAGGCTTAGGCTTAGGCTTAGGCTTAGGCTTAGGCTTAGGCTTAGGCTTAGGCTTAGGCTTAGGCTTAGGCTTAGGCTTAGGCTTAGGCTTAGGCTTAGGCTTGGCTTAGGCTTAGGCTTAGGCTTAGGCTTAGGCTTTGGCTTAGGCTTAGGCTTAGGCTTAGGCTTAGGCTTAGGCTTAGCTTAGGCTTAGGCTTAGGCTTAGGCTTAGGCTTAGGCTTAGGCTTAGGCTTAGGCTAGGCTTAGGCTAGGCTTAGGCTTAGGTTTAGGCTTAGGCTTAGGCTTAGGCTTAGGCTTAGGCTTAGGCTTAGGCTTAGGCTTAGGCTTAGGCTTAGGCTTAGGCTTAGGCTTAGGCTTAGGCTTAGGGCTTAGGCTTAGGCTTAGGCTTAGGCTTAGGCTTAGGCTTAGGCTTAGGCTTAGGCTTAGGCTTAGGCTTAGGCTAGGGCTAGGCTTAGGCTTAGGCTTAGGCTTAGGCTTAGGCTTAGGCTTAGCTTAGGCTTAGGCTTAGGCTTAGGCTTTAGGCTTAGGCTTAGGCTTAGGCTTAGGCTTGCTTAGGCTTAGGCTTAGGCTTAGGCTTAGGCTTAGGCTTAGGCTTAGGCTTAGGCTTAGGCTTAGGCTTAGGCTTAGGCTTAGGCTTAGGCTTAGGCTTAGGCTTAGCTTAGGCTTAGGCTTAGGCTTAGGCTTAGGCTTAGGCTTAGGCTTAGGCTTAGGTTTAGGCTTAGGCTTAGGCTTAGGCTTAGGCTTAGGCTTAGGCTTAGGCTTTAGGCTTAGGCTTAGGCTTAGGCTTAGGCTTAGGCTTAGGCTTAGGCTTAGGCTTAGGCTTAGGCTTAGGCTTAGGCTTAGGCTTAGGCTTAGGCTTAGCTTAGGCTTTAGGCTTAGGCTTAGGCTTAGGCTTAGGCTTAGGCTTAGCTTAGGCTTAGGCTTAGGCTTAGGCTTAGGCTTTGGCTTAGGCTTTAGGCTTAGGCTTAGGCTTAGGCTTTAGGCTTAGGCTTAGGCTTAGGCTTAGGCTTAGGCTTAGGCTTAGGCTTAGGCTTAGGCTTAGGCTTAGGCTTTAGGCTTAGCTTAGGCTTAGGCTTAGGCTTAGGCTTAGGCTTAGGCTTAGGCTTTAGGCTTAGGCTTAGGCTTAGGCTTAGGCTTAGGCTTAGGCCTAGGCTTAGGCTTAGGCTTAGGCTTAGGCTTAGGCTTAGGCTTAGGCTTAGCCTTAGGCTTAGGCTTAGGCTTAGGCTTAGGCTTAGGCTTAGGCTTAGGCTAGGCTTAGGCTTAGGCTTAGGCTTAGGCTTAGGCTTAGGCTTAGGCTTAGGCTTAGGCTTAGGCTTAGGCTTAGGCTTGCTTAGGCTTAGGCTTAGGTTAGGCTTAGGCTTAGGCTTAGGCTTAGGCTTAGGCTTAGGCTTAGGCTTAGGCTTAGGCTTAGGCTTAGGCTTAGGCTTAGCTTAGGCTTAGGCTTAGGCTTAGGCTTAGCTTAGGCTTAGGCTTAGGCTTAGGCTTAGGCTTAGGCTTAGGCTTAGGCTTAGGCTTAGGCTAGGCTTAGGCTTAGGCTTAGGCTTAGGCTTAGCTTAGGCTTAGGCTTAGGCTTAGGCTTAGGCTTAGGCTTAGGCTTAGGCTTAGGCTTAGGCTTAGGCTTAGGCTTAGGCTTAGGCTTAGGCTAGGTTAGGCTTAGGCTTAGGCTTAGGCTTAGGCTTAGGCTTAGGCTTAGGCTTAGGCTTAGGCTTAGGCTTAGGCTTAGGCTTAGGCTTAGGCTTAGGCTTAGGCTTAGGCTTAGGCTTAGGCTTAGGCTTAGGCTTAGGCTTAGGCTTAGGCTTAGGGCTTAGGCTTAGGCTTAGGCTTAGGCTTAGGCTTAGGCTTAGGCTTAGCTTAGGCTTAGGCTTAGGCTTAGGCTTAGGCTTAGGCTTAGGCTTAGCTTAGGCTTAGCTTAGGCTTAGCTTAGGCTTAGGCTTAGGCTTAGGCTTAGGCTTAGGCTTAGGCTTAGGCTTAGGCTTAAGGCTTAGGCTTAGGCTTAGGCTTAGGCTTAGCTTAGGCTTAGGCTTAGGCTTAGGCTTAGGCTTAGGCTTAGGCTTAGGCTTAGGCTTAGGCTTAGGCTTAGGCTTAGGCTTAGGCTTAGGCTTAGGCTTAGCTTAGGCTTAGGCTTAGGCTTAGGCTTAGGCTTAGGCTTAGGCTTAGGCTTAGGCTTAGGCTTAGGCTTAGCTTAGGCTTAGGCTTAGGCTTAGGCTTAGGCTTAGGCTTAGGCTTAGGCTTAGGCTAGGCTTAGGCTTAGGCTTAGGCTTAGGCTTAGGCTTAGGCTTAGGCTTAGCTTAGGCTTAGGCTTAGGCTTAGCTTAGGCTTAGGCTTAGGCTTAGGCTTAGGCTTAGCTTAGGCTTAGGCTTAGGCTTAGGCTTAGGCTTAGGCTTAGCTTAGGCTTAGGCTTAGGCTTAGGCCTTAGGCTTAGGCTTAGGCTTAGGCTTAGGCTTAGGCTTAGGCTTAGGCTTTAGGCTTAGCTTAGGCTTAGGCTTAGGCTTAGGCTTAGGCTTAGGCTTAGGCTTAGGCTTTAGGCTTAGGCTTAGGCTTAGGCTTAGGCTTAAGGCTTAGGCTTAGGCTTAGGCTTAGGCTTAGGCTTAGGCTTAGGCTTAGGCTTAGGCTTAGGCTTAGGCTTAGGCTTAGGCTTAGGCTTAGGCTTAGGCTTAGGCTTAGGCTTAGGCTTAGGCTTAGGCTTAGGCTTAAGGCTTAGGCTTAGGCTTAGGCTTAGGCTTAGGCTTAGGCTTAGGCTTAGGCTAGGATTAGGCTTAGGCTTAAGGCTTAGGCTTTAGGCTTAGGCTTAGGCTTAGGCTTAGGCTTAGGCTTAGGCTTAGGCTTAGGCTTAGGCTTAGGCTTAGTCGCTTAGGCTTAGGCTTAGGCTTAGGCTTAGGCTTAGGCTTAGGCTTAGGCTTAGGCTTAGGCTTAGGCTTAGGCTTAGGTTAGGCTTAGGCT